ACCTGGCAGCTTCTCTCCTTCCCTGTGTGGAACATAGATCAGCAACATGTGACCAACGTCAACAAATCCAGGAACAAATGACATTTTCAGTGTTGGTAACATTAGCAGACCTGTTCAGAGACCCAGTGCTGTTGTGGAAGAGGTGCACGTGATGGCTTATTCAGTAGTCAGGTACGGTTGTTGAGCACTTACTGTTGGCTATGTTGGAAGCAGTGTAACTGACTGCCATTGCTGACACCTGGCTGGCACAACAGAATCCTTTGATGGCCAAGGCTACGAAAAGGGACAATGAAGATGGCCTCACCACGAAGACACCAGTGTGAGACTGAACAACATCTGCCAGAAGTGCAGAGCTGCCTATACATCCTGACCCTCAGATAAACAAGGGAGCACATAGACATCTGTAATTCACACCGACCATCTGCTGGTTTGTGAATTATATACAAGTTCCCTTTTACTTTCCCTTTCCTCCCTTTGTCCCAAATAGTCAGTGTTGTGTCAGGATGAGTTGACCTCACCAATGAGGAGGCCATTGGCAATAACGAACAATAGGTTTGTGACATCAGAGGTGTAAATCACATTACAAAGCCTCAACGTAATGTCTTTTTTTGAAGCAGCGTTTCGTTTAACTGTTTGCATTTTGAACCCCCCCCCCCCCATACAGTGTAGTATTTCTAGCAGTCAACAACATTGAAAAATAGTTTACGCAATGACATTTTGGTGATGTATTTACAGTGACGTTCTTTATTATTGAAATGCTCTCTAATCCTGAATATTTTAACGTCAGGATCTGCAGAAGGATGTAGTTGAAACACATTGTCACTGTCTGTCGTGTCATTTCTGGACCTGATTGCAGCGTTGGTATTTAGAATGGTTGTGTTCTCTCAGGCCACTCTGCACTCTAGTTATGATGATGTTCGTTGTAGAACATCTCAACTTTGAATTGGTACCATATGATTTTCTTTTTCATTTGCTAATTTAAACAGAGAACTTAATTATATATAATAATAATCCTTGCATTTGATATAGCGCGTTATCACGTCTTCCAGACATCTCAAAGCGCTTCACAGAATATATTGTAAAGTGAATTGACTGCATATTTTGTGGATGTATATTTTTGGAAACAATACGACATAATCAGCTGGGGAATCCTATTTGCCAAACGATGTTGCAGTAGGATTGCTTGAACCTAACCTGAAGGTTGACATTCATTCTGCCTTTGTGCTTTTCTCGGTTAGGCTGTTGGATACCTCCCACTTTCTTTGTGATTTATTCAATCTCTTTTCCGCAGAGCAGCACAATCGTATTGGATTGTGACCATTTCAGCAGCATACTAACTTGAACAACTGTAATATATCACAGTGATCCAGACTCTGCTCAGAACTTATCCCAGGAATATTTAAGGGGCCAATTTTATTGCTGCTAATATTGGAACTCTGTGAAAATGCTCATTTGTGGATTTCCAGAACTCTGTTTAGTCTTCAGTTAATGCAATAAGGGAAGGAGACGCTTCCTGCTACTTAAGCAAGGTCTTGGCTTCAACTAGCCTCCCTGCTTATTCTTTCCAACTATTGATCCTCTGTGTAAAGAAATACTTCCTGGTGCTTGCCTAAATTTGGCTATCGTGACCCTGACCCCCTTATCCTTCTAGACCTTCTCAGTACTAATGGTGTGTGGAGCCCAGAGTAGCTCAGGCATCTCCAGTGACACTGGCTAAAAAATATTTCTGCAAACTCTAGATTTATTCATGTAATATACTTGGTTGCCAAAATGATATCATAATATGAGTTTGTGGTTTTGAGTTGTCGTGTGGTGGCTATTGTGACATTAATCCTGTAGATCAGTGGTTACAAACTGACTTCAATTATAACTATTCTCAATGGCGCTGCTTCGTTGTACTTCAGTATTTTACAATAAATTGCTATTTAAAGACAATTTTAGTCAGAGACAGCTTTCTAGCCAGGTAAGCAGGAGAATGTGGTTGTTATTATTGGTAAGGTAATACTCTGCACAATGATGGCATAATCATTATTGTGCGGTGTGGTTCCAAATAAGCAGTGAATCCTACTCTATTGGCTACTCCATTTGTTCTGCTCTTAGATGGAGAAAACTGAGATGCAGAACTTTGTAGTGCAAGTTGTCCACTACTTGTGTTCTTAACTGAGAACATTAGAAACTGTTAGGGAAAGAGGTTTTTTTTAAAAAAAGTGATATAATTGTACAATTCCCTCGGTGATATTGCTGAAATTAGGGGTTTAGTATTGTGAATTTAGGAAACTGAGGCACTTCCCTATATTTTATTCTCTGTGCCCCTTAATACCCTTAGTTTGCCAGCAACTATCCATCCTCATTTTAAGCATCCCAATTCACATTCCCTTTACTGCCCTCTGGATAGGAACATAGGACTATGTGAGGAACCTAGGGATGTGTATGGGGGCTCATGGAGGAATGTAGGGTTATTTATCAAAAGAACATTTCAATTTTCATTTATTCACTTCCTCCTTTATCTAGTCTTTTTAAAAGACAACATTTGTTTAAAATGTAAAACCCGAAAGATGTGTTATAATTTGAATATTACGTCTAGCATTGATTGCATATCGCTATGCATGAGGCTGACAACAAAACACCATTGGTCTCTTCTGTTTGTTTGACATGACTGCTACCCTTGGGGAGTTTTGATTGCAAACTCGCTTCCTGGCTTAACTGAGAGAGCCCATGAATGAATCCGGGAGAGAAAAGTACCAATATAATAGTGTTAAAATCAAGCTGTTTTCCTTGAACCAATTATGAGCCCAGCTCGAATTTAATTTTTGCACAGCGGGATTTTGTTTTCCTAGAGAATTTTACTTGGTGCAAATATTTCTTACTGCATAAAGATATACAGCTGGCTCTTGTGTAATCAAACCATCACTCATCAAATAGTTTTAAGACTAAAACTGGATTGCATTTAACAGTAATTAGATTCAGCTCCACAAGTATCTAGATGCCTTTGTCAGTGAAAAAGGTTTGGGTCAGTAGATGGTGGTTGTGTCTGTGAAATGAGGCTCTCCAATAGTGAGATAGATAGATTTCTTATTGCAAAAGGGATTAAGGGATATGGGGATAAGGCAGGGTCAGGTTATTAGCTGGAGTTAGATTAGAAGATCAGCCATGGTTGAATGACGGGGCAGGCTTGAAGGGCCGAATGGCCTACTCCTGCTCCTACATGTTATGTTAATAGTATATGAGCGGAAAAGAAACCTCAGGTCACCTTTTGTCGTAGATTGTGGCACAGACATCCATATGTGCTGTGCTGATGGGATGTCCTCCTGACGTGAAACGAGCTATACAAATGTAATCTTGTTTTTGTTGTTGTGTTGTTGCTGTGAGAGTGCTCAGCTGGAGGCTTATTTCCTTTGTTTGTAACACAGGTCTACAGGTCAGAAGAGAAAAAGGAAACTCAAAATAAATGCTAGGTACCTCTTCAGCTAGAAGGGAATACAGGAGGAGGAGGACGAGGAGTTATCGTAGCACCATTATTGTGTACTTTCCATCAGCTGCTTGCAGAGCACTTCTGTCTGAAGCTTGCCTGGGGGCTTCAGACAGTGAATGGTATGGGGTGGCACGAAAAGATGTAAAAGCAGGAGTAAGTTAATGAGTTTTCACATTCGGAAGCTGTCTTTATGAAAGGTACCTTATTGCAAACTCAAAGTCAGAAAGAAATTATTAAGTCATTGAAGTCAAACAAAATAGATCATTGGACACCTTGATCTCCTATAGTTAACTCCAGTTTAGAAATACTGTACTCTGCTTTCATCTTGATTTGCTGTAAAATTTGTTAAGATTATTATTATTTGCAGTAATAGTGCACATATTGTATCAGATCTAATTAACAATGAAGTAGAATGTGACCTGGAAGCATAGGCTCAGTCTCCAAACTCACACACCCATCCACCTTATCTCCAGTTTCGTCTAATGATATGTCTTGGCCAGAGAGGGTCGTTGCTTTCCTCAGTGTGCAATTGGACGTGAAATAAATCGAGCGTATAGTTTAGTGAGCGGGACTTGGATCCAGTACCACACACACACGCACACACACACACAGATGTACAGTCCTCCACAAAGTGCGGTCAGGATGTATGAGGAGAATGTGGTTCAGTTCAGCTTCCCCACCGCCAAGAATATTTCCCCCCCCTCCCACCTTATGGTGGATCGAAACCCTTGCTCTGAATGCAAGAAATGTGTATAGCTATATATTTTATCTGCAGTTACATGTGGAACATCCTCTAAGTGTACAGTAGATGATGATCAGCACCAATATTATTGGCCGTTGTTGTTGACCAGAACCGCTTTCCTCCATCTCCTCCACATTGCCGGCCTCCAACCATACCTTACCCCAGTCAAAGCCGAAATACTCATCTATGCATTTGCCACCTCCCGACTCGACCTTTCAAATGCCCTCTTTGCCGTTCTCCCCAGCTCCACCATACACAGGATCCAGCTGATCCAAAACTCTGCTGTGCAAATACTCACCTGCACTAAACTCCATACCCCCATCACACTAGTTCTAGCCAGGCTCCCTATCGCCGAACGGATTGATTTCAAGATCTTCACACTTATTTTCAAATGCTTTCATGCCCTGGCACCTCCCTACCTCTCCGATCTGCTTACTCCCCAACCAGCAACCCACTGCTTCTTCTCAACTGGCCCTTGTGCCGTCCGTTCCTCCATTGGTGGCCAAGCTTTCAGCCACTATATCCCCGAATCCTGGAACACTCTTCCTCTATCTGTCCACCTTGCTCCTTCCTTCCCCATCTTCAGATTGTGCCTGAAGACCTTCCTCTTCGTCCATGCCTATGTTCACCTCCCCCCTGCTCAGCATCATGCTCATCCACTGTTTAAGCACTCTGGGATGCTACCTGCATGAAGGGCGCTTTATAAATGCAAGTTGGTGTTGTCTGTAGTTTTGTAAGGTGATTTAAGTGTTCTGCGTGTTGATCGTGTTTTTGTTTATTTTACAGGTGGCCCCAAAATGTGGGCCATCACCTCAGAGGAGCGTATCAAACATGACCAGCAGTTTTCAAGTCTCAAACCCCTTGGAGGGTTAATTTCAGGTAATCATCAGTAGGAATGGGAGAGACTATACTGATATACCTGCCCTTCCACACTACAGTGCAACATTGACTTCAGCATGGCTGCAGTATAAAACGCTGTAAGAACATCCAGTAAATGTTCACATTTTACTCTATCATTACTAATCTCATCATCCTTCTGTATTTGATTAGGTAATTCATTACACTGGGAGCTAAGATAAATGATTGACAGAAAACAGAAGATGCAGTATTACAAGTGAATTATGCTCATACCTTGCCCCCTCGGCTTGCTTCATGCACCCAGAGATACCTTTTTGCCCTTTTTGAACTGGGCGATGATTAACCCAACAGTTTCCTTTGATTTGAAGAATCTGGTTTCAGCTTTCAAGTTGGTGTTTTAGTGCTCAAAAAAGTTCTGCAAAAAATGTATTTTTGATTTAATTCTTTAAAAATTTTACAGGAAGCTTAATGGAGCCATACCCTACAATTACCTCCAAGCGTATTCACACTTTGCGACACTGGTGTTTTAATTGTTTTTCCATTTAAAAAATTCAACAATATTTTTAGCACACAAATAATTCATAACAGGCAGTTAGTGAGCTGCTCACGGTTTGCGCCCTGTGGTGCTGCCTCAGATGATGCAGTTTCATCCAAGCCGGCTGTGCTAATGATGTGTCTCATCTGCATATTTATTGGGCACCTGAGTGTGCTTTCACTGTTCTGTACAGACAAATGAGTATTTAGCATAATGAGGGTTGTTTTTTTCTTGGAGGGCAAAATTTACATTTTCCTGTTTCCAATTATTAAGTATTACAGTAATGATTAATGGAAGGAAAAATGTGCCTAACGAGAGTGGAATTCCGGACTTGTGCATCAGCTGGGATACTAAATCTTTCATGGCTTTGTATCTCAGCAATCTGGAATGGTGACGACCTTCCACGCGTTTCTTCTTCTCTCCTACCAGAAATTATATTAAATGTAATTGGAATTAACTATTAGCTATTGGCCAATGTGGTGCCGTGATAAATGAAATGCATTCTTGATCAGACATCAGAAGTTAACGCTAGCTGTCAGCATTGAGATGAATTATTTTGAGAGCTCCGTGTAGTTATATTTATTATTGTCATTACTTTGTTCTAAGTGCTGCTGCTCAGGTTAAGCTATTTGTGTTTACAGGCCTTTACCTATTAGGGAAAGGAATGACTTAATTTGGTCTTCACAGTATCTGTGATATGACATCTTGGATCGTTTTTTTACTACAATGTCAACAGTGTTGCGTGTAATGGAACAACATCAGAAAGAAAATGGAAGAGTACTCATATAAATGTAATCTAATAATCTTGGAGGCAAAAGACAACCCCAGGCTCCTATTCTCCACCACCAACCGGCTCCTTCATCTACCCTCCCACGCCTCGCCCATTCTCTCCTCAAGCTCTGACTGTGAGGAGATGCTGGATTTCTTTGTGTCCAAAATCGAGGGGATCCGTTCAGCTGCCTCCTCCCTATCTCCCACCCACTCTCTGACCCCTATCCATCCCTCCTTTTATATTTTTGAACCTGTCTGCCCCTCCTCTCTCATCACCACCATATCCAGCATGAAACACCCCACCTGCTCCTTGACCCCATCCCCACCCCTCTCCTTACCTCCTAGCTCCGCCTCCTCATCCCTCTACTCTCTGACACCATCAATCTCTCCCCTTCATCTGGCGCCGTTCCCATCCCCCTAAAAACAGCTATAATCGCCCCATCTTGAAAAAATCTTCTCTGGACCCATCCCTGTCTTCTAACTACCGGCCCATCTCCAACCTCCCTTTTTGAAGGTCCTCGAAAGAGTCATTGCTTCCCGGCTTCACTCATTCCTCTCCTATCTCTCCCTTCATTAGTCCCTCCTATTGTATTTCCATGCTGCTCTGGTCAAGGTGACAAACAACATTTTTTTTGTCTCCTCGACCTCTCTGCTGCCTTCAATACCATGGACCACTCCATCCTCCTCCACCACCTCTCCTCTCATCTCAACCTTCAAGGTTCTGTCCTTGAATGGTCAGGTCTTATCTCTCACACTACCTCCAATTTGGCTCCGCCAATGGTTTCTCTTCCTGTCCCCGCACAGTCTTGTGCGGTGTTCCTCAGGTGTCTGTCCTCGGGCCCCTCCTCTTCAATCTCTACATACTCCCCTTGGTGACATCATCCGCAGACAGGTGGTCAACTTCCACATGTATGCGGATGACACCCAACTCCTTCTGCCTGCCTCCACCCTCGGTTCCAGGACAACTGACGTCCTGACAGACTGTTTGGCATCAAGTCCTGGATGAGAGATAACTTTCCACAGCTGAATGTCAGCAAGACTGAGAACCCTCCTGATTGGCGTGCGCCAGTGCCTCAGCACCTCAGGGACTGGCAGCATCAGCATCCAAGTTTGCACACTCCATCTCACCAAGCCAGTTAAGAACCTGGGCTTCTTGTTCGACCCTCAAACCTCTCTCCCCCATATCTGTGCCATGACCCACTCTGCTTTCCCCCACCTCCGCAACATTGCCCGACTCCACCACTGCTTCATCTCTCAGGCCGCCAAAACCCTCATACACGCATTCGTCACGTCAAGGCTTGACTACGGAAATTCCCTCCTCATCGGCCTCCCCAACTCTTCTCTCCACAAGCTGTAGATCATCCAGAGCTCTGCAGCTCATGCCCTCTCCCACACCAGGCTCCGTGACCCATCACCCCCACCCTCGCCCGGCTCCACTAGCTCCCCATCTCTCAGGGGATAGAATTCAAAATTTTTGTCCTCACTTTCAAGACCCTCCACGGCCTTGCCCCCTCCTATCTCTCTGACCTGCTGACCCCCTATTAACCTGTCTGCTCCCTCTATTCAGCAGGCTCCGGCCTGCTCCCGGTCGACCCGCCTTACCATCGCTTTCCGGGCTTTCAGCCTCTCTGCCCCCACTCTTTGGAACTCAATCCCACAATCCCTTCGCCTTGCTCCCTCTCTCGCTTCCTTTAAGGCACGACTTAAGACCCTCCTTTTTGTCCATGTCTTCAGCCACCCTCCTACCCTCTCTTCCCTCCCTCATCCCAAACCTGTTTCCCCATGCTCGGGTCCTGATCCCTGACTGTTCAGAGGCTTGGGACATCCTCCATACGTGAAAGGCGCTTTACAAATGTAATTTTGTTGTTATTGTTGTAATAAATAACAGTCAACATGGGTTCAGAAAGGTTACATTTTGTCTCACCAACTTTATCGCCTTTGTTGTAAATAAGCCCAAATTGATGAAGGGATGCCATATGAAATGGTATATCTCAGCTTCCAAAAGGCGTTTCACAATGTACTAAATAAAAGACTGCTTCACAAACAATCAAATTGTTTTTCTAAGAATTTATAAGAAACAATAAAAGAGCTCTCATACCCTCAGTTTACAATTTTGAATCTGTGCTACAGCAGGAACATGGACCTCTGTAAAACCACCTGCCTTTACAATCACGTGAGGGTTATAGAGGGATACAGCAGCATCCATGCAATTTTGGTTTGAGTTTAGGTACTGGAATTCATTGATTGATGGCTGAAGTATGTAAATGATGTGTTGTTTAATTGTTTAATTATTGTTTATTCAATTATCCTCACTTTTCGCTTATCCATAAGGGAGCAGTCCTGATTAGTATCAATAATTGTCTCTACTGTTCTTTTTGAATTGACTGCTTGGTTTGGCATTGATCTTTGTCAATAGCATAACAATGTTTATTTCTTCCAATGTGTAATAGGTGACCAAGCTCGAAATTTCTTTCTGCAGTCTGGTCTGCCAAAGATGGTGCTGGCGGAGATATGGTGAGTGTGGAAAACTGAACTGAGGACAGGCTGCTCCTTTACACTTTTTTTTGTTTCTGAGGGAAGTGAATGAGGCATGAAATTTGAATTTTAGATGAGTTGTTTTCAGGCTGAGGATGGATATAAGAAATGGCTCCAAATGCCATTAAATCTCAAAAGAACCCACCCTACTTGCAGCAATCTTCAATCAAATAAATTAACCTTGTTTTGGGAACCACCTGTTCAATCAGCGGAGAAAACAGTGAAAGAAAGAACATTACCTCTTTTATCCCACTCTTGAGGAAGGTAGTTTCATCTCTTGTAGCTCCATTCAGACTTGCTACACGTCCCTTACCCTCTCCGTACCATCACTGGTGGCTGATCTGTCAGAAATTAGGCCCCACTCCCTGGCACTCAGTCCCAAAATTGTGGAATCCTGTAGAGTATAGGTTATAATAATAAATAATAATAATCCTTGCATTTGATATAGCGCTTTTCACGTCTTATCGACGTCTCAAAGCCCTTCACAGAATAGACTGTAAAGTGAATTGACTGTATATTTGTGGGCCAAACGCGGCAGCCAATTGCGCACAGCAGTGTCCCACAAACAGTCGTGGATTGAAAATGACCAATTTATTATTGTTTTTCGGAGGGATTATTATTAGGCGTGTGGAGTAAGGAAACTTGCCCAAGGTTTCTCCCTGCCTGGAATTGAACCCAGGTGTCTCGCTTGCAAGGCGAGTGCTCTAACCACTGAACTACAGGACTGCACAGGTTAGCATGCTCGCCCCACAAACTAGAGGACTCAGGTTTGATTCCTTGGCGGGGCGAAACCTTGCAAAGTTTCCTTACTCCACAGGCCTGTTTATCTAGTAGTAAGTAGGAACCTGGTTGATAGATTGGTGGATCGCTTTCCGGGGGTAATAATCTCTCAAAAAAAAATGGTCACTGTGTGTGGGACACTGCTGTGGTCAATTGGCTAATGTGTTTAGCCCACAAAATACACATTCAATCATTTATTTATATTTTGTAAAGTGCTTTGAGTCGTCGCCACGATGTGAGAAGGCGCTATATCAAATGCAAGGATTATTATTATTACAAAATTCCTTTGCCTTGTTCACTCTCTCCCTTCAAATCTCTTTGACACTACTTGTATTTTTTAGTGTCTTTAGAATTATGCCTGTCAGGTAGGAATGAGAAGCGGCTGTTCAGCTTATCTTGTGCAGTTTTCGTCCAAAAGGATCATTTTTTTTGCCATGAACACTGAACAAGAACTTTAATTTTCTCTGAATTATGGCCGAAAGGACTATACTGGAGTTTTCCCGTTTTCTCTCTGTAGGACCCTGGCAGACTTAAACAACGATGGAAAGATGAATCAACAGGAATTCTCCATAGCCATGAAACTGATCAAGATGACGCTGCAAGGTCACCTGGTACCCACCACTCTACCACCCATTATGAAGCAGCCACCAATCCCATCACCTCTCTCCTCGGCGCGGTTTGGTAATTCAAATCCTTCTAAAAGCAGAGTATATGCTGAAGTGTTGAATTTTTTTGTTTGCAGTGTGTTAGTGGTGTTTCTGCTTTTGTTGAAATCTAGTGTTAAATGTCTAACTTGTGTTTTTTTAAAATGAAAAAAACAAGTATTTAGAGGATTTAACAGAGCATTTTGTCATTTCAACTGTACAGTCACAATTATGTCAATGATGATGTATTACAAATAGCTCCTATTTTAAATTTCTATATAGGGATGGGAAGTATGCCAAATCTGTCAATCCCTCCAAACATGCCTTCATTCACTCCTTTGGCTCCCACATCATCCTTGATATCTGTGATCTCCCTGCCACCCTTGGGCATGTCAACTCCCCCGGTGCCTTCTGTTAGTCCTCCATCATTGCCAAATGGTACATCTGCCCTTCTTCAACCTTTAGCATCACAGAGCACATCAAGTAAGTAGTAACTATTGCATATTAACACTTAGGCAAATAAGTATTAGATGTGTGTAATTATGTTTAGTAATAATTCATAACACTTAATCCATGTATTTATGAAAAGTTCCATGTAATTTTGTTCATTTTCCCAATGTTTTTCCTTCATTGACATTGTCTTCTCTGTTCATTGGGAAAGCAAGGAAAACATGAGGCAAACTTCTTTGCAAGTTTGTCAGATGGATTGTGTTAATTATTTTATCAGTTACTGCTTTGTGTTAAATGAACGTGTTCCTTTGTGAGCAAGGTGAGAGATGAAAGAACTATTTAATCTTTGCCCTAAACTCGGGTGTGAAGTGACTAAAGAAGATCATGATGCACTCTGCATGTACTCCCTTATCAATAGCAAAGGGCATTCCTGTTAACTGTTCTTTTAAAAAGGCAATCTGCCCTTTTGTAAAAATCCAGTGATATTCCTGCTTCTACTAAATTATTTTAGTACAACATTCATTATCACGACCTTCAAAACCTTCAAACCATTTCTTATTCAGTCTTTGCTGTAATCAGCTTGTCTTTTTCTTGTTGGTTACTGCACCTCAGTTATGTCACATTATGCGTCTAACCTATGAAGATGTTTCTAATCTTGTTCCACTACTATTGTTATACTCTTCACCTTGACATTCTCACCTTTGATATCCTGCTCCACCTCTCTTTCAGTGTTGCAAGTCCTGTTGCTCTGTTGTAATTATGGGAAAGTGTTCTTACTTGTGACTTTATGAACTCCATTAATTTCCTTCAACACCATTGATTGCTCAGCATTTCAGCACGTCCAGAAAATGATAAATACGGATAGAAAACTAACATAAATTTTCTTGTTGCATTTGACTAATGAAAATGATGTACATCATCCCATGGTACTCTAAAATTTTCCTGGAGGTCGGTTTGGAGGCTTTCTTTCCTTTCCTAGGAGAAAGAGCCTACAGGCTTGCTTGGTAACCCGGCTGCCACCTGGAGCCTGCCCTGTGGGAAATTGAAGGAATCAACCCACAATTTCAGTATTCTAATGGATGCACACTGCCTGTAATTGCATAACTGAGATACATGACTTGAGTGCAATTCTGAACTCATTCAGTAGCTGAGCTCTGTATGATCCAAAATATTCCATTGACTCACTGCTTGTTGGTCACCCACCAAAGACAGATAAACATGTTGATGATTTGGAGAACCTATCTCCATCTTTGTTCTGGCAAATAGCATACAAATAATTGTGCAATGGTTCAAAATGTGTCTGTGTTTACACTCTAACTTTACAATATAACCCCTTAATTATACACTTCCTTATAAATACGGGTTTGCATTTAGCATGGTCGGGAGTGTGGACTGCTGACACTGACTCACTGAAAAAAAAGGCCAACTTCTGGGTTATCGGGTTGCCAGAGAAGTGATATTGTCCATGACCTAAATTCAACGTCTTTTCAGTGCAGGAGAGCTGGCTAGCTGTGTGAATGCATAGTGAATGCTGAAGCATGGACTAACAACTGTGGCCTCGATTTAATGGGGTAGGGGTTGGGACAGTGTTAAAATGGAGCTCTTCTTCATAGCTTTATCTACATATATTATTAGTGTGTATCTATAGTGTGCAAGTTTATAATTTTTTGTTAGTATTTCTTAAGTCACCTTAAGGGATAGGATGTCAGTGCAGTGGATTCAATACACCAGCATACTATCTCAGGAACATATCAACCTATTCCCACTATGTCTGTACAGCAAGTTCTTGATCTCAGATGTTGGATTGGATGGATAGCTGACTTTTGGGGTGGGGAAGAGCAGAATACGTGTAATTGTACACATTCTTCAGCCACTTGTTTCTCATGTCCTGGTGCTTGTTTTTCAGCACTTCCACCCAATTTGTCTCTGAGGCAGTCATTATCAGGATTTGGTGGCACCAGTCTACACAAGGCACGGTCACTGATCGATCTTGGCTCTAGCAGGTATGAGGAAAAATATATTATTTTATCCAAAGGGCAGAGCAGCCCCATTATACAATGTCTCGGTTCAAGAAAAATTAGACACTGCATTATAACGAGTTCATAAAACAAAATGGCCACTGTTTCACTTCAGGTTCATCAAGTTGCCACTTTCTGCGCACATGGCCTGTAACAATACAATTTATATTGATATCACGCCTTTCATGTCAGGAAGACATCTCAAAGTAGTTGACAAACTTATGTACCGGAAGCACTGCTGAGGTCATTTTCTGCGCTTGTACGCTGCAAGCAAGAAACATATCTGACAACACTGGCTTCACGAATAGGTATCAGCACTGGAAGCGACAACAATTACACTAACTTTTGTACACACCAAACAGGAAATTATGTTAGGAGCGACCTGATCACCCAAAAATCAGCCATTTTTGTTCTGTTTCACTTAGAGCATGGTCTCTGAGTTATTGGATCCAAAGCACCACAGTAGATTGTGTTGTTGCTTTAGGGTGATGCTACACTACACAGAAGGGTGACCTGGCAAGGTTTAAAGTTCAAAAATTATTGCTGAGAAAAACTGAGAATGTTTTTAATCAAAAGAAGTGTGCTGTTTTTGTCTGAAATAATGTTTATGCAGTCAAGGTAAAATTGATACATTTCCTTTTTTTTAAACAAAAATGCATTTGAATTTCCTGAATGGGTAAATGGATTATGGTATGGCTCTGAGCCACATAAGTACTAAAGTCTTGGGTTTTCAATCTTGCGGTATTGGTTTCAAGCATCATTGCAAAACTAGACCTGAGTAAGCCTCATGTGATACTCCTTGGCTATTAATTCTTAGCTTTTATATTTTGATGTTGTTATTAGTTCACTCTTACCTAAGATGTTCTGCTTGGTATCAATAATCCTTGCATTTGATGTAGCACCTTATCACGTTGGGAAGTCATGCCAAAGTACTTCACAGGCATTGTAAAGTGCAGCGCCTGTATTTTGTAGGTGAACACAGCAGTCAATTTGCACACAGCAATGCCCCACCAACTTCGTTGAGATGATTGACCAATTTTTTACCTGGGAGAAACTTTACTCTTGTTGAATAGTGCCATTTAACTGAAGAAGCAGATAGGATCTTTGCCTGAGTTTAACTTCTCATCTGAAGAATAACAATACAGAGCTCTCCCAGAATGTCAGCCTGGACAGTGAGCTCAAAACACCAACTTGGGGAATGAGCCTTCAACCTACAGACCAGAAACTAGAGTGCAACCAGCCTGACAGCTTGCTGAGAATCAACGCATTACAAAGTACATTTCCAGACACCACCAATGTACATTGCTGGGCTACCCAGCTTAGTCCGATCATACAAATCATGAATTTCCTTTAAAACAAAAACAGAGACAGCTGGGAAAACTCAGCAGGTCAGGCAGCATCTATGGAGAAAGGAAAATGAGTCAACATTTCGGGTTGACGACCCTTCGTCAGAACTTCCTTTTGCTCGATATAAATGTAGGATAGTAGTGTCTGGAAAAGCACTTTCTAATGTTTGTTTCACAGAATGTTACAGCACAGAAATGGCCCATTTGGCCTATCAACCTAAGGACGGGAGTCAGCACTGTCAAGGGTCTTCTATTTTGGAAATGCGGCAAATTCAATGTGCTTGTTTCAACGTGTCTTTGTTTTGTTATTGTTTTATTATGTTATCTTTGCTCAAGCTGGGGACCCTACAGTCATTGATATTTTGTACTCGGCAGCATTAAGTGCTGAAGGTTGATATAAGCACTTCAATTGTGGCTGAAACTTTCTGAATTTCTAATGCTTCCACACATTTGTTTTCTTTTCTCTTTTCCAGCAGTTCATCCTCATCCACGACTTCTCTGACCTCGCCCAAAATCAGCTCAACTGACTGGGCAGTGCCTCAGTCCTCCAGGCTTAAATATCGACAGCTCTTTAACAGCCTGGATAAGTCCATGTCTGGTTACCTCTCAGGTCAGCAAAGTAGTTGTCTTTGTGATCGTTCATGCCCACCTTCCTCTGGTGCAGACTTAATGAAGATGATTTAACAATTAGTACCACATCACTAGGGAGCCTCCTATTTATTTGCAAGTTGAATCACTATTTGTTTTGTTGTTTTTTGGAATTGGAATTGTCTGTAGAGAAGAGGCAGCAGTTGTACCCTTGGCATATAGGTGATGTTTCCATTCGGCATGCTAGTGATGCTCACTTCACTTCAGTGGATTAGTGACTGCAAGCTTTAGGGCCAGATTATGTTTGTGCCAACTGAACAATTGCCCAAGCAAGTAATTGCAGCCCAGTCTAGAACACCTTTAAAGAATCTAGCCTTCAGCAGTTTCAGTATTCTGATGGTACGTGACATTTGCATGCAAACAACTGGTGCTCCATCCATCACAAAATGCAAAATATTCATTTCATTTTGCTCATTGTAAATGTGCAATGGTTGTGTCTGAAAAATTACTCTAATGTGTTTCTTTCACCGAATATTACAGCAGAGAAACAGGCAATTTGGCACTTCAAGTCTGTGCTGGTGTTCTTTTTACACAAATGAACCACCTACGCTAATCTCACTCTGCTCCCTGCTCCGCAAATCCTTTAATATACCTCTCTTTCCAACACCTAATTCCTTTTTGAATAATTTATGGACTCTGCATCAACCATGGCAGATAATTCCACATTCTACCCACCCTCTGCATGTATTTTTTCCTAACCTCCTCGTTTAATTACTTTTGTCAATTCCTTAAATGTGTGCCCTTTTGTGCAAGCAAATTTTAAAAGTGACCCATTGAGATGTCTTGGTGAAATCATACCTGTTACTGTTTGTTTAGAGAAAGCTAAAATGAAGCTGTATGCACAGTTATGAACAAAGGGAAACTTTGTGTGGTTATTCTTCTGTATTACTCAGGCTGTCAATTTCATTTTAGGGCCGCAAGCTCGGAATGCGCTTGTGCAGTCCAGCCTGTCACAGACCCAGCTCGCTACCATATGGTGAGTTCACCTGTAATAAACCAGTCTCTCTAGGTATTGTTCTGATCAACAGCTCCCACCTGTAGCTGCACAGTGGTGCCCCATCCAATTACTGTATTTAGGATGTAATTACAGTCAGGGTTTGCTGAATATTGCAAGACTCAACACTGTATGACTCTGCTATTAGCGATTTTTTTTAAAGTTCTGCATTTTAATAAAATAAATTGAAATCTGTACAGGCGAACCCTGCTGAGGTTGGCATCCAGTTCCAGACATTCAGTCCTGATTTTTTGGGGTGTCTTGAAACCTCCTGTTTATTTTTACAAGCTTTTACACTGGATCATTATGCCTAGGGTGAATTCAAGGTACCTTACAACGAACAAAAAGTGGTTAATGTGAACAATCATCTCGATTTCAAACCCTGCTATGACCTGAAACCTTTCTCATGGAAGGAGATTTTCAGCATGGGCAACAGATTAATGCCAAAAGTGAATGGACAGAGATTGTATCTTCTACAGTGTCAATTCCAGGGGCCTGTGCTACTGGTTGTACCAGCACCAGGAACGGCAGATATTTGCCTTTCAATTCCCACTCCCTTTCTGTAGTCACATGCCTAGCCTCCACTCAGTTCCACCTTATGATGGCATGAATGAAGGTCTAACATTTTAGTAAATTGTAGGCATGATTCTCCTTCCTACTGTTCTATGGCACTGTCGAGTGCTAGAGCTCTGTGGCATCATGTACGCTATCTTCTTGTTAAGGTAAGACTATTTAGATTATTGCTTCTCTGCCAGTAAAATGTATAGGACCCAAAGCATTAACTCGTCTCCATCACATAGTTTACACAGAGTACAAATGAGCCATTTGGACTTGAAACCATTCCACTATGTTAAGGGTGTATTTAGAGCAGCATGTCATCCACATTATTTGTTCCGACTAAAATTCGTAGGTTACATTAATTGTGAAAATGATATTCAAATTTTACAATGGGTTAATGATAATAGGTTCATCTGTGTATTGGTTGCCCCGTGCTCCATGATTAATCATTCATAATCTTAAAACAGGAGCGAAGCTGGTTAGAAGTAAGATGAGTTGAATGTACTTTGTTTATAATAGTAATTATATTCATCTTTACATTTTATATCATCTCTCACGTGAGGATACCTCAAAGCGCTTCACAGAATTACAGTAAAGAGTAATAACTATATTTTGTAGGTAACCTTGGCAGTCAATTTTCACACAGCCATGAAGTGAATGACCAATTTTATCTAGACATTGTTAGCTAGCACACCGGAAGAAACTCCCTTCTCTTTTTGAATAGTGCCAAAGATCATAAACGGCACCTTAGCAGGCACACAGTACCTTGGTTTAACGTCTCATCCAAATGACAGTATACTCTGTGAAGCACTTTGAGATGGACTCCTGACATGAAAGGCACTAATCAGTTGCAAGAATTATTAATTTTATTACTCCATCTTTTAATTTTGCAAGCAACTTGCTAACTCCTGCCTCTAATGGACTTGTTCAATAAATTGCAGGAACCTGGCGGACATTGATAAGGATGGAAAGCTCAAAGCCGAAGAGTTTATTTTAGCGATGCATTTGATTGACATGGCCAAATCAGGACAACCTCTTCCTCTCACACTTCCCCCAGAATTCACTCCTCCTTCTTTCAGGTATGTGAATCTCTTCAACAAAAGGGGATCACTCAGCATCTGAGAGAAAAAGGCAGCTTCGCATTTCAAGTGAAGCCCTTTTAATTCAGCATGGTTTGAAGGGGTAGGGTGGTCCTAGCTGGCCAAGCAGAAGGGAGCGGGCCAGGCAATGGTAAGCTATGTGCTTTTATCCGGTTAAACCTCAGCAGAACCCCAGCGGAAAGACTGCTGCGCAAGCCTTGGCTCCTGCCAACCTGCTCCTAATAGTTTATGGAATTAGGTGAAGAAGGTGAACAATTTTTCATTCAGTTATCTGTAATTCAATAAATAAAACAATCAGAAGTGAAAATGGTGTTGAATTTTGCATTACCCAACAAAGTGATGGTACACACTTTATTCCAGACAAATGTGAAACTCATGTCTAGGTGCATGCATATATGGAACTCAGTCTGGTTTGGATACACTTATGGTATTGGGTGTCCTCATGTGTCCCTTTTTTTGGCTTTCCAAAAAAAAGACGAAAAGTTACTCTCTTGCCTTCTTTACTTTAAAGATTAAAGGCTAGTTCTTTCCTATACTGATTGACTCGATATTCTTTTCCAGCACTTTTATTCAGATTTGTGCTGTTTTTTGTATCTGTTATTCTCTTTGTTTCCCAGATTGTTCCTCTCGTAATTTTCATTGGATTTTTTTAAATAGAATTTGACTAGTTGATAAGTTAGAAATTTTGTATTTTGATCACGTATGTAAAAGAGAAATTCCTGACAAAGTTAATAGTTTCAGCTGTGAATCAATGTCAATAAACACACGTAACATTTAGTGGAGAATGCAGTCTGTCCGCTTTCTTCTTTAGATCAAGCAAGTGGGGCGATGGAGTAAATGGAGCATCCCCTCAGCATCAGGAAAGTGTAGAAGAAATCCAGGAGCCTTCAAAAAAGTCGCCAGGCAAGTTATCTTCTGTTTGTGCACATTGAGTGTTTTGTGTGCAGGAAGGTCAAATTATAAGCACTTTTGATCATGGGAGGAAAAGGTCATTTTGTTTGTTTCCCATCCAGTCCATTAGTTCCTTCATCGCCTTTTCCATTTCAAGCTGTATAGTTGGACCTGCTTCATTGTGTGACGTGGCTTGCAGTGAACAACACTCTATTTGTTCGTTTTTTTGGCCCAAATTTGGTAGGTACTTTTGCTGCGTCCCATCAAATAGAGAGTGTGTCTTATTGACGGCAGAATGAAGGTTGAAGGACGTCCTCCTGACGTGAAAGGCGCTTTATAAATGGAATCTTGTTGTTGTTGTTGTTGTTAATTTAATGGTTAACTTGTGACCAAGTTTTTTTTTTCTTGTTCTCTTTTCCCTTCCCCCCTCACCCATCCAACATATAAAAGTGTCTGGTCTCCACATGGTTCTTTTCCATGAATTTAGCTGATGTGGGGAGGGAACCTGCCCAGTGTTTCTTAACATGACACATAGGTGCTGTAACTTGTTTCTACCTAAATAAATACTTTAAATAGTCACATGTTTATGGTGCCTAATATGGGTGAATGGAGGAAATAATGAGTTTGATTTAATTTACCAGTCCTATAACAAAATATAATCATTTGTGAGATTGTACCCAAACCAGGGAAACGTCCGATCATAGTCGTGATGGTAGCAGTGTTATCTGCGTGTGATGTAATGGAGTCATGTGCATGGCTAGCCACTTCTGTGGCCTGCAGCAAAGTGGTCCTGAAGTGAAATTAACTTAGTCGAGGCCAGTTGAACACATGATATAACATTACTTCAGGCCATTTTCCTACCAGCCTCGAAAGTGAATGGGATTGAATGTATACCGCACATAGTAATCACCATGAATTATGCTGTCCTCATGAGCAGAACAGAACCGACATGTTAGTAAATTACATGGAGCAGGGTAAGAGCATCACCGATTGTATTTGGCCAGAGCGGCTGACAGTAGTTGTCATAAGAAGCCTGAATGAAAAGAATGCTGAATGTGTTGCTTTATTGGATCCACACGGCAAGTGTTGGAAGCAGCTGTCCAGGATTTCCAGGATTGACAGCAATCTTTATCTTTACATCTTTACAGTTACCTTTGAGGATAAGAGAAAAGCAAACTATCAAAAAGGGAACATGGAACTGGAGAGGAGGCGGCAGGTGCTTCAGGACCAGCAGCAGCGAGAGGCTAACCGCAGAGCGCAGCGAGCAAGGGAGGAGCAAGAGAGGAGGGAACGAGAGCTGCAAGAGCAAGAACGCAAACGGCAGCTTGAGCTCGAGAAACGGCTGGAGAGACAACGAGAGCAGGAACGGCAAAGGGAAGAGGAACGGAGGAAAGAAGTAGAAAGGCGAGAGGTTTGTAATGACAAATTCTAAATACATGCTTCCTTTTTTGAAGGGGTTGATTTTTATATTGTGCTTTTTATAGCGCTTTGGGACGTCCTCTGGATATGAAAGGCACTATACAAATATAATTTGTTGTTATGGTGGCAGTGGGGATGAAAGAAATGTTAATTTTCCAGAGGATTGAAGCAAAGTGGCTGAAAGCTCCCCTACTAATGGTGGGGTGCAGGAGATGGGGGAATGAAGTTGGCAGAATAGAGGGAAACACTAGGAGAGAAGGGTCAAAGGACATCAAAAAGTAGGCCAGGAAAAAAATTGTGTCTGAGGGTGAGGACAAGGATTCGAAAGGTGAGGGATTATGAGACTGGAGCCAGGTCATGATAGGGAGATGAGCTCATGGAGTCAACTGTAGGACAGATGTGAACTGTGGAGCTGATTAAGTTAGTGACCGGTATATTGGAAAAAATGTAGTCTGAAGGTGAAATGGTTTTGATTGTGCCAAATGGAAGAATTTGTAGGAATCCAGCGTTGTTCATCTTAGATCCATGGAATCATAGAAAGTTTCACACAGAAAGGGTCTGTAATGTCTCTTCTGCTGCTAGCTTTCCCACTAGAGCAACCTCTTGTAACCCAGTTCAACCCAATTCAAATCCCCCTCCTCTTACTCTGTACTGTTCAATACTGTACCGTTGAAGTGCTCAGATGCCATCCCACATGAAGGATGCTATATAAATGCAAATTGTTGGTGTTCAATGTTATTTTTCCTCAAGCATTTATCCAATTGACTTTTAAATGCAGTTATAGACTTGGCAGGTTATAGTAAAGCATTCATTCCACTGAAGAAAATAGCCCAACTTCTTTTGTTAGTCTAATATTGTCAGCTTGTGCTCTTTGCATATTTACCTGTATTTTGTGGTCCTTAACTACAATTATTATGCATTTATTGTGCATCTTAGGCTGCTAAACAGGAACTCGAACGTCAACGAAAGGTTGAATGGGAGAGGATCCGACGGCAAGAACTTTTGAACCAACGGAACCGGGAACAAGATGAGATGGTCCAGTTAAAAGCAAAAAAGAAAAGTTTGGAACTAGAACTGGAGGCATTAGTAAGTAAATGTGTGAACATTAAAGTATAGGGATAAAATAGCAATTAAAAATAGCAAGGACTTATCACTGTCCAGCAAGTCAGGCAAAGCACAAGAGACAAACCAGTTCATATCCAACTGCAGCCCAACACAAGTCAGAGTTTTCAGAAGATTAATGTACGTGATATATACTGATGTTTAATGTACATGATACATACTATCTTAGAAAAAAAATCTTTTCAATTTGTTGCATCTAAATAAATTACAGCTAAACAAAACCAGCTCACAAGAGGGTAGAGGCAGAATTACACTTCAAAATTCTAATACTTTTATCTCATAAATAGGTACCAGTATTCTATTGTGGTTTGGGGACCTTGAAATCCTTGAAACCTTTGTATCCCCCAACTGCCAATAGAATCAGCACGACTAATGATGCGTTAATTTGCTCTCCTTCACCAGACAAAATCTGTACATTCGTGTGGGAGAAAAACAGGGCACTGACCAAATATAGTAAAATGTTCCACTGTAACAATCGAGTAAGGAGAGTAAGTGCGCAATTACTATGAGTTTTGCTGTAAATGACAGTGTAAGAAGAGAAATGTAATGTTCTTAGTTTCAGGCAGGAGTAATAATAATAATAATCCTTGCATTTGATATAGTACCTTATCACAACAAACCAGTTGTCCATCTAATTTGCCCTTCCAATTTCCCCAAAGTTTTCTTCACTATCGCTATCTCATCATATAATCATTTTAATATCCAGGAACTTATCTAGTTCATTTTTGAAGCCGTTTTTCTTGCTCCAACACCTGCCCTAATCCATATTCTTTAATCCATTTGATTATTTTTGTCCTTACAATTGTGATAATTCTTCAGTGCTGATTGAAGAGACTTCTACAGTGGGATTGAGTTGGATTGCTCTTTTAGGAGTGGGCGCAGACACAATGGACCAAATGCCCTCTTTCTGTGCTGTATGATTCTATGATACTACTTCTAGACCCAAAGTAGGACTGACTGGGCCTAATCTTCCACACCTAAGGCTGCAATGAGTTAAAAAGAAGCCACAAATAAGAGTAAATGGAGTCCTGTAGCTCAGTGGTTAGAGCACTCACTTTGTAAGCGAGAGACCTGAGTTCAATTCCTGACAGGGCGAAACCTTGGGCAAGTTTCCTTACTCCACACGCCTAATAATAAGCCCTCCAAAAAAACAAAATAACAATAAATTGGTCATTTTCAATCTACGACTGTTTGTGGGACATTGCTGTGCGCAATTGGCTGCCGCGTTCGCCCACAAATATACAGTCAATTCACTTTACAGTATATTCTGTGAAGCGCTTTGGGACGTCTAGCAGACATGAAAAGCGCTATATCAAATGCAAGGATTATTATTATTATGAATAATGTGATGTATCGCCAGACAACAAGATCAAATGAAGGAAACACACACAAAATGAAAGCGAACTGATTGGAATGAAAGTCCCTTTATTGTTTGTCAGAGCTCAGTGTGAAATGAATTGAAGCAGTCTCGTCCCAGCTTCAGCTCAGCAATAAATCAATATTATTTGTCACTCACTCCCAGGATAGCTGGGAAATGGAAACCCTGCAGTACAGGGTGGCTTGAACGCGAGCTCTAATCATTCTATACATGATGTAGAAGTGCTCAAAATAGCAAGATAAATAAAAAATAATTCACCATAAAAAAACTGAAAGGAAAGAAGAAAGCCATATCAGTAAAATTAAATAAAAAAAGTGTGAAAATTGAAGTACTGAATAAGAGAAAACACTAAAAAATATATTTCACTCTTAAAATTACTGATATTTTAAACTGTGAAAATAAACTAATGATGCTAGATCAACTGCAGAAAATTCTGCATGCACTTGTCATTTAGCTTCTCCAACACAAATAGGTTCTGGAATGTGAGACCATGTTGTCTGTGTTATCTGTGGAATGCAGTTTGTCAGAGCCGAGTAATGCAGGTTGCAATCTCAGAATAATTGTTCTATTTGCCTTTCGGAGTGCAGGATAAAATCTAACTATCTCCTCTTTGATCTTTTATCTGTGAAATTGATGAGTCCATGTTAATGAAATCGTGCAAATGCTCTGTTCGAAGGAATAGGCATAAAGGGCTGAATTATCTTTTTTTTGTTGCTTGCTTCAAATGCTTAATGATCCATGCTGATATAGAGCAATTAATTTTGGTTTGGTAACATTGTAGAGTTTCATTATTGATTGTGTGAAATTGCTGTTTCAGTGTTTATATACAAGTCGCTTAATTGCATCTCTTCACTGTCTCAGACCGAAAAGCAGCAAAAGCTGTCGAGCAGATCGCAGGATGTTCACAGCAGAAAACAGATTCAAAAGAGTGAACTGAATTTGATAAATCAGAAACATGGCCAGAGACTAACAGAAATTAATGTGTTACAACAGGAGCTCCAGGTAATGGCCTCACTGTAATTCCTGTTTTAGCAGGTGTGTTTTGTTCATTGTTTGATGACATATGACCAAAAACATGGTATTTACTGAAAATAACCCTTGATTCACTCAGGCTTAATCTGTTGAATTCCCAGGAAATAACATTAATGCTTTCGCCTTTCTGCTGGTATAAAACCATGCAGATTAAATGTCATGCAGAACAAATGGACCCATTCAAGGTTGCACTGTTTTGATCTTCATATAATACAGTGGCACAGAATAATGGTATTCCAACAAGGTAAGCCACAGAATGGTTTTCCAGGATAGTTTCTATTTGACAGAACTTGACATGGAAACAAATGTTCTGTACAGAAGGGAGCTGTTCAGTCCATTATATCTGTGCCATTGACTTTTTGTTATTAATCCCACATTCTTTAGATTTTTCTCCTATGTCGCTTAATATTTTAAGAGGGGACTGAAATCAAACAGGTAGGGAAATAGAGATCAGTACTTTTAACCAACCAGCTCAAGAGCAGCTCGAGCCAACGTGTTCCTGTATTGGATGGGGATTCAACTGTGCTGCAGGGAAAGGTAGAAAAATGCAACCAATTGTAGTTCAATTAAAACCTTTAAAGGTCTTTTTTGATGACTCATTGTGTAAATGCTCAGCTTTTGTGTTACTGAGGCGTGGGTTTAGGGGTAACAATGCTTATGTCAATGCAGAACTGGATCCAGCTGGTAGCGTTGCTGTCATCTCAGATTGGCTGTTTCCGTGAAACATCGTAATGTGTGGCGATAATGCACCCTAATGTTCAGCATGACTTATCTTGGGTACACAATACCTAATATTCTCAAACTATAAGACTTGCATCTGTATAGCACCCTTCACATAGGATAATATCTTGCAACATTTCACAGGGAGGGGGGAAGAGGGAGGTGGCCATAGGTGCATTCAAAGAGGTGGGATTTGAGTATAAATGTTCTGATGAAGGACGTACCCAGACATTGGCCTATCATTTTTTAGCTGTTGGTTTCATTACAATTTCCAGCAATTTGTTTTCTTTCTATTTCTTTGGATCTCCATCGTTTGTTTCAATTGGTCTTGCTCTATAATATCAGTCCAAGCCATAGTTTTTATTGTTTTGTTCCTGAGCATGGTTTGCCAGTGACTGTTAAAAAATTCTCAAATTAATCAGAGAGGAAACACGGCTTTTAATTTTCATTGTCTTTCTTCAAAGTCCGTACCCTTTCAGCCAGATAGAATGGATCGGATCAGAGGACTCAGCTGCAGTTTAGTGCTCAGATGAGTAACTCCATCTTTCCAGATTTTCCACAGCTAACTCAGTGATTGGATTGACATCCTATTAATGTGTTGCTGCTTCCCCAAGTCACTCCAGGATATCTGAATAAATATACTGATGTGATTTAGAATCTCAGTATTTGCTTTAGTTCTTTAATGTTTGCTGAATGCATTTAATCTGAGCATCTGTAATCTTTCAGAAGTTGCATTTCAGATTGCTATGGAATATGTTTTTTTACTGTCTTGCTTTTAATCCATTTGAAAACTCCATGCCTACATCTGTTCTTGCAGGACTATCAGAAAATGCTGAGTCAGCTAATTCCTGAAAAACAGGCTCTGAGCGACCAAATAAAACACAGTCAGTCCAACACTTTCCAGAGTAAGTACTTTCTGAGTAATTGTCCATTTCCCACATTTGTGTTTTCTCTCTCTCTCTCGTCCCCTCATCCCCCTCTGTTCAGCCAGCGATTTGAGCAAGGATGGGGATGATAGGCTCGCAGAGTTTAGTGTGGGAGAGGCCAAGAGCTGCAGAGTTCTGGATGGTCTGCAACTTGTCGAGGGAAGTGTTGGGAAATCTGGCAACCAGAGAGTTGGCGTAATTGATGCACATGATAAAATCATGGATAAGGATCTCAGTGGTCTGAGGGGAGAGGTAGATACGGAGGTTGCAATGTTGCAGAGGTGGGTGAATGCTCAATGGCTCAGAGCAAGGGTATGGGGGTTTAAAAGAACAATTGAGAATCAAACAAGGGGTTGAGGTTTCACATTGGCTCTGGAGTGCGCATCCGTTTAGATTGATACTGTCAGTGCCTAAGGTGAGAAGGTGTTGACGGGAGCCAAGCAGAGAGCCTCTGTCTTGTTGACATTCAACTGGAGAAAGTTAGCTCTCATTGAGGCAATCATTCAAAATAGCTGTTGTCTTGGAATCATGGGGGAAGGCAGAGAGATAGAGTTGGGTGACATCCTCTTGAGAAGCTAACAATAAAGTTAACAGGAAGCCTGCAGATAACATCGCTGTGAATTTCTTTGACACAGTTCGATAATGTGAAGGTGCTAAAATAATAATAATAATTCTTGCATTTGATATAGCAACGTATCATTCTTCAAGACATCTCAAACTGCTTCACAGAATATATAGAATATATATATATATATTCTATGAATATATATAGTGAATTGACTATATTTTGCAGGCAAAACACACCAGCCAATTGTGCACAGCAGTGTCCTACAAGCAGTTGTGGAATGAGTGACCAAATTATTATTATACATTTTTGGGGAATGGATTATTACCTCCACAAAAGCGATCCACCAATCGACTAACAACTGGGTTCCTTCTTATTGCTAGGTATTCGGAGGCGTGTGAAGTAACAAACCTTGCCTAAGGTTTCGACCTGCTCAGGAATCAAACCCGGGTCCTTTCACTTGTGAGGCAAGTGAGAAGACTCGGGTTGCTCTAATCAATACATTGCAGGACTCCACAATCTTAAAGATTATTATAAAATGAGTGAATAGCAACTTCTATCAATTCTCTTGTAAAAACAGATCATATTTCTTTGCCTTGTATATATGCAGCATTATCCAGTAATCCTTTTCTGCTCTGATTCTGTTTGACCAGCCTCCATAATACATTGTTGACACTCGGCACTGATAGATTTAAGGATTATGAGAAGATCCCACATGTGAATTTGGTATAATTCAGTCTTCGTTGAGGACTGGCTCCAGATCTTTTAGAAAAGAAAACTAGATTAAATCGATTAATATGTTGAAAAACTGTTTGGAACAAGCCCCATGTTGGATCTTTGAATTCAGTGTCTAGACTACCGCTCCAGTTTAATGTTGAGTGAGGGCTGCATTGTCAGTTGGTGACGACCTTCATTGGAGATGTTAAACCAAGATCCCGGCTGCCTATGTAGTGGGACATTAAAGATTCAATGGCCCCTACGTCACTATACTTCAGAGAAAAATCATGTGAAGCACTTTGAGAAATCTCAACGACGTGATAAGGCACTAAATTAAATGTAAGGATTATTAGTATATGTTGAAAGTCTCACTGTACGCCAAGTGTGATCGGTAAACAATGTTTTTAATCAGCTGTACTACTTGAAAACCAAAGATGCAAGGCCACAGACACTTTCAATCACGTGTTTTTGATCTCTGCGCCCACATCTCTCCATGTGGGAGTGTCTGACCTCTGTCAGTCTGCTGAACTATGAGTTATCTGTCAGTTGCCTAAATGCCTCAGAAAGCAAAGAGTGGTAGTAACCGGTTGCTTTTCTGACTGGAGGGAGGTGTGTAGTGGTGTCCCTCAGGGGTCAGTATTGGGCCCACTGCTCTTTCTGATCTATATTAATAATAATCCTAGCATTTGATATAGTGCTTTTCACGTCTTCTCGACGTCTCAAAGCGCTTCACAGAATAGACTGTAAAGTGAATTGACCGTATATATTTTGTAGGCGAAACGCAGCAGCCAATTGCACACAGCAGTGTTCCACAAACAGTCGTGGATTGAAAATGACCAATTTATTATTGTTTTGTTTTGGAGGGATTATTAATGATCTGGAACTGGATGTAGGGAGCACAATTTCCAAATTTGTAGACGATACTAAGCTCGGAAAAGTAGATAATGGTAAGGAGGATAGCTAGCACCAGACTTAGATATATTGGTGAAATGGGCAGAAACATGGCAGATGAGATTTAATGTGGAGAAATGCAAAGTGTTGGATTTTGGTAGGAAGAATGAGGAGAAGCAGTATAAGCTGATGGTACAATCTTAAAGGGGGCAAATGAGCAGAGACCTGGGGGTCCACATAAGCAAATCTCTGAAGTTGGAAGGACAAGTAGATAAAGCTGTTTTTAAAAAAAAAAGCATACAGGATACTAGGTTTTATAAATAGGGACATAGAATTCCAAAGTCAGGAGGTTATGTTAAATATTTATAAAATGCTGGTTAGGCCTCAGTTGGAGTACTGTGTTCAGTTCTGGGCACCGCATTTTAGGAAAGATGTTAGGGCATTGGAGAGGGTGCAAAGGTGGTTTACCAGGATGGTACCAGGAATGAAGGACCTTAGTTATGAAGAGAGGTTTTCACCCAACGAGTTGTTCGGATCTGGAATGCATTACCTGAAACGATAGTGGAAGCCGATTCAATAACAACTTTCAAAGAGAAGTAGATGGGTATTTTGGGAGGACAGGATTGCAGGGCTATGGAGCAAGCCAGTGGGATTGAGTTGGATTGCTCTTTTAGGAGCCAGCGCAGATGCGATGGGCCAAATGGCTTCTTTCTGTGCTGTATGATTCTATATGCACAATCAGTCTCAGATCAATTAGCCTGAGGACAGGAACCCAAATTCTCACTGTTGTGCTTTGTACGGTGTGCCACCTATTATTGTGAGCTTATTCTAATTTGTGGGACATTGTTCTGCACAAATTGGCTGTCATATTTCCCTACAACAACAACTTGCATTTCTATACAACAACAACAAGATTCCATTTATAGAGCGCCTTTCACGTCGGGAGGATGTCCCAAGGCGCTGGACAGTTGGGTCAGGACCAGAGCAGGGATGAAATGGTGAGGGGAGGGGAGAGGGCGAGGAGGGGGTAGAGAATTGAGAGGGGAGCTGAAGGCACAGTCAAAGAGAAAGGTCTTGAAGGAGGAAAGGGAAGGCAAGGCGAAGGCACTGGGGGATAGAGTTCCAGAGCCCAGGGGCTGAGAGGCTGAAGGCCCGGCCACCGATGGTAGGGCGGTTGGGGCGGGTGATGTGGAGCAGACCGGAGCCAGAGGAACGGAGGGTACGGGCAGGGAAGTAGGGGGATAGTAGGTCGGAGAGGTAGGAGGGAGCAAGGCCGTGAATGGCCTTGTAGGTGAGGATGAGGATCTTGAATTCAATCCTCTGGGGGATGGGGAGCCAGTGGAGGCGAGCGAGGGTGGGAGTGATGTGGTCGCGAAGCCTGGTGCGGGACAGTACACGAGCTGCAGAGTTCTGAATGACCTGCAGCTTGTGGAGGGAGGTGCCGGAAGGCCGGCGAGGAGAGAGTTCCCATAGTCCAGCCTTGAGGTGATAAAGGCGTGGACCCAGAGTTTCAGCAGCGTGAGGGGTGAGGTAGTGCCGTAGTCTGGCGATGTTTCGGAGGTGATGGAAGGCGGTGCCAGTTGTGGTGCGGATATGAGGAAGAAAGGAGCGCCCCTCGTGCAGGGTAGGGTCCACAGTAACTATATTTCACAGTAAGATCACTGAGAAATCTCATTGACATGGTATTGCACTATATCAAATGCAAAGATTATTATTGTATGTTAAAAGTCTCACTGCACACCAAGTGGAGTCCCGTAGCTCAGTGGTTAGAGCACTCGCTTTGCAAGCGAGAGACCTGAGTTCAATTCCAGGCAGAGGGCGAAATCTTGGGCAAGTTTCCTTACTCCACACGCCTAATAATAATCCCTCCAAAACCAAAAACAATAATAAATTGATCATTTTCAATCTACGACTGTTTGTGGGACATTGCTGTGCGCAATTGGCTGCCGCGTTCGCCCACAAATATACAGTCAATTCACTTTACAGTATGTTCTGTGAAGCACTTTGGGACGTCCTCCTGACGTGAAAAGCGCTATATCAAATGCAAGGATTATTATTATTATTATTAAGTGTGATTGGTAAACCATGTTTTAAAACACTGTATGCAGAACGTTAGGTAGAACGTAATGATGGGTGTAAGCTCCACTATGCTGGCTCTGACTGGCATTGTAAATTGCTACAGAGGATGGCTGAATCCTGAAATGTCTATTAGAGGCTTACTCAGGAGCTCAGGGAATCATTTGGCATCTCGCCATTGATATCGTGACTATAAAAGCTCTTTAAGTCATACTTATCAATGCACTAGTCAGTAACCAGTGTCGTAACCAGTGTTTAAAACAAAACCGATTGATGTAAGTCTCCCTATTGATTCACTCATTCGCCACCTCCCACCTCGATTATTTCAATGCCTCCCCATGCCTTTGTGGCCTCCCCAATTCCACCATTCTTCAAATCAATTAATTCAAAACTCCGCCGCCCATTTCCTCACCTGCACCAAACTCCATACCCCCATCACCCCAGTCTTTGCCAGGCTCCACTGGCCCGCTATTGCAGATTGGATCAATTTCAAGATCCTTACACTCCTCTACAAATCACTTGACTCTCTGGCATTACCCTACCTCTTCGAAATGCCTACACCCTACTTCTCTCCCTATGGGAAATAGATACCCAATTCTCTACCCGCCCCATTCGCTCCGCCTCCTGCACGTCTCTCATTCTCTTCACTCCACCATCGTGGCCTTGATTCAGCGATTATGCCCTGAAACTCTCTTCCTCAATCCCTCTACCTTCCCCCTCCTTGCCCATCTTCAGATCACACCTGAAGACCTTCCTCTTCACCCATGCCCATTGTCACCTCTCCCCGTCTTGGCGTCAAGCTCTTCCACTATTAAGTATTTCGAGATGGTATTCGCACTATATAAATGCAAGCTGTTGTTGTTCAAAGTAAGATGTTTGTTCCTCAGATTCAAGCACGGTGCTGTTAAACAGGAGTAATGCAGAGAAGAAGAGATCTTGCGAGCGACTTCGCCAACAGCTAAACGAATTGGAAAAACAAACAGCTGACAAACTTGCAGAAATGGATGCTTTTAACAGCCAACTGAAGGTAATCTATTTCCGCCATCATTCCCATATGGTCCATATACCTTTCAGCTTCAATTCTGTTTATTAGGATATATTGAATGTCTTGTATGGGACTAGAATTGCATTTTAATGTTAGGCTTTGTGCTCCGTTGCCAAGACAGGTTTGTCTTCTCTCTACCTTAATGGAACCTGTCATCTAAAACACATTTTCTTCACTTCTTTACCCTGAGCCAAGAGTGCAGTCAAGATTCTCTGCCAATGCAACTTTTTAAACTGGTCTTTAAGAGATTTTAAAGGCTATTTATTCAAAGGTTTGATTTCCCTTCTCTTAACCCAACGCCAACCTTCTGTAGTTTAACTGGAGAGAATGGGATCAGACCTAAATCATTAGATTTTTGTGGTAACTCAGAGTATTACTTTTCCAAGTTAATTTTATTATGCCTTTTTACAATTTCAATTTGTAACTGCTTTTCTTAAGAGTGAGGTGTTGCATTTGCCTACATTTTTTTTAAATTGCTGATATTAGTGGAATGCTGACTGTTTCAGAAATATCTGTTTTGCTTGATCCTAGAAAACAGATCCTGGAAGTGGTAAGGATTTATTAGACTTTCTATTATCATTCCCTTATGATGCTGAGTTGTGCAGGGTGCAATGTATTTTTCATCAGTCACTGTAAGAAATGTGTGAGTAGAGCTATCAGGATTAAGACACCAGTCACAGCATATTCCTTAAAATGGAAATTCGGAAGGTTCTGATTTTCAGTGTTGGTCACTCAAATTTCACTCTGTGTGATCGGCTTTTGTATGACTTTGTCTTTTGGTGTTGAGAGAAAAGTGGTTAATGCAGATTGTTAGGTTATTTAACTTGGACCGTGGGCATGTAGCTTGTGGGAAATTGATACCTAATTAACAAACCTCAAGCAAAGTCACAGACCAGCTTGCATATGCATAGGACCTTTCATTCATGATTAACTTCACAAAATGTTTAACAGTTATGATGATGATCACAGGGAAGAGGGAATTTATTGGGTATGTGGTGCAGTCACTGCTGTGCCAGTTAATACTTTTTTATTAATTCTTAATTATTATTATTCGCCCACAAAATACACAGTCAATTCATTTTACAGTATATTCTGTGAATCACTTTGAGACATCTTGAAGACGTGATAAGCCACTATATCAAATGCAATAATTATTATTATTTTAAGAATGAATAAATACCTAGTTGGGAAAAAAAAGATTATAAAGTACAGATGGTTCCTGCTGGGATCAAACAAATGTGCGCCAAGGAATGGGACTGGTCTGGGATGAAATTGTTAGATGTAGCAGGTGAAATTTATGTTTCACTTGACATTTTTGGGCGGAGGGGGGAATGTCTCATAACTTTTCCTCAGGAGACTAATTGGGTTGAGTGGATCAGATGTGATCTGTGGGAGGAATGGGTTTGATGGGTCAGGTGCCCTTGTTATATTCCATGATATTCTTCCATTCATTCATCACACTGACAAATTGAAGGTTGGAAGCTGCACTAAACTGGCTACAGTAACACATTATAGAGCAATCATCTGGTCCAGGATCTCAGATTACATGTTTTAAAGGGAGTGCGAGAAAATGGCCAATTTCCTGGTTGTGGCAGATTGCCACCACCATCACTTCCTGTGGGGTTTTATGCCTGTATAGCATGCGGGAAGTGACGCTAGCAACACTTCCTGTGCCAAGCAGACAAGATGTGACACCTGATGATCTGGAGTTGGCCATTTTTTAATGCCAGAAGCTACCCAGAACCCTGAAGTGAACCGCACTTCTGATAACTGTTTATCCACAGGACAGCTGCTTTAAAAAGCAAACACATTTTCTAGCAAGACACTTAATAACCTGAACTTCTAAATCAACATGCTCCAGTTACTGAATTGCCTTCTTGTGTCTGCCTTTTGTACTGGTGATTCACAGTTCTGATTCTGGCTGTGGTAAAATTAGCATGAACTTGTGGAGTGGTAATTTTGAGGAACAACTGTGAGAAATCTGAATCTTCCTTTGCATGTCCTTTTTCTTCTGTAGAAATCCTCTGTTATTGGCACTTCATAGTACAGTCTTTATGCATTCAGTGAACAACTGATCTTTTGTTTTTTTCCCCTGCTTTGTTATCTTACAGTGTGAGGAAATTGAAGAATCTGTACTTGAGTGCCTTCTCTCTCTGCTGGGCTGTCTCAGCAACTTGTTCCTTTTACTAAAGGTTATTTGCTGGAAATGTATTATTTTCTCCCTGCTTCTATGTTTTACCGTTTCTCCAATCACTTACCCAGTTGTGCTTTATTGACAATATATCCTCAGTGCATCTGATCATGTTTCTAAGTATACTCCAGAAATCTCCCATGACCCAATAAAATCGCTGTCTTCCTAACAAGAGAAATAATCTGATCAGACTGACAGTCTTTCCTGTACACAAGCTGTGCAGCCTTCCCCCCCCCCCCACACACACACACATACACAGCCACAGTAACTTGCATGGAGGAAAGAAAGGTACACATACTGAATTTTATACAAACAAATGTGAATGGAACTGCACATATTTCTAATGGCACATATTTAACTAATGAGTACTTCAAATTAATGACACTGGATTTTGTAAAGTTTTGCACACTTTTTGTTACCCAGACTTAATCTGTTGAATTGGGGAGAAGCAGGGTTGGAAACATAGACTGTTATTGGTCATATTCTGGATAACTACAGACTGAAATCAATGTGATATTTACCCAGTGCTATTAATTGCATTTGTAAAATAACATTTAAAATATGAATTTTGCAAAATACTTCTATATATTAACATGACGAGAGAGGTTTGGATGAAGAAGGCCTTTTGACCCAATTTGCATCCTTAATACATCCTTTAAAAATACCATCTTACCATCATCCCATTCCAGCCATTCATTGTCCCTGGTGTAAAGAAATGCTTCCTGGTGTCATTCAGAAAGGGCCATAAGGATAGGCGGTGTGGGAAATGGGAAGTGGAAGACTTTACTGGTTTATCAGATATGATTCATATTATGGGATAAAATAGGAACAGAGTAGTGGTGGGGGATGGGGATGATTCTCTATCCTCTTGATGCTGATACTGGATGACTAAAGAAAGAACTTGCATTTCTATAACATCTTATCATGTCACAAAATCTTAAAGCGCTTCACAAGTAACTACTGTCAAGTATAGACAAGTATTTTTGTAGACAAACATGGCTGCCAATTGCTTCAGCAAGTCCTCAAAAAAGCCATGAGGTGAATGGCAATTAATCTGGTTGTTCATAGACCAAGACACCAAGGAGAAACTCCTTTCTTCTTTTGAATGTTATCATGGGATCATTAACATCCACCTGAACAGTCAGAAGGGACCTTGAATTAACATAATGATTCATTCAAAGGCAGGACTTTCAGCAATGGAACACTCCTCTGCTACTGTACGAGAGGAACAACTGTGAGCTCAAATCACAATGTAGGACTGGAACTTAAGTGAGAAAGTATTACCCTTCATAGTACTTAATGACTTTTAGCTGAATGGATACAAGTTAAATAGAAATGCACCGCCCAAAACCATTTTGTAGTTTCTCCTTCATTGTGCAGTAAAATAGACACTTTTATAATGAGCTGCCTCAGCCTATATTGCAGCAAATGATAAATTAGGCTCATCACATCAAAATGTGTGATAACATACTGTTTAGGTTTTTTTCTTGTAATATGTCAAAGGTCATTCCAGTTTGCTTCAAAAATATTTATGTTCACAACAGACTGGATGTGGAAAATTCTGGAAATGTGAAATGCCAGCAGGTACACAATAGATTGAAATTAGGCAGATAACTTTGTGTGATTGTTTTTCTCTTCATGCTCTGCCTCTCCTCAATCCCTATTTTCTTTTCTCACAGCATCTGTTTTAAAAATAAAACTAGTTGCTGACGAGAGTTGGAAATGTGCATAAAGCTGAAACCAAGATAACTTAGCATTATTGTGCCTGAGGTTCTTCTTAGTCTAATCTTTGTTCACCAGCTCACTGCTAAACCTCATGAGATGATCACATTACAATCTCCCTACCTGTAAAATTGGAGGATGTAATGTATTACAATTACTTTGATCAGTTATTTTATTCTTATTATTTTGTTTCCTTTTGTAAATTCTTCAATTTCACACCCACCACATATCAGTCAGTCACCACATATCCAAGGTATCCACCTTGATTGGTATATAGAGAGGTATATAAGCAACTTCAGCTGAAGCTCTGCACTTTCAACTGGTAGAACCATTGCTCACTGGGTAGGGATGTATGTCTGAGCTGTGGACAGGAGGATGACGGTAGTGCTATCATGCATTTCTGCTGCTTGTCAAGAAACTTGCAACAATTTCCTGGAACCTCTATCCATCTAGTGAGGGCCCAACCTACACTTATTGAATGCCATTTGTGGCTGAGCTAAGCGGGGTCTCCTTGGACCTGAGCTGAGTTCACCATGAGGTGTTTGGTAACAGAATGACAGATCGGCTCAACCCTCTGTGGTGATTTTGAACCAGGTGGATCTGTGGTATTCCAGGTTACTGCTCTTTGCACATCGGTCAGCTTGGCTCATTGGCAAGACATGGAGAGGTAAACTGATGAATGTGAGCTGGGATTCCTCCCACTAGGCTCCTGTTAACCTGCAAGCGAAAGCACTAACAAGTAGGATGGTCCTACTTGGACAAGAGCAGGACTAGCAAGCAATGAGATTTTACCTGGTTAACTTGCAGGACCCCAATACACATACTCTGGGGTCCCAAGGCTTGGCTGTTGCAAACCTACGACAGATTCTCTCCAGAATTCGGTAAGCACAGCGTGCAGCTCCAGGGGTCTGTGCACATTCCATTCCACGCACAGTTAAATTTCTATGTGTAGGCAGTAAACATGGGTAGAACTCCCAGTCTGGTTTGGATACTCAAGCATGAAGATGCATTTCTGGACTTATTGACACCCAGCTGAGCAAAAAAAGTCAGTCAGGTGTCGCCTGTGATTTTAAGAGGACAGAATATCAAGATCTTTTTGTGACTCTTGTTAAATGATCCCCTGCCTCTTGACTTCACTTTCACTAGTCTCTGTTCCCAAGTAAAAAGAGCAGCCCAGCACATTGGGAACTGAAAGTATAAACAAGTTTTACTAGTTCTTTGAGAAGTGCAATAACACTTTCCAACACCCACTTAAGTTCCAATGCTCCAACAAATACACTGTTTTTTAAAAAAACAAGGCAACACTTTAAACAGGGGAGAGGCTAGTATTTTTTTGGAGATTCTTGGGACAGAGAAAATCAAACAAAAAAATACATTTATAGAGCGCCTTTCACGTCGGGAAGACGTTCCAAAGCGCTGAAACCTTTGCTTCTCACTGTGAGCTGCAACTATTTATACTTTTTTTTTGCTAAGAGGGAAATCTATTCAGGGAGGTCATATAAAGAGAAGAGTTGTTTGTGTTAAAGGGAGATCCAAAGAAAACGATTATCTCTGTTTCTTTAAAAAAAAGAAAACACGATCAGTTTATGAAGGCATTTATGAACCAGAGGACACAGATTCAAGATTATTGGTAAAAGAACCAGAGGGGAGATGAGGAGACATTTCTTTACGCAGCGAGTTATTAAGATTTGGAATGTACTGCCTGAAAGGGTGGAAGCAGATTCAGCAATAACTTTCAAAAGGGAATTGGATATTTACTTGAAAAGAAAAAAATTGCAAGGCTATGGGGAAGAGTGGTGGAGTGGGATTAATTGGATAGTGCTTTCACAGCTGACCTAGACACTATGAGCCAAATAGCCGCCTCCTGTGCTGGAGGATTCTATGATTCATAATAACATGCAGAGAATGCCCTGCACACCTCTGTCAGACTTTTGTGGCTATGCTGATGAGACCAATAGAAAACTATTCATCACAACAGATTCTGCAATTCCTTGCACTGAAATACCAATTGCTTAGGTACAAGGGGATTGCTATCCAGGATCTCTATGAAAACTGGAGCTTTTAGTATTTCATCTTCAGAGTTTCAGTGCCTGTGATATATTAATGTCATGTTAATAAACAGTAAAGCACAATCCGCATTTTCCAATTCCTATAGAAGTCTGTTCATTATTGCGTAACCATGTACTCTGTTCAGACATACTTCATTGCTGGCCGCTTTGTTTTGTACACAGTTTACTAATGCTTTCTACCCTCGTGTTTAAACTTAACTTTAGTCTTACATTTTTTTTACCTACTGTTTTTTCTCCTCTTGTGCTGTTTTGTTTGTATTAAAGTCACTCACATCGGCCTCAATTTTCCCCTCTGATTTAAAAAGTTTTACTTTGGTGCACAGCAAAATGCATCATTTTTGCCTCTAACAAAAATAACTGTATTCTCTGTAATGCTGTTGAGTTATTTAAGGAAGTTGCACAGCTGACACTATGTACAGTTTTCTGGTTGCTGGTTGAGAAAACAAACAGGTGACTTGAGCCTCAGTGCTAACATTGCTTTGAAAAAGGCCTCTTCAAAGTCGGTGTGAATGGCCTGAAACCACCTCGCTCAATACCCGCCCTATATCCTCCCATACTTCCAATTGCTAGCTTCCCACGACAACCCAGTGAAGGTAAAGAATGGTGCATGCAGAAGATGATTTTGCAGAGTCAATATCTGGCAATCTTTTTTAAGAATGCACTTACAGTGCAAAAAGAGAGCTTTCTGTTCTTCTGTTTCTGCTGCTGGCAGCATGGGATTAGATATGGAATTCTTCCAGTAAGACAATGCCTCTACAATGGGATTTTTGAATTTGAGATGAAACTCATGTTAAAAAAGGTTAGATATTATGAAACTACCTGTAAATCTTTTTTTTTTTGAAACTGAGAAAGAAAAAAATGGGTGAAAGGGGCACAAAGGTTGAGGTCATGCTATCTTGTTATCACTCTGCGTCCTTTTCGAATGCTCTGCCCCTTTCATAGTGGGAAGAATTACTTGTGTCACTGTTGCAAATATAAATCCTTTAGAGCAACCATTGTGGTGTTAGCACTGGGATATTGAGGGGAAAATTTCGGCCATTATATTTATTGAAGACTTAAATTGCATTGTTCACTTGAATAATGTGAAGTATAAAGTGCTTCCCACTGAACAAATGGCCCATCCATCAGAAGGTGGGATGGAAATGTTCACTAGTCCATCATTTCTCCCATTACTTGCTGTCAACACACAGTTCTGGACATTCTTATAGTGAATTGTTCACTGGTTGCAGAGGAAAATAAGACTTCAAACAGATTAGATAGTCTTGAAACATGGTGAGTGAAAACTTGCCGAGATTTTTTTTAAAATAACTCAATGCTCAGTGATTGATGAGAGAGTGTTACTGTCACTAACATAATTGTATTCAGGTAGCATAAGGAGTTTCAGGTGAGGTAGGAAAGAGAAGATCTCAACACTATTGAGAAAATAGTCTTTTTAGTAAACATAATCTTCTTGATACCAAATACCTGTAATTGTTACTCAAGGGGAGGAAGATATAATGTACAATTCATAACTGGCACACTATAACATTGTATTCCATTGAGAAAACATGTGGTTCTTTGGGAATCCAGGTAAAGTCCCATACTATTAATAATGATCATTATTTATGTATTTAATACTATAATAATATATTTACCTTTGTATAAATGATTTAGGAGAAGGGACAGAAGCAAACCTGTCAGCCAGTTTGCTGATCGCTAACTCGGATAGTTGCAAGTAATGGTTAGTTACAGGGGGATCTGGGTTGATAGGGTGTTGAGCTGCCAAGGGGGAAATCACATTTAATGTGGGCAAATATTATGCAGTAAATGTTAAGTAAGTAATAAGAATCTAAAAAGTGAATAAAGTATTTGCGGAAGAGGGCAAAATTGTCATAACTCTTGTAATAGAATTTATCATGGGAATATTCAGTTCATGTTAGTAAGGACCAGTGAAAGTGACATTACCAAAATACTGACTCCAAACTGGCCTCTGCTGAGATCTGTACTAACTTTGGTCAGTTTATTTAAATATTTTTACTTGCATATATAATGTGCTGCACAAAAAGGATTGTGAAGATATAATTATTGTAGCAAGGGGTGGAGAGAGAAACACCTTTGTTTTAGCGCACTTTGACAGTGTAGATGATTATTGGTATTTCCCATTAGAAGCACACATTGTCAAAGTGCTATATTTACCACCATTGAAGGATGACTGGGATCCACAGTTTGCTGTGAAGTTCAATCTGTGTGCAGCAAGCAGTGGCTGCAATGAGTGCACATACCTCTGCACATGCAGTATTTTCATCTTAATGGTCATTGTAAAACGCATGTGCTGTTCGTGCTTTTAGAACTAATCTGTGTAATGGCAGCAGCTTAAAAATCGGTATAGTAAAATGTTTGGGTCATGGAGGTGGGTGGGGAGGGGCAAGCACATCGCCCTATGTAACCTGTGTATTTTCCCTGAACAGGAATTGCGAGAGCGCTTCAGCAAACAGCAGCTTGCTCTGGAGCAGCTCTGTCGAATCAAAGATGATAAAATCCGAGCAGTAGAAAGGAAAAAAGCTGAAGAGTTAGCGAGGAAGAAACGAGAAGAGGAGGACGCCATAAGGTCATTTATTTTTATGTTAAGGAATAAATATTTATTTCATAAGATTGCTTTGAATGTCTTCAGGGACCAGAGCCAAGAAATGATTTGGAAAATAGTGCCATTTGTTACTTACTTAGCTATATGGCTAGAGGAGTGATGTAAGGAAGAAGCATGGAATGGAAGATGAACCAATTAAACAGATGGGTTGGCAGAAGGATTTTCATGTAGATGAATATAAGGTAAGGCATATGAGAGAAAATAAAACAGTAAAGTATGTGTTCACAACCCAAAAGATTCTCAATAGTAGAGGTGAAGCAAAGGGTTTTTCATGTGATTATTGATTGTTCTTCTGAAATCTTCCAGTGAATGTAAAGCTATTAGCAAAAGTTAATCGAATACTTGGTTGCATTTGAAGGTTATTTGACTATAAAACAAAATATGTTATTCTAACCAAGTGTAGATGGCTAGTGTTGCTACATTTAGTCACAATACCGTGTCAAATTTTGGGCATCCTTTCGTCAGAAGGATATTGATTACACTGGGGAAGGTTACAGAACTTTGACAGTGATAATTTTAGGACTTGGTCTATATGTTATGAGCAGATATCAGCAGAAATGAACGTGTTTTCATTTTAGAAAGAAAATGAAGAGGGTTCAAGACATAGGACTTCAAAGTACAGTATTTCCATATCAATATCCATTGTAAGATACAGTTGCTTTTCTCTGCCATTTCTAGTTTCTTGGATTCTGATCGGCATTCAGAATCTTGCACGCAATTAGTGAGTTTAGACATGTTTATGATAACCCTCACCTTCTGTCCTTTAACCTATCTGCAGTTATTAAGTAATTAAAAGAATCCAGATGAATTATTGACAGAAACGCATTGCAAATTCTTCCAGGATATTTTAACTTGTTACCTCAAATCTTGCTGTGTTTTGGTTTTATAATTCTGGTCCAATTCCTCCTACACCCAACTAACTGGACATGAGATTATTCTGTGTCCATCAGTAATACTAACTCATGATAGCCCATGGTACACTGAGCAAAGGATAAAACCATTTTTTTCCTAATACTATTTGTATAAATTAATTCTGTGTCGCTCTAACACTTCATGATATTTGCAGTGCATCCAAAAGCAATTTCATAATGGATAGAGAATAACTGATTATTTAGATATTTGTCAGTAATCAGAATAAAAGCCCTGTTAATGATTGTTAAAGCCACTCTGACATTTTAGCTGATATATGTTTCGCTGGTGTTGATTGATTTCGGTACTGGCTTTGTTTAAGAAGATGTTTCCTTCAGATTTCCACTTTAGAGAATGCCTCAAAGCATTTTACAGCGATGGAATGGGAGTCTGAGCAGGATGGGATATGAGAAGCAGGGAGGAGGTGGTCGAAAGTTCAGTCAAAAAAGAGTTTTGTAGACACATTTGTCAAACATAGGGAAGTGGGGGATTTAGGGTCAGGGTTCAAGAGAACGTGGGCAAAGTGTCTGAAAGCTTGCTCACTGTTTGTGGGGCAGTGGAGGCAGGTGATACAAAGGTCAAATGTGGTGTAGTGGAGCAAGTGGGTGAGGCTGTTGGACCAACAGCCTCACCCACTTGCTCCACTACACCACAAATGTTGACACTAACAGAGAGGTTGGGAATGGCCTGTTTGCAAAGGTTTACCAACGCAATAAGCAACAATACAGCAGAACATTTTGAATTTTTTTTTAACTCCTTAGAAAAGCAAAACAGGAGAAAGAAAACCTTTGGAAAGAAAAAGTCAGAAGAGAAGAGGAAGAAAGGCAAAGGAAGCTCGAGGAAGAGCGACTTCAAGAGAAAATCCGGGATGAAGAGAAAAGGAAAGCTGAAGACTCCGCCGCCAGACAAAGAGAAATTGAGGCGCAGAATCACCGCCTTGCAGAAGAGAAGCGTCGCCGAGAAGAGGAGGAAAAAAGGAGGCTGGCGCAACTTCAGCGGGAGGCTGAAGAGAAACGCTGGCAGGAGGACGAAGCAAAGCAAAGAGCTCAGAATCTAAGAGAAACAGAGGAAAAGCGTCAGCGAGAGGAGGAAGAGAAGAGAAGAGCAGAATCTGTAAAACGAGATGAGTCTGAAAAACGTCATTCACGAACTGACGTGCAGGAGAAACTGAAAGATCTGCTGAAACATTTTGATGATAAGCCAATACACGGATCAAGGAAGGAAGGTAATTCAATGAAATCCCCTAGTTTTGGTTTTGATGTCAGTACTGAAATATTTTAAAACAATTTTCCAATCCAGGCTTTACTTTTCAGACTCTATTGGTGTCACCCACACCTGTGCTTGTTCATTATTATTATAATAATAATCCTTGCATTTTCTCCTTTATAACTGTTCAAGGTCCATCTCAAGACCTATCTCTTTGGTCATCTTTTCCCTCTCCACCCCCAGCTCAAGGTGCCAAGCCAGCATTGTTAAATGCTTAGGAGCCTGTCCTCACATGAAAGGCGCTGTATGAATGTAAATTTGTATTATCTCAAGGAGGGTAGATCGTTTCTGATGACATCAGGTCCTCTCCTGTTGAAAACCATGGCGTCTCCTTTATCACATTTCTCTCTGGCTGTGTTTGTTTTCGGTCATATGGGCAGACAGATAGAACTAATGTGCGGAAACCTCATGCCATGGTGGCCTCCAGCTTCAGGTACCAACCCTAAAACAGTAGGGATTGTTTACCACTTGATGCTGCAGTGCTGCATCACTCTTAAGTCAGTCTGGCTTAGTTGGTTGCCTTCTTGCCTATGGGTCAGAAGGTTTTAGAGTTCAAGCCCCACATAGTGTTAGGGATTTGAGTGCACAGTCTAAGCTGACCCTCTGGGACAGAGGGTGTGCTGTATTATTAAAGACATTTTTCTTCAGATGAGACATGAAACCAATGTCCTTCCTGCCTGTTCAAGTGAACGTTAAATCCTGAATAGAGAAAAGCATTTCTCCCAGTGTCTTGAGAATTCCCCAATTAATTTTGTCTTCTACTTGATGACTGTATGTGGGTCATTGTTTTGTGCAAACTGACAGTTATGTTACCTATAAATGCAGTTAGTGTACTTCACAACAATTACTTGTCAGATGTTTTGTGTCCCAGGTGCTATATCAACCACTATGCCCCAAATCTCTGGAACTCTGCTTCAATCTCTTCATCTTGCCTTCTCTTTGCCTACAAATCACATCTGACATCTTTCCTCTTTGACCGTGCCTTCCTTCACCTCCCATCTCTTTCCAGCTTGGCATCAAACCACATGGTCCGAGACAATCCTTCGTGAATGGTGCTATATAACTACATGTTGTTTTATATCACATTACTACACAGTATCAGCATGCTCTACTCTCAATCACAAGGTTGTTGGTTCAACCTTACCTCAAAACTTTGAACATGTAATGTAGGACTGGTGGTGCACTGCAGTGCTGTGGTCCATGCCTCTGTCACTTCCTGGCTGGGGTATTCCAATGCGCTCCTCGCTGGTTTCCCCAACTCCACAATACACAAATTTCAACAAATTCAAAACTCCGCTGCCCGGATACTTACCCGCACAAAACTCTGTACCACCATCACACAAGACCCTGCCAGGCTTCGCTAGTTTCTAATTACCAAACGGTTCGATTATCGACCAGATCTGTGGAATCCTGTAGCTCAGTGGTTAGAGTACTCCTTGCAAGCGAGAGACCTGGATTCGATTCCCGGCAGCGTGAAATGTTGGGCAAGCTTCCTTATTCCACAAGCCTCTGTATACTAGCAGTAAGTAGGAACCCGTTCGTTAATCAATTGGTGGGTCGATTTTCCAGGGGTAATAATTCCTTCCAAAAAAAATAAAAAAATTGTCACTTCAATCCACGACTGTTCGTGGGACACTGCTGTGCGCAATTGGCTGCCACGTTTCGCCCACAAAATATACAGTCAATTCACTTTACAATATATTCTGTGAAGCGCTTTGAGATGTCTCGAAGACGTGGTAAGGCGCTATATCAAATGCAAGGATTATTATTACAAGATTGTCTCACTCGTTTTCAAATCTCTTCATACCCTTGCCGATTTGCTTATATTAATAATAATCCTTGCAATTGACATAGTGCCTTATCACGTCTTATTCCACTAGATAAACAGAGGCGTGTGAAGTAGGAAACTTGCCCGACGTTTCCCATGCCTGGCAATGGAACCCAAGTCCTCTGGCTTGTGGAGCAAACGTCTTGACGACTGAGCTATAGGCCTCCACAGTTACCCCCCCACTCCTCCAGCCACTGCCTCCACTCGGCTGGCTCCAGCTTCCTGTTTGTCCCTCGTCCCCTCCACTTCACTATCGGTAGCTGTATCTTCAGCCACTATGCCCTGAAACTCTGGAACTCTCCCTCAATCACTTGTCTTGCCCCTCCCTCCCCACTTTCAAATTCTGACTAAAGATCTTCCTTTTTGATCATGCTTATGGTCACCTCCCTCTACCCTGGCTCGTGGTCAGATTCCGCCACTGTCAAGCTCTCCAGGACTCTACCCAACATGAAGGACGCTACATAAATGCAAGTTGGTGTTGTTGTCCCATCTACCTGTTCAGGTGGATATTAAAACTCCCATGGCACTACTCAAAAAGAGAAGAGGAGTTTATCCCATGATAAAATTGGTTATTCACTTCATAGCTGTTTCTGTGACACTGCTACGTGCAAATTGGTTGCTGCATTGGCCTACAAATACACAGTCACTACACTTTACAATAAATCCTGTGAAGTGTTTTGAGATATTCAAAGTCATAAGGCTCTATATCAAAATGCATCAACTTTATTATGTATGATGATAACTTCATACAGTGAATAATTTTGCACATTTTATAGTTTCAGCGGGCAAAAGTAAAACCTCCACTTTTCGAAAGTCTGCCATTTTGGTGAGTTATCGAGCACTGTATCCATTCGAAGCAAGAAACAGTGATGAACTCAACTTTCAGGCTGGAGATCCTATAGAGGTAGGAATTCTGCTTTCAGAATCTTCACACATTCACACATTGTCACTTTGCTCCCGTATCTGAGGTGGATACATGTGGAGCCTTCCAGCGGCTGTGTTACGGCCAGCGGAAATCGGCAGCAATAAACGGCTAATTTGTGATGTTCACAAATGGGATGAGAAGCAGCAATTGTGGTTTCTGAAAATTACTAAAATGCAGTTAAAAACAAAATACCATCTCCCCATCGGTGTCCGTTTTGCTCTGGAGTCTTTTTTCATCATATGATGGCCTTCAGAAATGTCTGATCCCAATCCCACTGCTTAGGCCAACCAAGGAGTTCAAATGAACACTTTCCCTTTTACAAGTCTTAACTTCAACTTCCAGCCTTCACAAATTAGCCCTATGTATGGGCTTATAAATCATGATCTGAGTGATGATTATTGTGTTGGATTGCCAGAATTGAGATTTTATATCTGTTCTATGCAGTAGGTTTTAGTTTTTAAAATCATGTAGATTTTTTTAATCATATAACTGATGAAAATCCATTGAAATGGCTTTCTGAGACTCTGGTGGTTATCACAATGTCAATTTTTAATCTCAACAACATAAGAATTGCTGGACGAACCATTCAGATTGCCTTCCATCATCCTGGCAGTCACATTCTCATGTCACGTCCCAAACTATATACTGGACCCTGAGATATTATTTCCTAAAAATAAATTTGCTTTTGAAAGAATTGATACTTTCTGCTGCCACTGTCTCCCTAGGTGGCCTGTTCCATACATTTACTACTCGCCCACCGAAAGAGCGTTTCCACAGATGTGTTTTTAATTTACCCTCCTTCAATTGCAGACCATGCCCTCTGGTTGTACTATTCTGAACAAGATAAAACAGCTTATCATGATCTACATATTACAACTGATATTTTGAGTCAACTGACCACTATGACTTCTGTAATTGACTGCAATAACTCACACTAGCAAGTAAAAAATTACCCAGGGCTTCCGATTTCTAGTGAAGTCTGTTGTGCAATACACAGCACAAAACCTATGACACAGTAGGAGGCCATTCAACCCACTTGCGACCATCTAACTCGCTCTATTGCCAAATCATCTCTGCTCCATTTCAAAGGGGCATAGCCTTAAAATCAAAACTGAAATGGTTGGAACTGAAGTCAGGAAGCATGACTTTTCACACCAAGGACTGTAAAGTATGGAATGCTGTGCCTCAAATAGTTATGGAGGCAGAATCAATAGTGATTGAATGATAATCTGTGTCTGAATCCAGGTTACTGATGTGTACAAGCGACAGCCACTTATTACATGAGAGCTACCTGGGTTGATTCACCGTACAATCTTTCTCCCTACATAGTTTGTTTCAGGTCTGAACTCAGCGTTTCCCAGACTGCCAGAAAATGATTACGTTCTACCATTCTCAAACACTCGCACCCACCCCACCCCCACACACACACAAATTAAAACCCTCTTGTACCTCTTTGGTGCACGATATGTGCTGTAGCATTGTTCGAGACGCATTTAGTTCAGAACTACTTGAGAAGTTATTTTTTTATACACAAAATTGAATTTGAGAAACATTGTCATGTTACTTACCTTCACTCTCCCCATATACGCAGTTGATTCCTGGAACCTAATCTAGGCACATCATTGGGTGTCTTTGCCTCCTCATGATATTGCCTCATTTATTATCATGAAGCAAGTTTACAATCATGACATCCCCCAACATTTACTGGCCATATCAATCGCCTACTGTGACATTGTGTGAAAACAAAAAGACTGAACAGTAGAAATAACCTGCACCTGTGCAAACCATGTGCGTGTACACTTGTGTGTGCTTTTTTGAAATGGATATCTAATTTTTCTTTTGATGCTGAGGCAGACGCAGATGGAAGTTAGAGGCAAAACGGCTGTATTGATGTGATGAGATTCAAGCAAAGAGCTTGCCTCTTAAACTGCACCCCTGAATCATCTAATTTTATTCCTTAACACGCAGGTTGATGAAACGACTGTAGGAGAGCCAGGCTGGTTTTATGGTACTGCACAAGGAAAATTCGGCTGGTTTCCAGCAAACTATGTGGAGAAGATGCCAGAAAGTGAAGTACCTTTGTCCCCCAGAAGGGCTTTATTGCCACCTTCGAAATCTGCACCAGCTACCTCAAAGTCCCCTGGGTTTGTCTTTCTATTGTTGACTTGATTCAGATCTACCCCTGACCACTTTCCAGAGACTCATACTAGACAGTGTATGGATATCGGGTGAGCACTGGATGGGACTCAGCTGTGAAGCCCCCTCCCCCCAGTGGTTAGTTGTCTGCTAGAACTCACTGTGTGAGTTGCTTTCAAGCGTCACAAATAGGCACTTGGGTGAGTTGCTTGAGTGTACTCATTGACTGTGGAACCCAGTGGTCTGGGACACCATGGATTAGCCAGGCAGATCCACAGTACTCCAGGGAACTGCTGATGACAGCCCAGCTATCTTGGCCCATTGGTAGGACTTGAAAGGGCAGAAATTCCAACAATCTATCTCTGGATAGATGTGTAGGCCATGTGTAGGTGGGATGCATGGAATTCTCAGTTTGGTTTGGATACTTTTAAGCATGGGGATGGGTTTCAGTGTATGTCAGATACCCGGCTAACAAAAAAAAAGGCAGAAGAAGTGGGAGGGTGAAAAAATTCACATTTCCTTGAAGTACTGACACTGAACAGTTTAGTTGCTGTGACTCCAGGAAGTGGAGCTGGCTTCAGTACAGCAGCTTGAGCTGGCACAGTGCTTCAGAAACTAGATCACACGGACACAGGATTGAAAAACTGGTTCACAATATTACTGTGGTATGAATGCTGGGTATTGCTTTTAAGTGATTTTGAGACATCCGCCTGACATGCAAGTTGCTATATAAATGTAAAATTGTTGTTGAGTGCACTTCACTAAGCATATATAACTTGTATTTATGTAGCACCCTTCATATAGGGTAACATTTCAGAGCACTTCATAGTGACAGAGTTGGACACTGAGGTAGGTGGCCAACGGCATGTTCAAAGGAGTAGGACAGACAAGACAGACAACATCAGTGGAACTGGAGTCCAGAGTAAACGTGAAAAAGTAGATCTTAAATACAGTCCTTCATTTTGAAACCATTTTACTGTAAACTCTTGCAAGATATACTGAAAAGGGTTTCAAAGTTAAAACTGAATTCAACAATTTGCTAAATTCTGGATATTCTGAAAATCCTAAGTTAATAGAGTAAATGTAAGCCCAGGTAGAATTTCCACCATAGATTCTTGAAGGTGTTGTGATGAGAGAATGAAAAATCATCTGTCTCCTTGTTCCAGACCACAAGCTCAGAATAAAGTGGCTGATGAAAGGAACCTTCCGTCAAACCAAACCTTTTCTGGCATCAGCGGCAGTCCCATTTGGCAGAAATCTGCTTTTACCCCAACTCTTGTTCCTGGTTCGGGCTCACCTATGCATGGCCAGGTATGTCTGCCAGCGCTGTATTAGTCTGCTCAAGATAATGATAATAAATAAATAATCTTTGCATTTGGTACATCATGTCGGAAGGATGTCCTAAAGTGCTTCACAGGATTTACTATGAAGTGGAGTGATTGCGTATTTGTAGACAAACGTGGCAACACAATTGTACAAAGCTGTTTCTCACAAACAGACATGAAACAAATGACCAATTTTATTTGGAGAATTGTTGGCCAGGACATCGGGAGAACTCCTTTCTCTTTACAAATAATGCCATAGGATCGTTAAACATCAACCTGAACAGGCAGACGGACCTCCGTTTAATGTCTCATCCAAAAGATGGATAATCTACATACCACAATATTTAAATAGATACAGTACAGAAACTTTCCATGTAGGTTTCCAATACACATCACCAATTGTTTTGACATCTTGAATCACAGAGCCGCCTCAAGCCACATTTTGCATAAATTACCACACGAGAAATTAATTGGATTTTTTTGTTACACACATTGCTACCACTACTACAAATAATAATTCACACATTACTACCACTACTACAAGTAATAATTCTTATATTTGAAACAGTGCCTTTCACATCAGGAGGACACCTCAAAATGCTTCACAAGATTTAATATAAATGACTGCACATACACAGCAGCCAACTTGCACATAGCAATGTCCCACAAAAAGCCGTGAAATGAATGATCACTTTTATTTGGGGAATGGCTGGCCAGGACAGTGGGATAAATCCCCTTCTCTTTTCGAATGGTGCCATTTAAATTTAATGTCCACTGAACTGGCAGATGGTACCTCAGTTTACTGACTCATGAAAAGGACAGTATCTCCTACAATGCAACACCCCACCCTCCAAAACTGCATTAGAGTGTCAGCCTAGATAATATTAATTCAAAGTCCTCAACCCGCAATGTTCTGAGGAGATAATGCTGTCAACTGAGCCAGGCTGACAAAATAGCTGCTTAATAACTTTAAGCAAAATAAAAGTACTGTGTATGCATATATACTGTTGTGCATATAGAACCATAGAATTATACAGCACAGAAGGAGGCCATTTGTCCCATTGTGTCGCTGCCGGCTCTTTGAAAAGAGCTATCCAAGTCAATCCCACTCCCCCGCTCTCTCCCCATAGCCCTGCAAACTTATTCTCTCCAAATAATTATCTACTTCTCTGTTAAAAGTTGTTTTCGAATCGGCTTCCACCACCCTTTCAGGCAATGCATTCCAGATCCGAATAACTCGCTGTGTGAAAATTTTCTTCTTGCCTCCCTTCTGTTTCTTTTAACAACTATTTTAAATCAGTGCTCTCAGGTTACCGACCCACCCACCAGTGGAAATACTTTCTCCTTGTTCACCCTATTGAATCCCCTCATAATTTTGAAAACTTCTATTAAGTCTCCTCTTAATCTTCTCTGCTCCAAGGAGAATAATCCTGGTTCTCTAGCTTCTTCTGATGACTGAAGTCTCTCATTCCTGATGACATCATGGTAAATCTCCTTTGCACCCTCTCCAATGCCTTGACATCCTTCCTAATGTGTGGGCTCACTTCTGAACACAATTCTCTAGCTGAGGCCTAACCAGTGTTTTATAAAGGTTCATCATAAACAAAGGTTCAAATATAAACAAAATTCTACAGGTGTTTCCTCAATGAACAAATAGAAATTATTGTAGCCCTTGGAGTGATAATGATTGAGAGACAAGTTTATTTTGCTCATCCCTAGATTGATTTATAGATTTAAATTCACCCCAATGTGTACCCTGTTTGAGTTATTTATATTTTATTCCTGTCTGTTTTTGTCCCAATTGTATTTGCATTCCAATCCTTAATATGTGCTAAATATACAGTGGTAATTATATGATAATATGAGAAAATTAATATAGTTAATAGTTCTGGCGTGTTTGATAGATGTGTGCATGTTAACAGCTGTTGAGAACTAATCTGTAGCTAATTACTGACATTCTGTGTGCTGTGTAGCGGGCCAAATAAAGTGGCTCGGTATTAATATGCAGTAGTGCACACTAGGGCTGAGGATGAATTACTGAAGTCTATGAGAGTTTTTTTACATTTTCATCCAAATAGTATGGATTTTGGACTGACCTCAGTCTGGTTTGGATACTCTTAAGTATGGTGATAGATTTCCGCAGGCACCTGGCTGACCAAACAAATGGACCATTATAGCATTGAATAAAAAATTATTTTTAAACACAGTGCTTTGCCATTGCTGTCTCAAAAGTCAGAGACATTTCTTTTCTGTGTGACTGCATCAAATGGTAGCAAGCAACTTGTGTTGAAGCACAAACCAAAGGTTAATTTGACCAGCTGACAGGAGGAATCAGTTTTAGTAAAATTAATAAACCGTTTTGGTAGTAAAAAGAACTCCCCAAATCAATGTCTTGCCTTTTAGGAATTTCCTTAACATTTTATCCATCAGCCTTTCAGCACAAAACAGTATCACCATCTATTAACAGAAACATATCTATTTCACATATGCTGTTATATGATCTGAAAAACTGTTTCAAAGTGTAGAGAACATATAAAAACATATAGGGAGATTGAACTTTACCACAAGGTCCTCAAACCAAATTACCTTACCGTGCATACTATGTTTGTAGTCTTTTACTCTGTAGACTATACTCCTGCTGTGTACCAGAATAACACCATTGATAGCACTTTCATCACTGAGTCAGAATGGTGTGGGTTCCCACATTGGGACTTTGAACTCCCACAGTTATAAATGCCATGTTTGCCTTTGCTCGCACTCCAGTGCACCACTGGGGGTTCGCTGCATTGTTGGAAGTGTTATTCTTCAGGTGAGATGTAGGTTGAATCTCTCATGTGAAGGGTGGCACCTCCAACAATGCAAAGAAGGTCCCGTCTGTCTAATCAGGTGGATATTAAAAATCCCAACATTCTCCTTGAAAAGGGAAGGGAGTACTCCTGGCCAACAATTTCCCATGATAAAGCTGGTCACTCACTTCATGTCCGTTTGTGGGACATTGCTGTGAATAAATGAGCTGCCACGCTCGCTTTACAAATACAGTCACTACATTTTACAATAAATCTAGTGAATCACTTTGAGACGTCCTCCCGACATTGAAAAGTACTTCAGCAACAACAACTTGCATTTTTATAGCGCCCTTCGTATAGGGTAGAGTGTCAGATTACTCAAATGCAAGGACTTTATTGTCATATCAAATTTAAGTAAAAGTGTAAAATAACCGCTCTTATGTCTGTGTGTGTGTGTGTGTGTGTGTGTATTTGTGAGTGCCATGTATATGAATAGAAATGTTAAAATTTTTACAAATGTTTTTCTGATTTAATTTATCCATGGCACTGACTTACTGTAAAGAAAAAAAATCATATATTAACCTCATCTTTCAGGGCCAACATGTGAAATGTTTTAAGGCACTAGCACTTTGTTCATGGACCGCAAAGAAAGACAACCACTTAAACTTCTCGAAGGATGACATAATTGAGGTTCTGGAGAAGCAGGATAACTGGTGGTTTGGAGAGGTTCATGGTGGAAAGGGCTGGTTTCCCAAGTCGTACGTCAAGGTTATATCCGAACGCGAAAAGCAGCCAGTGGAGTAAGTTCTTACCAGCTTGTATTTTCAGTGTGTTTGCATGCTGATCATCAAAGTAGATTCAGAATTAAACTGTGTAAATCTTATTAATAAACCGCATGTCCCATTTGCCTTATGTGTAAATATGTTTGCGCATTCTTTGGATTTGTGGTTATATATGGTTCACTTCATTCCTAAACATATAATAGGTTTGTCTTGTGCTAAGTATCTAATTGTTCACAATAACCTACCAACAGACCAGAACCTGTTTACGCTGCAGTCAACAAGAGCTTCAGCCCAGCTTCTCAGCCCCTGGAAGGTAAGAGATTCAGGACTGTTCTTCTGTGTACTGTCATAATTTCTTGTATTTGTCTGGTTTCAACATGTGTCAAGGACTCTTCATAGCCTGCTCACTTTCAAAGGGAGAAAATATTTTCATTCTCACTGATCAGAATGTACAGCAACAACTTGCATTAATATAATGCCCTCCACGCAGGGTAGCGTCTCAAAGCACTTAACAGTGGCAAAGCCTGACTCCGAGCCAGGAGTCGAATAGGAGAAATAAAGATTCCACGAGATATGAACTCGGATCGCTGGATTCAGAGTGCTAACCATCACACACTACACATAATCATTGTAATGTGGGATGCATAGAAATCTCAGTTTGGTCTGGATACTCTTAAACAAGGTGTGGGTTTCCGCATGTGACAGACACTGGCTGATGCCCCCCAAAATAGCCTGGCAGTAGGTTAGATCCCTACCCTCTTGGACAATGGGAGGGAGGATTTTTTTTTAAGAAGCTTCACAAAAGTCAAAAGGTCCAGCTATTTGAAAAGAATGTACATGCATTCAATCATTGTTTCCTTTCTCTGTAGTTTTAATATTTCTGTTTTCTTTCTTGGTAGAGTATGTTGCAATATATTCATATCAGAGTGGCGAAACTGGAGATTTAACCTTCTCTGAGGGAGAGACTATTCAGATCACAAAGAAGGAGGGTGAATGGTGGACAGGAACAATTGATGACAGAACTGGCGTCTTTCCTTCAAATTACGTCAAACCAAAGGATCCAGATGTAAGATTATGGATTTAGTTTATGACTGATCACTGCCCTATGCATAGCAAAGACTGGGGTGTATAATAAAATCCTTTTTCTTTCAAAGATGGAATATATTTTTTTGGTCAATTCGTTATCTTTATCTGCAATCAAGATTGTAATGCTGTGTCAATTTCTATTTTGTATTTGCATACCTCCTGGGTTGTGTGTATTATGTGAGTGGGTAAACAAATGCATATGTAAAAAAGCACATTTGTGCAGAGAGAATTACCAAACTACCTGTAATCCTTCCAATGATTAATTATTTCAATTTAGTGCAAAGGGAACAAGGCCATAACATAACATGCAGGAGCAGGCCATTCTGCCCTTCGAGCCTGCCCCGCCATTCAATCATGGCTGATCTTCTAATCTAACTCCAGCTAATAACCTGACCCTGCCTTATCCCATATCCCTTAATCCCTTTTGCAATAAGAAATCTATCTATCTCAGTCTTGAATATGTTCAAGGACTGAGCGTCAACTGCCCTTTGGGGTAGCGAGTTCCATACATTCACCACCCTTTGAGTGAAGAAGTTCTTCCTCAACTCAGTGCGAAAAGCTGGCCTCTGATTTTAAGGTTGTGACCCCTGGTTTTAGTTTCTCCAACCAGGGGAAACAATCTCCCACTATCTACTCTATCATGCCCTTTGATGATCTTATAGGTTTCTATAAGATCCCCTCTAATTATTCTATATGCTAGATAATATAGGCCCAAATTGGTCAGCCTATCCTTGTAACTCATCCCCTTCATCCCTGGTACTAACCTAGTAAATCTACGCTGCACCCCCTCCAAGGCAAGTACATCCTTCCTTAAATAATGAGACCAAAACCGCACACAGTATTCCAGGTGTGGTCTCACCAGGGCCCTATACAGTTGCAGCAAGACTTCCCTACTCTTATACTCTAATCCTTTCATAATGAATGCTAACACACCGTTCACCTTCCTAATTGCTGCTGCACCTGCAGACTAACTTTCTGTGATTGGTGTACAAGGACACCCAAGTCCTTCTGGATGCTAACACATTCCAGTCTCTTCCCTTCTAAAAAAAGACCCGCTCTACTGTTTTTGCTACCCAGGTGGATGACTTTGCACTTCCCTACATTATACTTTATCTGCCCAATCACCTAACCTATCTATATCGCACAGCATTTTTTTAATGTCATCCTCTGTGTTGACACTTCCTCCTAGTTTTGTGTCATCCACGAATTTAGATACATTAACTTCGATGTCCTCATCTAGATCTTTGATGTAGATGGTAAACAGCTGAGGCCCAAGGACTGATCCTTGTGGCACTCCACTAGTCACATCCCGCCAATCTGAAAAGGACCCGTTTATCCCTAATCTTTGTTTCCTACCCGTTAACCATTCCCCAATTCACTTTAATATGCTCCCCCCAATTCCGTGGGCCCGTATCTTTTGGACTAGCCTTTTATGCGGCACCATATCGAATGCCTTCTGGAAGTCCAAATAGACCACATCCACTGATTCACCCTTATCTAGTTTACTCGAAATATCCTCAAAAAATTCTATGAGATTTGTCAAACATGACTTCCCTTTTGTAAAGCCATGTTGACTTGGCCTAATTATATTGTGCTCCTCTAAATACCGCACTACCACATCCTTAATCAATGATTCTAAAGTTTTTACTGTCACTGATGTGAGACTAACTGGCCTATAGTTCCCCATCTTTTCCTTTCCACCTTTTTTAAATAGTGGTGTGACATTTGTGATCTTCCAATCCATGGGGACTGTTCCAGAATCCAAGGAATTTTGGAAGATCAGACACAAGGCCTCCACTATCTCATAAGCTACCTCTTTTAAAACCCTGGGATGCAAGCCATCCAGACCAGGGGATTTGTCACTTTTTATTGCTAACAGGTTCTCTAGCACCAATTCTCTACTGATGAAAATTTCCCTAAGTTTCTCCCTGTCCTTATCCCTTTGGTGCATCTCTATTGTTGGCAGACTTGTTGTGTCTTCTAGGGTGAAGACAGACGCAAAGTATCCATGTCCTTATCCCCCATTACAACTTCTCCCATCTCTGACTGTAGTGGACCTACATTTACCCTCACTAGCCTATTCCTCTTAATGTATTTGTAAAAATGTTCACAATCAGACTTAATGTTCTTAGCTAGCTTACCCTCATACTCCTTTTTCTCGTTCTTTTTCTCGTTTTTTTGGGTTTTTTTGCTGGTTTCTAAAACTTTCCCAATCTTCAGATTTGCCGCTTTTCTTGGCAGTTTTATAAGCTTTTTCTTTTAATTTGATGCTTTCCCTAACTGCTCTAGTTAGCCACAGGTGAATTGCTTTCCCTGTGGTACTTTTATTCCGCAAGGGAATATGTGACCACTGAGAATTATGCACTACATCCTTAAATATTTGCCACTGTTGGTCTACATTTTTACCTCTTAATCTGATTCTCCAGTCTATTTTACCTAAATCTTTCCTCATACCTACAAAATTAGCCTTATTTAAATTCAGAATACTTGCCTCGGATTTAACTATATCCCTCTCTAACTTAATGCAGAATTCAATCATATTGTGATCACTCTGCCCTAGAGGAGTCTTAATACCTACACTGCCAACTAGCCCTGTTTCGTTACACAAAACAAGGTCTAGGATGGCCTGTCCCCTAGTTGGTTCCTCGGCATGCTGCTCTAGAAAGTTATCTCTCATACACTCAATGAACTCTTCTTCTGACCTACTTTTGCCGATTTGGTTTTCCCAATCTATGTGGAGATTGAAATCACCCACTATTATCGCTTTACCTTTCCTACATGCTCCACTGATTTCTTGATTAATACCTTGGGCTATATTGTGATCACTGTTTGGGGATCTATAAACCACTCCCATTAATATTTTCTGCCCCTTATTTTTTATTTCCACCCATATTGTCTCTAGCTCTTGGTCATCGGATTTCAGATCCTTCCTCTCCACTGCTAATTAACAGGGCTACACTCCCACCTCTTTTCCCACAGTGCCTATTTTTCCTGTAAACTGAGCACCCTGGAATATTTAACTCCCACCCTAGATCTCCTTGTAACCATGTTTCAATGATGGCTACTAGATCGTACCCATATGTATCTATCTGTGCTTTTAATTCATCAGTTATATTCTGAATGCTTCGCGCATTCAGATATAACATTTTTAATTTCCTACCATTTCCTCTATTCTCTGATTCCTTATCTGCTTTGCCAAGCTTCTTACCCCTAGTTATCATATTCCTATTATGTGGCATGCTATTCTGCACTGTCATCTTTACTTTTTCTAATGCTAATTTATGGTTTCTCTTACCTATATATTCCCCCACCTTTAAATTCCTATTTACCTCCCTATTAATTCGTTTAGCTAAGACATTTGTCCCAGCCCAATTTAAATGCAGCCCATTTCTCTGAAAGAGCTCTCTTTTCCCCCAATACTCGTGCCAATGGCCCATAAAAGGAAACCCCTGAGTTCCGCACCACTCTTTTAGCCATGCATTCAAGTCCTTAATTTGTTTGTTCCTGTACCAATTGTCGTATGGTACAGGCAGTAGTCCCAATATCACCACCTTCAATGATCTTGACTTCAATTTGGACCCCAGCTCTTTGAATTCCCTTCTCAAGTCATCTTGGCCAACTCTACCGATGTCATTGATACCTATGTGAAGTACCACCAAGATCCTTGCCCTCGTATTTTAAATTGTCCTCTAGCCCTGCCGAGACATCCTTCACCCCGGCCCCAGGGAGGCAACAAAGCCTTCGGGTCTTCTGGTTGGTGTTGCAGATGATTGTGTCTGTCTGTCAAATAGTCTCATCCCCAATGACGACAACCATCCGCTCGTTTGCCCCAGTGTTAGAAGTAGTTTTTCCTTCCACCTCACTGGCTTCCTTGTCAATACAAGTTCCAAGGATCTAATATCTATTGCTCAAGGTTAATGCCGGATTTACTACCACTCTTTCCGTTGTCCCCCTGACCTCCTGATTGTCCATTGACCTATCCTGACCATAACCAATGATGTTGACCATATATTCCCTCATTTATACACATGGCTTACCCAACTCACATCATAGGTGCCAACACTGTGGCTGAAGACAGCAGTAGCTGCATTGGAAAGAGAATCAGTTTGTTGTCTTTGACTTATATGTTCACCTTTGAACATTTTGCTGTTTAAAGCCGCTTGATTCTGACTTTGATTTTCTTTGTTCAGGCATCAAGTATTTCAGGAAGAACCGGGACATTAAACAAGAAACCAGGTATTGGTTTGTACGTTCCATCTGTAAATCAGCCTTAATATAGAAATATATTTTTAATACTTGGTCCTCTCCTCACCATTCATATGCTCCCCCTTACTGTGGTGTTTCCTCTGCCTTCTCAAACATGCAAAGCCGCGTGAGCCCAAAACAGCTCCTTGTAAACAGCAAGAAGAAAACGCCCAGAGCTCATGGCTGTGTAAGATGGGAGTTCTGTTATTTTCCAGCATTGCTATAATCTGACTTTAACACGATGTTCCAAGTCACGAATATTTCCATGCAAAATAAAATAAAATATCAAATTTGTGACTGATTTCTTTTAAACTGTTCTCTAAAACATCAGAGCAGTATTGATTCTCCATTGTGTCAGAACAATGACATTACATTAAGACTGACATTCTTTGAGGTTTGCATTGTAATCTGCTTAATATGTTTACAGAGATTGCTCAGGTCACCTCAACATACACTGCAGCGGGCAGCGAGCAGTTGAATTTAATCCCAGGACAGTTGATACTTATTCTAAAGAAAAGTGACTCTGGATGGTGGCAAGGCGAACTACAGGTAAGTATTTCAAAAACCCTGCGATTTCTAGTTTAACTTTTAATAAAAACTTTTAAATGTAATAATTAGCTTCTTTTCTAAAAACATCGCTGTCAAAGTGGGAAAGATTTTTTTAAGAATATTTATGCATTCTGAAAAGTGAATTTAGTGAGGGATGTTCACCCAGCTTTGGTGAATTCATTGTTCCTTTATCCAGGGGAATTGAGATATTTAGAAAAAAAATCAGGTTACGTTGCCCGAATGACTGACCTTGTCAACGGCTAATTAATTGCTTGGCTCCGCATGAATCTAGAGCCTGGTTACCAAGCCACACAAACACTGAGAAGACTGCTGCATTGAGCGCCACCTGGAGGGAAAGGAACAAAATGCAGGAAAATGAGGACAACATCAAATTACAGTAATTTGAGAGACAGAAAACATGTTGTCCAGTTCGCCATTCACCATGTTTTGGTTTTGTTGCCCACACAGGCCAGAGGCAAAAAGCGTCAAAAAGGATGGTTTCCTGCCAGTCACGTTAAATTGCTTGGGCAATCGAGTGGCAAATCCACTCCGGCTCCTCTAGCAGGTGAGCAAAATCTGCTGCAGAATGGTTCATTGTTGACTCTTATTTACGTAGCAATGTCAAGTCCTTTTCAAAGTCTTTGAAGTGGTATAAAGTAATATAAGAAAACCCTGTTATAAACTAGTGGTGATTCCCCATTATAATGATGACAAAGTCGTCTCTCTTATACACAACCTTTTGCCCATAAAATGCACATTGTTGTACTTTATCCTGTGAAGCTCTTTTGAGACATCTTGAGGACGTGCTAAGGAGCTATATCAAATGCAAGGATTATTTTTATAACCTTTTTGCTGCTCATTTTCCTGAAATTTTAATCATAAATAAACGTTTCTTTCTTTGTAACATATCTGTGCAGTCAGTGAAGCAGTATTGCCTGGAATTGTAAATGGCTTCCACTTCCACAGCCTTGTGAGTGGAGTTGGAAAGAGTGAAGGAAACTGGAAAAACAGTAAGAAACAGTGGCATCAAAGAAAAAAGCCGCAGGACAAATAAATATGCAAGAAAGATTTCTGCTGTTGTGATTAATAATTTAGGTTGTGTTGACTGGCACTCTGCCAGCCTCCAACTGGGAAATCATTGAAATGCAAGAAAAAAAAATGCAAGGATTATCCTGGTAAGAGGAACGCAAGAAAGTAATATAATAATAATCTTTGCATTTGATATAGCGCTTTATCACGTCTTCAAGACGTCTCAAAGCGCTTCACAGCATTCACTGTAAAGTGTAGTGACTGTAGTTTGTGGGTGAATCGTAGCTATTGCACACAGCAGCCTCCCACAAACAATCGTGGATTGAATGACCAAATTATTATTATTTTTTAATTAATTTTTTGTTTGGAGGGATTATTACCTCTGGAAAAGCTATTTGCCAATCGACTAACAACTGGGTTCCTACTTGCTGCTCGGTAAACAGTCGTGTGGAGTAAGGAAACTTGCCTAAGGTTTATAAATCAAAAACAAAGACAATAAGGAAAAAAAGACAATATTACAGAGTGAAAGTAAATGTGCGAGAACATGATGGAAAACTGCAGGAAAGAATGAATAAAATAATGCAAAAAAGTTGATGAAAAGAACAGAAAGAGCCAAGTTAAATGTGGGCGAGGCTGGATTTCCTGTGTTCCCTTGATTTCCCCGTAGATTACAATTGCTTATCCAGCACACAAACTGTCCCTTCTCTTCCTGCCAGTGTATCTTTCACTTAAATTCATGCAGCTGCCGCTGCAACACTTGTCTATAGCAACAAATACTAAAAATGTTTGCAAACCTTCAAAAAATGTTACAATACAAAATTACATTTGTATAGCGCCTTTCGTTGTCAGGAGGACGTCCCAAGGCGCTGGAAGTGTCCTGCGTGTTACTTGAGTATCTCAGGTTATTTGACCAATCAGTCAAGCCCAACCACAATCGAGTGATCAATTTTCCCTTCCTAACCCAGGGTGTTGAGGCCAATTATAGCCTCAACTATTATCCAGGTTTAGATCCACTAACACAGCAAAGGCCAGAACATGGGTTAGGACTCACTGGCTGGTGCCTTTAGAAACAAGAGTAGGCCATTCAGCCCCTCGAGCCTGTTGCACCATTCTAATAGATCATGGCTGATATATACCTCAACTCCATTTACCTGCCTTTGCTCCATATCCCTTTTACCCTGACCTAACAAAAATCTATCAACCTCAGTCTTGAAAATTTTGATTGATCCAGCATCGACAGCCTTTTGGGGGAGAGAGTTTCAGATTCCCACTGGAACTATCTTACCCACTAGGCCATCTGGAGAGATCACATCAATATTTTAATCAGACTTCTGAATTCTAATCTTCTTGACTTGTTCATGACCAAGTATGAGAAGGTAACAGATTTAGTTAACGTGATTTCTCCTCCCGCATGTCGAGACTGTCAGGACTCTTGGGGTGAAGGCCACTGAGTGAAGAACTGATCCTCCTGCTTTAAAATATTAAAACTGTAAAAATAAGAAGAATTCTTACATTCAATATAGTGCCTTTTCAGTTAGTAGTACACCTGCAAACATGTCACAGGATTTTACTGTAAAGTACACTGACTGTATTTGTAGACGAACACGGGCGCGAATGATCAAGTTTATCTGGTGGATTGGCATCAGGATAAACTCCCTTCTCTTTTTGAAAACACTCTTAAATGTCCACCTGAATGTGCATACGGAACCACGGTTTAATGTCTCACTTGAAGACCGGCATCTCCAACATGCAGCACTTCCTCAGAACTGCATTTGAGTGTCAGCCTCGACTGTAAATTCAACGTCCTGAATTGGAAATTGAACCCACAACTTCTTGACACAGAGACAAGGGCGCTGACAAATGAGGCAGACTGCTCCCTGAATGATACAAGCAGCCATTGATCTAGCCACAGACTGTCAGCAGCTACTGAGCTACATACAGCCACATAATTTTAAAATCTTTTTTCCTCCTTCCCACAGTGTGCCAGGTCATAGCAGTGTATGACTACAGTGCCGTGAATGAAGATGAACTTACTTTCAGCAAAGGACAGGTCCTTAATGTGCTGAAGAAAGACGATGTGGATTGGTGGCAGGGAGAATTAGATGGAGCGACCGGCTTGTTCCCTTCCAATTACGTCAAGATGACGACCACGGACTGTGACCCAAGTCAACAGTGTAAGTAACAAAAGACTTCAAATATTTGAAATCTCAAAGAATATTCAAATATTTTGAGGCAAATTGTGGCCACTTTCCAGCAGCCTTGGTTAAGGGATAATTTCACGATATGTCTAGTATATCCACTGCTTGGAACTAACCTCATGAGCAAAATATTGTTGGTTTTGTATTTCCGCATGTGCCAGTCAGAATTCTAATCGCTTGCATACTTTAACTGGTCATGTTCACAACCTGCTGCTCAGCTTTTCTTTGTGGCACCGATTATTTCTACGTCTTCACAACCCATTAGGTGGTTCAGTTGATAGCATTCTCACCACTGAGGCCTTTGATTGTAGGTTCAAGCCACTTGATGAGACTTCAAGCTCATAGTCTAAGCTGACACTCTGGTTCAATACTGGGGGAGCTCTGCACTCTCAAAGGTGCCTTCGTTCCAGATGAGACATTAAAACCGATATCACTTCACAGTTGTTTGTGGGACTTTGCACAAATTGCCTTGCTGTATTTGCCTCCACATACACAGTTGCTGTATGAAGTGTTTTGAGACATTTTGGTGCAATAAAATCTATATTAAATACAAGAATTATTGTATTGTCAGTTTTGGAGGTGAAATGGATAATTGTAGTCCAGTGCTATTTACAGTCCCCATCAAAAATGGTCTGTTAATCAAGAAAATTTGTGTATGCCACTACTACAGAATTTAACTGAAAACAAGTTTGTGATGAGGGCTTGCCAATAAGATTGAGAGGGACATGATTAATAGTTAGCATGAGCTACAGGTAAATCCAACAGGAACAATGCAAAAATTCTAACTGGCCTGCAAATAGCACAAGTCGATGCAAGCACGTAACCTGCAAGTTAACTTAAATAAAATAATCTTAGCCCTGACCAAAGATCTATTTCAACTGAAAGTCAAACAGCTAAGCATCACGTAGTGTAATGGTTTTAAAGCTGATAATTCATTCAGCTGTTTGTACTGTTAGATGCAGCAATGATCAGGCTCTGTTCAAGTGTTTGTTTATCATGCAGTAATTCACAATTCCTAGCCCTTTACCTTTTAGAGTTCTCAGGGTTAAAGTGAAGTTAGTTGTGTGCAGAGCATTCCGCTTGTTTTGTGTTTCAATTGTATGTGACTGTGTGACTTCAAAATTAGTATTTTAACCTTTGATTGGAAAAGGTTTCATGTTTACTTGTATTATTAATGCTCATCGTCAGTGTCCCTCCCATTCACAATGTTTCCCTCTCTAAGGGACGCTACAGGTTCAGGCTCTGTCTTTAATTCTGATTGAAAGCTGATCGCTGGACACTGAATCACAGAAAAGATCAGGAAGTTAGACTTCCAGTTGATTACTTCTTTTCATTGTTTCTTTTGATTGCCTGCTAAAGGAGAATTGATTCCCTCCTTCCTTCCTCTCCACATGTTCTCTAGAGATTCAGTTCCACCTTTGAGATGTTTTTCCACCTGTCTGAGATTGTAGCTTGCTTCTGATCTCTTGCGTTCTGCTATTAGTAGTCAGCAGGAGACACTGGAATAGCCTGGGATAACTTGTCTATAACAGGCTATCTTTGCCACCTGTCAGGGATATGTTTTGCCAGCTGAGATCAGGAACTCAGTGTCAGGAACTGCAGAAGCGATTCCTATCACTGTTGTGCTGATGATACCATAAGGTTGCTAAATTAGCTATAGATTTGTGTGGGGGAAAAAAAACTTTCAACTCTAATGCAGACTTCACCGAGTAAAGCGTAGACTTTACTTGATTGTGTCTACCAGAATACTGTGACTATATGAAATTATGTTCTAGTATTTAATACCCTGGTAGAGTGTGTTTATAAAATGCACCTGCTTAATCAATGATTATGTATCAGCTTGAGTCAATTGGTAGCACTCGGTCTTCTGAGCCAGAATATAGTCTATGCTATACAGGGCTTGAATATAGTCTATGCTGATTCTCCAGTGCAGTGCTGGAGTTGTGCTGCACTGTTGGACGTGCTATCCTTCGGATGAGCTGTTAAACTGAGGACCCGTCTGCCTGTTTATGTGGACATTATAAATCCCATGGTACTATTCGAAAAGAGAATGGAATTTCTCCAGGTGTCCTGGCCAACAATACTCCGAATAAACTCGATAGCTGTTTAGGTGACATTGCTGTGTGCAAACTGACTGCCATGTTCATCCACAAAATAAAGTCACTCCACTTTACACTATATCCTTTGAGCGCTTTGAGATATCTCAACAACGTCATGAGGTGCTATGTCAAATACAAGGATTATTATTATGATAATCCTCCATTATCCTTTTACAAATGATTGGTATTTGATTTGACTGAATCTTATTTATTGGGCTGTATTCCAAAAAGGGAACTCTGTAATAGATTAGGGAGCTCTGTTAAACAGGAGTCAGAAAAGAAAAAACTTGAGGAGTTTTCCATGGTCTAGGCTGTACCATTCCATTTCTCATCTGATCATCCTGACCATTTGCAAGACTTGGTTTGTAAAAGTGGTTCAAAGTTCAGAGCTAAATACGAGCTTATGATGGGACACTTTGTAGGTAAATTTACATAGTCATTTTCTCAGGAATGGTTTAAAAAAAATGTTATCGCAATGTTTTAAAGGTTAATGGAATCAGCTAAGTACACACTGATTTAAAGTTATTTTTCTGAATTGTCATTCAGTTGCTGAGTGCTTAATCTCAACCTTTCTGCTTTCTGGCAAATAACTGAGCATAGCTCTAAAATTCCATTGATTGTCCATGGTTACTGTGCCTCATTCTGCATCTCTATCTTTTCATCTGTCAATGTGTTCTGTTTTCTTATTTTTGTTTCCTCATTTTTTATAGGACCGTATTGTTGCCTTCTTCTCAAAGTCAGACTATGAAAGCCCTCACAGAGACCCACTATCCCCAGTTTCACTGCAGCGTGGACGCTGGGCATTCAGCCTTGATCAAACGAAAGCTGCATGATTGATCCTACTGATTAATAAAGGCTCTATAGGAAAACTATCATCTGATAAGAACATACAGTATATATTATTTAGCTTAGAAGGCTTTCAGTTTTTTTTTGACAAATCAGGTAACCTACTGGTGAGGTCTTATCTGGTTAGCGACTGTTGACAATTGGCGAACGGTTTCCAAGTGAATTTTACTCTATTATTGCAATCTTTGCATGCATTTGTAATACGGAAATGCACCTTTGAAACTGCCAACGTTCTTATACACATCTGTACATTTGTGTAAAGGTGGTGACAGTGCAGTCCTGGTCTTAAAATATATCGTGCCTGTTCTCATTGTAGTATAAAGATTGGTACAAATTAGCTGATTTAAAAAAATAAGTTATATTTTTCTTCTGAAATTGAAAGCCCTATTAATTTGTGTTTTATGAGCTAGTGTAAAAGAAGGATAGTGGGTCTTTCTGTGGCTTTCTTTCCTGTAACCTTCATTGTTCTTGTGCTTTCTTGCTTCGCCATTCAGACAATCTAGACTTTGTACATTCATTGGAATACTATGTCTTGTATCATCTGTTGTAAGGTGGACCCTACCTCCCCCTGAGCTAATCGTTGTCACAAAAAGACCCACTATTGGAACCATTTCCTTTTTAAATGCAAGAGCCTTTCTGTACACCCGTACTCTTGATAAATCCCTCAAAACTCTTTAACCTATGAAATCTCATGTTGATGCTCATCTCAATTTCAGTGACAAGACATAACGATCAGAAGGGTTCAGCTCTAAGCATTCTTTTGGATCACTCGGACATTTGTGTTTGAGTGCTGTCCAACAGTGCCAGTACAGTGCCATGCACAGTGAGATTTCACAGTTGGCCTCTGAACTGAGCACACCATTAATGAGAGAAGTTCTGGGTTAAAGAGTTAAAGTTGTTTAAGTAATACGTGAATCTGTTGCTATGTAACAAAGTGAGAGAAAGACCTTCAACATTTTTTTCCCAATAATGTCTTTTTTTAAGACTGGATAAAGAGAGAATAAATTGTCAATAATATGGTTAAACAAGGGATAATCTGTCGGTTACCTTGAGAAGTGCAATGGCTCGAATGTACCACAACATGCTTACTCAATAATTACTCAATAATATTCAAATTTTCATATTTGTTATTCATACTTGGGTAGGCTGGAACAAGCAGGAAAGTGTTAAAATGTTGCACCTTCAAAAAAGCAAGCATTGTACTCTGTCGTGGTTTATACACCATTCAAATGCATTGGTGTACCTTTGAGGCTTGTTTTTCCAGAATGGTCACCTAACAAGTCTTGGATACCTGAGAGATTCCTGTACAGGTGCCTGTACTCGCCCTGTCACCAGGAAATGATACCAGGTTTGAAAGCTTGTGTGTTATTGAAGAAAGGAAATGAAATAAGATTCATTGCTCTTGTATTGTGCAGTTTTTTATTATTTCAGTGATTTTAATTTTCTTGTGAGTTTATTAATGATTCAGCTTGTATTAAACTAGGAAATATAATACACAATTTAAATTCATTTTCTTTCTGCTTATAGACTATGTATAGTGTAATGTAGGGTCCTTAAAGCTGTGCTGCCACATACATTTTTTTGCTATCTAAAATAACTTGCAAATCACCTTTGAAATAAAATTTTACCATAAAAGTATTTCATTTGTTCCATTAGGGACTAACACTGGGTGGTATGTGCCTTGCATTTGGTGCTAGTCTCTGCTATTTACACTTTGTTTCACAAATTCTTTGATTTGTGAGTGGCAAAAATTGAAAGTGAACAGCAGAATTTAACAGTATAAGTTCCTTAACCATGCATTTTCCAAATTGCCCTCATTGAGAAACAATTTAGAAGGTATTTACTTTTCACTTCAAATATGTTTTCTTTCAGGGGATTTTACTTAGGGTGGGAAATGTAATTATGGGTCAATGCAGCTTTAACCCAGATAAATCTAATGGGCAAGCTGGAAAAGTTGCACTTCACTTTTGGTCAAAGATGCTCACCTTCTCATTGTTGGCAGTAAAGCTGAAGCAACTTAATACGTAAACTGGTGGTTGTGTATTTCTGCCCAGTATTAAGTCTTATTGCAGAAGAGGTTTAAAGTGGTACAAATGTAGTATGTAATTAAATTATTGCATGAAGATTGAGAAGTAGCATTGCTACAATAAACGTAATGCAAGTACAGTATAGTACTATCCTGTTATGTGCAGTGGGTTCAGCAAATGATAAATGCGACTTATGAGATGTGCATACAACAGGAAAGGGTGTAAATACCAGTATGGACTAAATCAAAAATAAACCAGGAATTTGTTAAAGGTTTGCTTACATGAGAAAATTTGCTTATACTGTATCACATTTACATATAAGTGAACTTGAGTGTATATGCATTTATCACTATTGTACTATGCAAGTTTTCATTAAATACAAACTTGACGGTACAAGAGTTGTGAACTTTTCCTTTTTTAAAGAACATTATTTGCTTGATTTCTGTACTTCTTACTTAGATACTGTAGTTTCTTTTCATGTTAGTAAAAATTGCACTCTTCAGTTTAAATGATGCAAAGAGTTAAATATTGTTGTGTGTTATGAACAATGTGATTCATAGCCAAGACCGGGGTGGGGAGGTGGGGTGCTAAGAGCAACTGGATAGAATCAACCAGGTCATTATTCATTCTGCCTGTCCTTCCCAAAACATGACGTGTTAAGTAATCAACACATACAGTGCAAGGGTGTCTTGACAGACGAGGGGTTTGGATTTGAATTTACCACACAATTTATATACTTAGCTGTAGAAAATCAAATCAATACATAACATCTTAGAAACAGTATTGAAGGGAATCTAAAGATGGGTGAAGAATGAGAACAAATACTAACTGCTGCTAGAGACAGGTTGGAATCTTTGTCTGAGGAGGGAGACCATGGTTTCCTGATGGAGATTAGTCTTAACTTTTTTGCTGGATTACAATACAGTAACACCAAAGACTTGCATTTATACAGGGTGAATCATAAGTCCTTACTCAGAGATTTGATTATGAATTATGTTCATTTTCAAAAGACAACATAGATACAGTATAAACAGCTATTACAGAAGATGTCTCTTATTGTGTGCATGAAGGTTTTTGTCACCGAGTTGATGTGTGTCAACACCTACATGGCCTCCAGTTTGAACATCTGATATAGACCTAAGGAATAAGGACTATTGATTCATCCTGTATAAAACCCTTCACATAGGCTGATGTCTCAGAAGACTGATTATTTTTAGGAATCAGGCGTATTTATTCTGAACTTTCACTGGAAAATTGAAACAGTTGGAGAAGAGTCCACAATAGGGTCAGTTTTGTGTGGTCCATGGACGGAACAAACCTGTTGAAGCAAATGGCTTTTGTTCCATTCAATGTTTTCTTTGTTTATGTAACACACTATTGCTATACACTATGATCAATTTGCTTTTTATAAGCTCTAGTTATTTCAATATAATTATTAGAACACAAGCAAAACTGCATGCATCAAGCTCCTCTGCATGCTCATCAAGCTCGGTTTGTGCGTGTGTGCAAATTGACCAGCTCTGCTTGTGGAATCACTGCCATGGTCTTTCACTTGCTAGTTTACACAGCACTGTATTGCACTCCCGGGGTATTGGCGGATCGCTTTTCCGGGGGTAATAATCCCTTAAAAATGATAATGTGGTCACTCAATCCACGACTGTTTGTGGGATAGTGCTGTACACAATTGACTTTCGTGTTTCACCCACAAAATATACAGTCAATTCACTTTACAGCATATTTTGTGAAGCGCTTTGAAACGTCTCAAAGATGTGATAAGGCGCTATATCAAATGCAAGGATTATTATTATAGACTTGAAACACAAAAAAAAGCTGTGGCTGCATATTTTCCATTACATAGGAAGATTAACATCCAAGTCAAAGGGATGACCTGGGGTGAGTTGAGAGCAGGGGAAGTAAGATTGCATGTGAGAAATTGCTTAAATAAGATGCACGTCTATTTTCTGGTTAATTTGAGTAACAACACAGATGGAGAAGTTTGTGGCTCAATGGGTATCTGTTTCCAGCAAAACAGAGAAGCAAACAACAGTGAATGTAAGGGGACCAAAATGAGAAATAGCCACACATGCTCCAAGCAGATACATTTGCCAGTCTATTGGGTTAGCTGAGGAAAGGGGGAAAATCAATCACTAGGAGAAAAAACTACTGTACTAGATCACTGAAGGGCATCTTCTGCTGAGAAAACATCAACACATCTGCAGGAATGCCAGCAAGCTGGAATAAATGACCATCATTAATGTGAACCCTGACAGGGCAAGGAAAGAAATCACTGAAAAATTGAGATGAAGATCTATGAACTTTGCTCTTCGAATGAATCCATGGTCAGTGTGTATGGCTTCAGGATCTCCTACAGATGGGTCAATAAACAGAAGTGTTAAAGTGTTTAATACTCTTAATTAGGAAATCAGCAAAGCATAATAATAACTGTGAAATTAAAAACTGGTAACTGCAGAGTAATACCTTTCCAGCCAGGAGCTTCCACTCAATGCATGTCTAAATGTTATGGATGTCTAAATCTTATGGATGATCCAGACAATCTGGTCAACCATCAGCTTTAGATTACGTGTCTGTTGTTTCCAGGCACATTTCCTTGAAATAAGAGACACATACGTGTATTTGGAAAGAGTATTTTGTGCTGTATTAAAAACAAATGTAATGGTGGGAACAATTTGAGGTGCCACATAATAAACATTAGCATGAGCTGGGGAGTTGTTGCATTTCGAGACTTTCAACATTGAGATTCAACAGTAAGTAGGAATATTTAGAATCCAGATAAAATAGTTGTCGTACAGTTCTAGTAGCCTTAAGAGCATTTGGAGAGTTATTCGTTGCAACATGCTGAGATAATCCTTCAACCATATGGACCACATTTGGGAAGTGAAATGTTATATGCAAATCAGTGGGTAATGAGCTGTGATAACCTGCAGGGTGTGCTGACCTCCAGTCGCTGGACACCATGCTCCCTATGGAAAGAAAGCGACAGGGCTATATCCATGAGCTGATCCAGACAGAAGAGAGGTACTTGGAGGATTTACAACTGGTTCTAGAGGTAAGCATAACACGAAACATAAGCTGTGTAACATTTGGTGAGGAAGCAGCAGTGGTGCTGGTAGCGCATTATTCCACGTAACATTCAGATTCAGGCTCAGGTTCCTGTCTGCCTCTGAGTTCTTAATCCTACTGTGGCTCAGGAAAGATAGAGGCTGGGCATGTTTCTGTCCTCCCCCCTCCACCCCCCAATGTGGGTAGGGATTGAGGGGGAGAAAGGAGTAACATTTTGGGTGTGATTATCAGGCTTCTTGCATTGTGCTCCAGAGAGTGTTAAACCAACAGATTCACAAAACAATAACTGAATTATTCATCCTATGCTATTTATGCGACGTTTCTGTAGCAGATTAGAACAGATTTCTTACATAACAACCACTGATCTTCAACGTACTTTATTGCCTAAAAGCATGTTGAGATGTTTCAACATGATGAGGTACGACATCAAATGAAAGGTTATTTTCTATTGTTGGAGGCTGAGAGTACCTCAGCATCTTGTCAGCAAGAGTTGCACATCCAAAGAAGATCTGGAAAGACTTTTAGTAAAAAAAAAGCAACTGGCATGAATCAAACTTCCTAGAGCTCAGTTTGATTTTGTTTCTAAATATTTTATCGTCAAAGGTCATATTTAAACAAACTATCTGGTCGATTTTTTTTAATTTGGTTTTATTTTCTACTAGGAAAGTCAGTTTGAGATTGTCAAAAAAAAATCTTTCAGAATTCCACTGACTGCCAATCCAATATCTTAGAGTTTTATTCCATTTAGCAATTGAACCTCACTAACCAGAAAGGTGCTATCTCTCAATCCACCTGCTTCAAGTAGCTGGTTCCCAGTAAGCAGAGAAAATCAGCTCATTTCTGTGATGGGGGGAGAAAATCAATCAGGATTCACACTCCAGCAACAACACATGCCCCCACCATAGAAGGTGCACATATGAATATAGAATCAGGCTCAGTCGTGACATCTCTGCAGTTAAATCGCATCATGACACTCACTAATTATTTATATGAATAATAACCACTTTGGTGAGATACCACAAATATCAGGGGCACCTGTCATGGAGGATAGAATCAAACATGTTCATGAGAGGATTGAAAAGGAGAAAAGTGGCCGACCAAACAAGGGAGGGGAGCAAACATTCAGATGTGAGATTTCATAATATATTCACAGGTTTTTCAGAAGCCGATGGCTGAATCTGGGCTTCTGACAGAAGCTGAACTGGGAATAATCTTTGTGAACTGGAAGGAACTCATTATGTCTAGCACCAAACTGTTCAAGTAAGTGTGCGCGTGGTTTTAATTTTTGCAGTAGGAGAAAATGACTGGAACTTGGGTTCACCTCTGTCTGGTCTTGGGCCAATCCCGGCCTCGTAATCTTAATGACACAATTTAGAGCTAAACTGATCCAGTGAACATTTCTTCCCACAAAGATTGAGTAAGAAGATTCTTCAGAAATACAGGTATTCTAGGATATGGATAGAAAATTATTCCTATGTTGCTGTGCAACTCTTGAATGGAATGGTATTAGCTTTTAGAGTTCCACTGGCTTGCTGTCTTGACTAAGTTCAACATAAAACATCGGGAGGGGCGATCTCATTAAGGAACTGACAAGGAAAAGAGCTGAACTGTCACAATTTATGGTGATCATTCCAAGAATTGTACACAAATTTAAAGAAACTATTTTGTAGGACTGTATACCCAAATCTTAAAAAAGACGTACAGCTAACAGTTTAATGTCTGGAAGATGACACACTTTAATGTACGGCAAAGTAAGAAATAAAAATGCACAGATAACCTTGTAACTGATCTTAAATTCAAAGTATGATTTTCTGCAAATTACCACACTTGACAGATGAGGCAATTACTTGTATAGCAGTGCAGCAGCTCTCTTTAATGGTCTGTTGTATCTTATACAAGAAAGATCGCTCGCAATGCTTCTGGCTCATTTACTTCAGGCTATTTTGCAAATGTTTGCCAATGCTATTATCATTCATGGTTGTAGAGCTCTGCGTGTGAGGAAGAAGACTGTTGGAGAGAAGATGCCAGTGCAGATAATTGGCGATATCTTAGCGGCTGAGCTGTCCCACATGCAGGCCTACATCCGCTTCTGCAGCTGTCAGCTAAATGGAGCAGGTATACTGCAGCACAGAACTGATGAAGAGCCAGAGTTTAAAGATTTCCTCAAGGTATTACACAAAGGTTTTTTTGTGTTTGGCAAAAATCTCAAAACTATTTTATGCATTTCTTTTCTCTTTTAAAGTTTGTGGGGTCAAAATTGCATTATTTCTAAATGCATTCCATTTCATAATTATCACCCACGATAAATAAGGCACAGTCCAGAAACTGTGATGAAAAACATGCTTAAAACCTGCAGGTTTAGGACTGAATACCCCCTTACCTACGAGAGAATGGTTTCTCCTTCCAGCTCTTTCGGACCTGAACCAGTTATCTTTGATGTTAATGTAGCAAAGGGAATCCTTTTTTGATTCCTTGTCAATAGAATTGATTTTTACTTCAAACTTTCATAATTTTGAAATCATTTTTAGCCCACTAACTGGTGAAAAAGCACAAAATCTGTACACTTCCCGGTCTGATTGAAGATTTTCCTGATTCCAGTTCCTGAAATTGTGCTTTGTTATCCAGCTATCTGTTATTGTTCTAGATTCATTTTCTTATTCCCATTTAGCATCTTGTATAGAAGAGACATCGCTTTTCAAGGCTGAAGAGCCCTAATTCATCTCATTTCTCACAATTCATAATTCTTACTACCCTCCTCTGTACTGCCTTTAAGCCTATTGATAAGATTCCACTCACAACAAACTCCCAGCTGACTGCAAAATAAGTACTGACTCTAAGGCCTAGGCATCCCCTTTTAAATTGATTATGACTAAAAATACTCTTCTGCTTCTCCTCATAGTGTGTGCTCTGCCTATCTTTTCCAATTTTTTGGTGAAATGGAGGCAGCTGTGTGATGCCCTCATATCCTCTATGAAAGTGGCTATATGTAGTGCCCTCTAACGTCTTGGTACATCCTCCTGGTGTGAAAGGCTATACAAATGTAATTTGTTATTGCTAATGGAGCAGCTTATAAATAGCTGATATAAGTGTATTCTGCACAATTCTGTGCATCGTCTGTTTCTGAAGCTCTTTGAGATATCCTTCTGACGTGAAAGGCCCTATAAATGTAAATCATTGTTGTAATGACAATGGTGTTTAATTAAAACGGTTCAATTAACAAGTCTCCATTTTATTAATAACTATAAAAGCTAATATAATGAGCATTAAGAACATAAGAATTTTCTAGGCGAGGAACGACTAAAGGTCGATCTTGTTCGTCTTCCACCATCCTGGCTGTCGTTTGACATGTCGTGTCCCAAAACTACATACTGTATCTCGACAAATTATTTTCTAGCATAAACCTATCTAATTTGTTCTTGAAACAAACATCATTTTCTGCTTCCACTGTCTCCCTGGGGAGCCTTTTCCACACAGTTACTACTCGCTCACTGAAGTAGTGTTTCCGCAGATTTGTTCTGAATTTACCCGCCTTCAATCGCAGGCCGTGACCTCTGGTTACCTGAAAGATATTAATTGAGCAAAATTGCAAGTTACTAAATAAGCAGTATGTATCTCTTGATTTTTTTAAAAATCTTCTACTTTTTCCACAGAGACTAGCATCTAATCCCTCTTGTAAAGGAATGCCACTCTCCAGCTTTCTGCTGAAGCCCATGCAGCGTATTACACGGTATCCACTGATCATTAAGAATGTAAGTGCACACAGTGCATCCTGGTGTCACTGCATATATTTAATGGGAGGCCTTTCGAAGTACAGCCAATAAATATATGACGCCTTTCAATGCAATTAACAACTGATGTAACATGTATTCATCGTTAACTAGTTTTTCTGCTCTTGTAGTTAGTCAATTATTCCATGTGTGTCAATTATTCAATGTGTACTCAACTTCTATTGAAATATAATTGTCATAAAGAATGAAAATCCAGTTTAAATTGTGCCCAACAATTTGGTGTTTCTCATAACTAACTCCACAAAGTTTCCTGAGCTTTTCCTGAAAATGCATTTCCATTATAAGGGAGGATATTCCATGTTCAGAATATCCTCTGGTTTTGATACAATGATGGGACCTACTTCCGACCACAGAGAATGGTGTATTTGTGCAGCCAAAAATAAACTGTCAGTTTAATTTAACTGGTATCCTGTGAAGCTGCATTCAAACACTGCCTCCAGGGATGATATATGTATTCCCAGGCTTCTATTACTGAGAAGGTATTAAAGTTTGAAACTGAACAATATTGAAAAGAGGCTTCAGGCAAAAATCACAGTTGTGGAGGATTTTAGAACAAAGTATAGATTGATAATTATCAACTAAAATTCTCCCATTTTTTAACAGATTTGATCTTTGCCTAAATAAGGGAGAAGGGTTTGGTTGTTTATCTGTTTTTTTTTTGCTTGTCTATTTATTTGACTGTCTGTCTGACTTTATTGAAGGGAATCGGGAATATTCGAGAGGGAATTAGTAGAGGTAGAGAAGGGTATTTAATAGAAATGGATGTTGTAAAATAGACATCAGATACTCTATGCTGACCCCAGCACGTTCTGAATGCTATAAAATGTTTTTATTTCTACAGATCCTAGAAAATACTCCTGAAAATCATGCAGACCGTAACTATTTAAAGCAGGCTCTGGAGCGTGCGGAGGAACTGTGTTCCGATGTGAATGAAGGTGTGCGTGAAAAGGAGAACTCGGACAGGCTGGAGTGGATGCAGTCACACGTACAATGTGAAGGACTGGCAGAGGTAAGGTTCCAGCAGACACTTCTCTTAGACTTAGTTTGCTGGTAAAATACATTGTATTGCTTTAAATGTAAAATGGCCTTTTTTTTGGTTTATTGTTTTGAAATGAAGTCAACACACAGGATCTTTGTTAATCGGTAATATTACCACTCACACTACTGGGTCCACATAGTTGTCTCTGTATGCTGTCTGAATTGGCACAGCAAGTCACTCAATTAAGAGAAGGGCCACTACTACCTTCTCAGGGCAACCAGGAATGGGCAATAAATGCTGGCCCTGACATCTGAGAGGAGCCAAAAGCTAAATGATCATCTACGCTTGCAGGGTCTCACCACTGACAATGTGACCACAGTCTGGTTTGGGGAGTCCATAGACACCTTTGTATCTTTTGTTTTTCAGCAAATTGTATTCAACTCCATTACAAACTGCTTAGGGCCAAGGAAACTGCTACACAGCGGGAAGCTTCACAAAGCAAAGAGCAATAAGGAGCTGTACGCATTTCTCTTCAATGACTTCCTTTTGCTCACCTACATAGTGAAACAAGCATTCAGCTCATCGGGCTCCGACAAGCTATTCAGCTCCAAGTGCACCTCTCAGTTTAAAATGTACAAAACAGTAAGTCTGGTTTACCCCAAGGGGAACGGGAAAATTTATACTTTTACTACATGACTATGGTCAGGGTTGTAGATGCCCTGAAATCTGGTACTATGTGAGATTGCCAAGCTGTATCCTGCATTCTTGGAGTGGCAGAAGGTAACAAATGGTGTCCTCCAGAAATCTGTAGTGAGGCCTCAGGTTTTCACCAAGTTTGTTAAAGAACCTGATTGAAGCAGTAAAGAGAGGTATATCTATTTGCAAATGACATTACAAACAACAACAATTTGCATTTATTTGGCGCCCCTCACACAGGGTAGTATCCCAGAGCGCTGAACACTGGCGAAGCTCGACGCTGAGCCGGGGAGAGGGCGTTAGGTGACCATAAGCACAGTCAAAGAAGAAAGTCTTCAGGCACAACCCGAAGATGGGGAAGGAAGGGGCAAAACGGCATGACAGAGGAGGAATGTTCCAGCGTTTGGGGACGCTGAATGTGCGGCCACTGATGGTGGAACAGAGGGCATGAGGGACATGCAGAAGGCCGGAGTCAATCAAGCAGAGGGTAGTGGGTTAAGGGAGTGGGTTGGAGAGGTTGCCAGAAGTTGCCAGGGCATGAAGGGATTTGAAAATGAGTGTGAGGATCTTATGGAGTCCTGTAGCTCAGTGGTTAAAGCACTTACTTTGCAAGCGAGAGACCTGAGTTCAATTCCAGGCAGGGCGAAACCTTGGGTAAGTTTCCTTACTCCACACAGAGCCTAATAATAATCCCTCCAAAACCAAAAACAATAATAAATTGGTCATTTTCAATCTACGACTGTTTGTGGGACATTGCTGTGCGCAATTGGCTGCCGCGTTCACCCACAAATATACAGTTAATTCACTTTACAGTGTGTTCTGTGAAGAGCTTTGGGACGTCCTCCCGACGTGAAAAGCGCTATATCAAATGCAAGGATTATTATTATTATATCGATCTGTTCGGCGATAGGGAGCTAGTAGAGACTGGCTAGAACTGGTGTGATGGGATTATGGAGCTCAGTACGGGTGAGTATGTGAGTGGTGGAGTTTTTGATCAACTGGATTAATTTACTAAATTACAGGCATAGTAAATTCTGCAGGTGGGAGCAGGAAATTGTAAAATATAGACAAAGTAAACAAGTGGGCAGAACTATGGTAGATGGAGTTTGTGCAATGAAGTGTGAGGTAGCAAACTTTGGGTTGAAGAAAGACAAATTGGATACATTTGTAATAGGGATAGAGTAGGAGTGATGGATGGGCAAAAGGATATAGATGTCCAAATTCACAATTATCTTAAATAATAATAATAATAAATCTATGTGCCTTGGTTACTGACGCACTGGCCAGTGGAAAGTTTTTCCTTATCTACTCTATCGAAAACCCTCATAATTTTGAACACCTCTATTAAATCTCCCCTTAACCTTCTCTACTCCAAGGAGAGCAATCCCAGCTTCTCTAGTCGCTTCATATAACAAAAATCCCTCATCCCTGGTACCATTCTGGTAAATCTCCTCTCCAATCCCTTGATATCCTCGATGAAAACATTTTTTTCACACGGAGGGTTGTGGAAATATGGAAGTCACTGCCCCAAAACGTTATAGATCAAATATGAGTTAATTGAAATATTTAAGAGAGAGAGATATATTTGGTAGTCAGAGATACAAAAGGATATTGTGAAAGGCGAGAGAAATTGTATTGAGTTCAGATCAGCTAACATACTGGTGGAGGAGGCTTGACAGACTTTTGTTCCTATTGTCTTATTTTCTTATTTCTCATTCTTTTAGCCCATTTTCCTGAATGAAGTACTTGTGAAACTGCCAACGGATCCATCGAGTGATGATCCCGTCTTTCATATCTCTCACATCGACCGGGTGCACACACTTCGATTGGAGTCTCATAATGAGAGGTGAGGAACACTGACATGCCAGTCCACTTACATATTCCCGCTGCTGCCAGGTTGTTGAGAGAGTAAGAATGCTTGAGATGAGGAAGTGCCACATCTCCACATCTTCAAAAGCCTACGAGCAACTTATGCTATTATGAACTGTTCTGTGCTTACTGCTAGGACAGGTTTAATTAATTTAAAATAATTAATCCTACATCTTATGGTTTTATAGTATACTTTATCAATAATAGTGCAGCTAGGATCCTCACTCCTGCTTGTTATTCTGTGATACCTGCTAAAACACAGACATTGTGGATATTGGAAATTGGATTAACATTAGCTGTGATGGTTTTTATATACATATATACAGTATAATATAATTAAAAATTATATTTGTATAACACCTTTCACGTCAGGAGGATGTCCCAATGCGCTGGACAGTAAGGGATTTCGACCTGAGCGGGTGGGGGGGGTGTAGGAGGTTCACTGAATGGTCGAAGACATGATCGAAGAGGAGGAGGTCTTGAGTCATGCCTTGAACCTCCTGATACTCACTGATCATGGTTATAGATGAAGAAAGGTCACAGGTTGAAACTGCTCACATGTGGACATCAGGTGAGAATGGCTGATGCTCACACAGTTTACCAAGATTTACTGTTCAGGATCACCTATGAATACCCAGCCACTCAGGTAAGATATACCCATGAAACCACTCAAACTAACATAGCAGCTCAGTTTTTCTTTTCATCCAAGATGAACAAAAGTTTGTTTGGTTTATTTTTGTTAACGTTTGGTCCAGGAAGAGGTCGATGAGAACTAACTTCCTCCTGGCGAATGTCACCAAGACAGAGGTTCTCCTGCTTGTCTCCCGTCAACGTGGAATCTCACTGCCTTGTTCGATTCTCAACTGTCCTTTAAACGCCACATCCTTGCCCTGACCTATTCAGCTTTCCTCCACCTCCGCACTACCTCTTTCCTCTGGCCATCGAGACCCTTCTCCACGCTTTCATCACGTCCAGGCTAGACTACCCCAACTCTTCCCCCACAAGCTGCAGACCATCCAGAACTCTTCAGTTCCTCTCCTCGCCTGTACTAGGCTCTGCTTAATCAATCACCCCCATCCTCGCTCCACTGGCTCCCCATTCCCCAGATGATTGAGTTCAAGAACTTCATCTTCAATCTTAAATCGCTCCATAGTCTTGCTCCACCCTACTTCTGTGACCTTCCAAAATCCTACTAAACTGCCCGGCTTGTCCAAGCAGTGACCTGCTTCATGTCCCCTGCCCTGCCCATTCCACCATCAGCGGTTGGACCTTTAGCCTTTCTACCCGCAATCTCTGGAACTCCATCCTAGAGAACCTTCACCTTACCCGTACCCTTGGCTCCTTAAAGGTCCATCCTCTTTGACAGTGCCTTCAGTCACAGTCCCATTCAAGCCCATCTCCCTTGGCCTCCACTCTTTCAAAATCAACTCCTCAGCTCAGGTGCAAACTCTCGACTGTCTAGCACCATGGAACATCCTCCCAACGTGAAGGGTGCTAAATAAATGCAATTTGATGTTTGTTGTTTTTTGTTTAAGTCTCGTGTAACACTGATGAGTTATCTTTCTCTGGCTTCCCTGACAGGACTTCCTGGGTTCAGAAGATTAAGGCAGCATCAGAACACTTCCTAGAAACTGAAAAAGGGAAGCGAGAGAAAGCCTATCAAGGTACATACAAAAGTACTTTAAAATATTTTTGATTTATTTGCTTGCTATAAAAAACATATTCCTTGGAGAATGGAGAGAAGCAGTCTGGTTCCGATGTCTGCCAATTCTACTCAAGCCAACTGTTAAGAGTAAATAGGTATATTTCCTTCGTCCTTATGGGAAGCCAGCCAGCCATATGCTGCATCTCTCAGATGCACATCTGAGATTGTAGACCACATGAGGAACCTTGGTCTTGTCGCTCTCCCTGATACACAGCTGAGATTGTATAGAGTGTCCACAAAGTCCTCTTAACCCCATTATAAAACAACCTCCAATTGGTGGAACCATCGCTCAAATGGGAAGGGATGTGTGCCGAGCTGTGAACAGGAAGATGGTGGTAATACTTTCACACATTTCATGCTGAGATGCGTTGCCCACCAGGAAACTCGCAGAGCATTCCTTGTACCTACAATCTACCTAGTGAGGCTCAAACCTGCACTTGTTGAATGTCAAACAACCAATTAGTGACTATGATCCTTGGGGAGGAGGGGGGAGAGGTAAGCAGGGTCTCCTTGGACTGAACAGGCACCAAGGTGATATGCCTGAAAACGGAATGTCGGATTTGGTTATCCTTCTGTGGCAGTCTCTGTTGTCCAGTTCCTGATCCAGGGGGGTCCACAGTATTCCAGGACACTGCTGATGACAGCAAAGCCAGCCTGGTTCATCGGCAGGACCCGGAAGGGCAGACCAGTCACTGGGGGCAGGGAGTCATCCCACTCAGCTCCTGTTACCCCTGCAAACCAAAGCCCTAACAGGTAGGGTGGTCCTAGCTGGACAAGCAGGAGGAAAGCTTGCCAGACAGCAATATCAATGGTAAACTATGCGGGTTTAGCTCCAGCAGTATCCCAACGCATACTCTGGGGTCCCTAAGCCCTGGCTCTTGCCAACCTGCGCCTAATACTTTCCAGAATTAGATAAATAGGATGTGTCCCTCCAGGGAGAGTGTGTATTCCACTCCAACAATCTATCTCTGGGATTTCAATGTGCAGGTGGGATGCATGGAAACCTCAGTTTGGTTTGGATACTTTAAGCATGGGGATGGTTTTTCTTTTTGTGTCAGACACCCAGCTGACCAAAAAAAAAAGTTACAAAACAACGATATGAGACTACAGAGGAGCTGAAACAAGCTGTCAGTGATGCAGTTCCCCTCGTCACTCCATCATGTTACAGAAGATGTTGCACCGAACATGGTGAGGGATCATGAAAATGATGCTGCTCACACTGATCCTCTGGACTTCTAAATACAGTTAAACACTTGTACTGAATACAATTAAGTATCATCATCCTTCCACATGTTTCAGCTCTTAGTCAGTAAATTATAGAGAAAAAACATGGGGGTAACAGGACTTTGTGGACCCACTTTACAGTACATCACATGGAGAATCCTCAGACAACCTGTCACCCTGCATTGTGGCACGACATTCTCCATTAGATCAGGAGGGTCATTAAAGCTCATCTTCTTCAGGAGCAGCTAAACTAATCTCTGTCATACTTTGAGTGTATCAGCTTTTGTAACGTGTACTTATAAAAAGAAAATTCAATTATAGTACAGGCATTTCAATTATTATTATACTCATCTTCAAAGTCTTAGTACAATGAGGAGTTTCACCCGATACTTCAATTCAAAACCATCTTTCTCTGACCATGTGTTTTATTTATTATCTTTCAGCACGCTCACAAAAGACAAGTGGAATAGGGCGACTGTTGGTGAGCATTATTGAGGCCACAGAGCTGAAACCTTGCAGGTCTAATGGTAAGAATGACAGAGAAATTGTTTTTGCCTTAAATTCTGCTTCCTCCCACTCGATTCAATGATCCGTAATGTCTTTGAGCAGCACTTTGACATGTACTTTTTGTTGTCATTATAAAGCTATATTATCCTACAGTAATTAAACAAGAATTGTAAAAGTCAGAATGTATTTGTGTCATCTAAAATTACCGGGTAAAATTTGCAGGATTCCAAAAGGTATTTAAGAGCAATTTCTCCAGGTAAGTGTTTTACTCCACTCAGAGTCCTGGCACCCCATTTTGTGTTTTAATTGAAGCAATAATTGTACAAAATGTAAGTCCTACAGTGGGCTCCAGATTATTTAGAGCCAATATAGGGCTAACTTGTAGTAATCATGGCAGAGCAGGCTCAAAGGGTGTAGGTCAATTGCTAAAAGTTGGGTGGGGGCGGTTTGGCCTAGGAGAGTGCGGATATTTAATTTTATCTAGAAAAATTCCCAAATCCTAATTTTTGCTTTGTTTCTACTGGTTTAATTCGGACTGTATTCAGCATACAGGGAAAACAGGAGCTTGGCAGGTAACGTAGTACTGTGTTTGTTCATGCAGCAGTTAGCAATAGAACTGTGCCAGGTGGGTTACACAAGCTCGCTCACTGCCTGCAAGTTATCTGACAGACTGCAGCCTCTTCTGTTGCAGATAGTAGTGATTCCTGTTTAGTGAGAAGGGATGGGATTTACATAGAACTTTACAGCAAGAACTAGGCCATTTGGCCCAACTAGTCCATACTTGTATTCCACAATAGCTTCCATTCCTACTAATCCTCTCTCCTATTCCCTTCTCCCTCGTGTATGCATTAAGCTTCTTAAAAATGTTAATGCCTTTTGCTTCAACCACTGCTTCCACATTCTCACCGCCCTCTGCGTAAAGAAAGACGTTGAATGATTCAATGATCAATGCTTCTTGCAAGTGTTTTACATTTTGAAATCTCTGCCTAAAACCCTTTGTGATTGTTTGTTCCATGTCATGACTAGGGAAAAGCAATCCTTTCTGTGAAGTCAGCATGGGATCACAATGTTACACAACTAGAACACTGTCAGACACTTTGAACCCAAAGTGGAACTTCAACTGCCAGTTCTTTATCAAGGATCTTTACCAAGACGTGTTGTGCATCACAGTGTTTGAAAGGGATCAGTTCTCTCCCGATGGTATGTTTGCTTAATATTTTTGAAGTGGATTCAAATAATAATAGGGCAGAGCATTTTGTAAATTTTTGCTGCCCCTCTCTCGGCAAGTGAACTATTGTTACTGCGACCTGAGCCTGGCAGACTTTGTTCATGAGTCACAGTTTATTGACCCAGGGTAAGTCATGAGGAGCCTTACAATCTCTAAGAGACCTGAAGGGGTGCAGACACCAGGGTTCGCAGTCGGTGTCCTACACTCCCTCTCAGGCTCTACATCCGGTCCCTGGATAAAGTCTGCCGAGGAAAGACTGGTCGTGGATCAGTTTTATACCCAGGCTCTGTGTCCTCCTCTCCGGTACAGAACAAAGGCCTTCAGGAGGACCTCATGACCTAATAATAATAATAATAATAATCCTTGCATTTGATATAGCGCTTTTCACGTCGGGAGGACGTCCCAAAGCGCTTCACAGAACACACTGTAAAGTGAATTGACTGTATATTTGTGGGCGAACGCGGCAGCCAATTGCGCACAGCAATGTCCCACAAACAGTCGTAGATTAAAAATGACCAATTTATTATTGTTTTTGGTTTTGGAGGGATTATTATTAGGCTCTGTGTGGAGTAAGGAAACTTGCCCAAGGTTTCGCCCTCTGCCTGGAATTGAACTCAGGTCTCTCACTTGCAAAGCGAGTGCTCTAACCACTGAGCTACAGGACTCCACTGTGCAAAATTGGCTGCCAGTTTTACAGTCAATTCACTTTACAGTATATTCTGTGAAGCGCTTTGAGACGTCTAGAAGACATGAAAAGCCCTATGTTAAATGCAAGGTTTATTATTATTATCCTCACCCAATATCACACACATCCCAAGTGCCCCTACCAACAACCTCACTTCCTACCAAACCCACTTGCCGGTAGCTGGGGCTGACTTAATCCTGGAGTGATGAGGCCCCTGATGTTACTGTAATTCAAGCACTCACAGAACCAAACTCCAGCAAGACAGCGTCTTCTCAGAAGAGGACCCATCAAAACGAGTCAAGCTTTTTGAACCTAAAGATCTTGTTAAGTCTTTGAGGAATTTCTCTTAGCTCTTCTCTCATTCATTATTTGACAGATTTTCTAGGTCGTACGGAGATTCCAGTGGCAACAATCAAAAAGGAACAGGAAGGCAGGGGACCTTCCACAAAGCGCCTTCTTTTGCATGAAGTGCAAACTGGAGAAGTGTGGGTTCGGCTCGATCTCCAGCTGTACGAACAGAAAACACTGCTTTGAAATACAGGCTTCAGTTGGGGCCATGTATATTTCTGTCTGAGGAAAGCAGCAAAAAATCTATAAAACTTATCAAAAAGTGGAGGAAGCCAAACAAGTAAAACCTCACAAAGAACTACGTACACTGTGGCGGTCAGCCTTCATTGTAGACAAATAGCGACCTGTATTTTTGCTGTGGTAAGCATTTCCTTCAAGCAATGTGAAGTTACAGTAGAGGCCAGTAGAGGAGTTTAAATAGGCATCAGAGTCCCGAAATTCCTCTGGTCTTGGCCTTAACCGTCGTCTTCAAATTTGGGATGGAACAGTTTTTTTGAAAATTTGTAAATTCAGTCATTTGGAAATTAGCATTCTGCAGTTCTTTTCAGATATTGCAGAAATCAAATTAAAGATTGAATTTAAGAATATTTAAATGTTCTGCCTATTCTTGAAACTTAAAACAATGATCTTGAGGCTAAAATCCTGAAGGATTTCGAGCCTCAGCAGTCACTGTATGTAAGAGCCAAAAGTTTCACCTGGGGGAGAGGACTGCCATATCAGTGACAAGCTCAGAACAGGTAGATCCAATAGGGTCAAGGTAAAGTACACATTAACTTTACTGCTAACTTCTCACTGAAATTAATCCACTGTAGGCATTGTGCAAACATCAAAAAGTACAAGATGAGAATGGACGATTAAACCAATTGTAATTCAAGATAACCAACACTGAAAATGGTGATGTTTCTCCACAATTGCTAATGCTGTGCATGTAACAAGCTCTTTTCTAAAGTAATGAGTAAAATTCAAAACTAAATAACATTTGAAAATGGATGGTTTCAATGCAGTTTGTTTGGCTGATGTTGGAATAATATTTTTGAGATAAATGAATTAGGATAAGCAATGGCAGTCAGACAGCAAATCACAGCTTAGGCTAGTATAAGCTGTTCCATAATGTCTCAGGTTGTTCGCTGAACTAGTGATAAGCAAAATGAGTTGAAAACTTTTTGGAGTTGAAAACTTTTTTTAAAAAAATTCTCAGCTACTGAATTTCTGTTAGAAGTGTAAAAAAAAATTGTAGAACTTAATTTTGTTCCCTTCATTGAACAAAACAAACTTGTTATTGTGTTCATAACAGAACATGGCACATAACCCATCTTTTTACATTAGTGTCTACCTACTCAGTTTTAACAGTATCTAATGCAACTTCCCTTCTTGCCTTAGTTTTTTCAAAACTCATAAATTGAGACCTGACTTTTTGAAAAAACAATCTTTTTATCCGGTGTGAACTAATGATAAATCTGAATCTTTCTCTATCTGTAGAGTATATAACAAAGCATAAAGTATACTAACAGTTTAGCCAGTGTCAGTACATTTTATAGAGACTTGTGAAAAGAACATCATAATTTATGGTATTACTATACAAGCTCACATTTTATAAAACAAACTATTTTTATTATCAGATCTGACCAAGTTTGATGCCTGATGTCGGAGGTGCACCTCTTTAGTTAGGTTAGTGCGTGTTGTACATTTAAGTTTTTTTTTAAAAAAGTGTTCTTTGTTGTAATCCAACTTTTAATTGGTGCAACACCACTTCTTGCAATAACTGGAGCCTCTGTCCAGAGTGTGAGAGACACTTGGGTTGTTAGTATTAGCAAAGAGAAATTATTTGCAGATTCGATCTACATGAGAAACTACTAATCATTTTAGTTGTCCAAATTGTACTAACGACTGCTGCCAGGAATCTGTGGGATTTAAAGTTAAGAGATGTAACCATGAACTGCATTATTTACCAATATTGCATGTGTTTATAGGTATTGTTTTTTGAGAATCCATGGTTTATCAGTTTTCTACTTGATAAGTCTGTGTAATGTTTAGAAGGTCTGTGATACAGTATACAGAACTGTGTTCCAGTAGGTTTCAAATATTTGTTTGCATCCCCTTTAGTTAATTTGTGTTGCAAACAAAACACACATTCTGCAATTGCTGTTACATTCTTGGATAATCTACCCAATTGTGTTTTTTTTAAATGACTAGTTTTGGAATAATGCTGTTCTCCTTGATGTTCTTTGACTGCAATATGAACTAGCAGCATAGGATTTGGTACGTGCTGTTAGATTGTAGTACAATTCAAAAAATAATTATTTCTAAATAATCAGAATTCTGATATTCACAACTGAAGAATTCTCACTAAAATATCTGGATCTTGGAAAATTACAGATAGCATTTTTATGGCTTTGCTTAGTAGACATGGGCTGTAACTAGAGATATTCAAAGACCAATATTGTGAATAAGTGAAATATCTGTCAATTTATAGTCATGAGCTCAGCAGTAAAATACTTGAAGAACCATGAACATTCAGTTACCAGTCAATGTCAGAGTAATATTGCAATTTTGCTACTTTCAACTTGATTTTGTATGAATGCAACACAGCAAATACTGAACTTGTTAGATCAGAAAAGTTATAGCAGCAGTGCATTGTATTTCACAGGAATGTCAGCTAATAGAACTGCTGGTTAATGTACCCATTGAATTCAAATTGTGTTAAATGAGCTAGGTAAGATGGTAACCAATATAATGTTAAATAAAGGACCACTCTGGCTCATAAGTATAGAATTATTTCATTGCACCCAAAACTCTTAATATTTCCAATATATTGCACACAAAAATGTAATGTGTATTTTTGTGTGATGTGTGTGACCTCAGGCAATATGCTTATCAATTGGCCAAAGTATATAATATATATTGATATTTGCAGGCAAGAGATACTATTCTCCCCTTTCCAATCTTCTCATCCTTTCCTGCTTCTCTAGTTTTATTCTTTGTGTGTGAACCCAGAAAGTGACGATAGATAGATGGGCTTTTAACAATAGAGGAGAATCATAGATGTACCAATTGTGGTTACACTTATACTCCTAGTAGGTGGCACTGGATATCAATTACAATTAGGAACCTTAACTGATTTTCCCAAATCCAGGATGCTTAGATCAATTGTGATGCCCCTACAGTATGTTTTAAACATCTCTGGTCTATTTGGCTCACTGAACCACCAGGAGTGCCAAGTATATGATTTGGGTTCAAATTTAATCCTCATTATTATTTCCTTTGTCAACAACTCCAGCAGTGGCTGCAAACCATTCTGTGTGCTGTCACTGTTGCGGTCTGTTTGGTGGTCAAAAGCTTGGGCCAATTTGGTCTCCTTGCTGAGTTCTGAACTGCCTTGCTTCAACCAAGCTGAAAATAGGTTGCTTTTGTCCATGCAAGATAAAGGAAAGTGAGGATTAAAGCACAGTTACTCTGACTACATTCCCTGAATACGGCCAAGCGTTCAGACATTGGCAATGCCATATTCTTTTGGGGAGAAATTCTCTAGGCACCTCTTAATTCTGCAAAAGCTGATGAGTGCAATGCTTGATAGCTCCAGTATGGTGCTGATAAAACATCCTGTAAATGTGCAAGAAAATGCCATATAAAGAATCTGCCAATTCCTAATTAATATAAACATGTTCAAAAAGATACTGAACTTTAACACAGTATAAATAGTATACACTCAACGGTTTATTGTTTGGATACGTTTCCAAACAGCTATGAAAGCAGTCCTATTTTTGAGCAAGCTGCTAAAAAGATAAATGACTACCTAAAGTATATGGTGTCTTTTGTGGTCATAAGCCATTTGTTTCTCTAACCCTTGAATTGGAATGTATGAAGAATTCTGAAAAGCATTTAAGCCATGCTACTTTGAGTGCTAAGACGTTTATTGTAAATGAGGGAAATGAGAATGTCTATTTGCCAAATATTTTTCCTCCCTGCAGGACCAATAGTTGTACCAATTATAGAAATACACTGTGGGGTATATAACCTCTGATAAGTCATACCACTGTCATATTATTATTTAGTTTGCATTTGAACATAAGGAGTATAGGGGAAATAGAACTGGAAATAATAGTATAATATTTAAGTGCTAAAAGTCTTGATGTGTAAATCTTTTGTTTTTCTTACATTAAATCATGTAAAACTTTCTTTTAAAAAATAAAACTGCTGTGATTTTATGGCACTGCCCTTTCTATGCAGTTTGCTGTAGGGAATCTCTTTGCACTACTGTGGTATGTCTAATTGTATACTATCAGTTTTTTTTGTAGACTGAATCACTTTGTATGACGTTATGCAATTTGATAAGTCTTTGTATAGATATGGTGTCAATAAAATTGACAGTTTTGAATTATGGATGGTAGTTGTCACATTTTGTGCCAAAGATTCCACTTGTATTTTCCACCTATGCATTGATATGTTCCTGTATCTGGAAGGGAATAAGCAGCCCCTGGAGGTTTGTACCTTAATTATGCTTACCCAATTCTGCAAAGTATGTTCTCAAGTTGGCAAGAGCCAAAGTTTGAAACCCCCAAAACAGTGCGGTCCTGCTGTAGTTTAGCAATTTAAATTGCAGTTCGTCTTTGAAAGCACCATCCGTTATGTTTCCTGCTGTTTGTTCAGCTAGGGTCATCCTACCCCTAAGGGCTTTGACTCGCAGAGTTAACAGCTGTGTGAGACAAATTCCTGCCAACAGTGACTGTTCTGTTGCTCGGGTATGCCCGGCTCTCACTCACTTGGCTTTCCCTCACCTACACATTGCCTGCCTCCACTACCATGCTCCCCCCGCCTGCCACTCTCATACACACCATCATGTCTTGGCTCAATTATTCAAACATCCTGTTTGCTGGATTCCTCTACTCATTCCTAAATAAGCTACAGACCACCCAGAATTTTGCCATTCATATATTTTCCTGCACCAGGCTCGACAAGCCCATCGATCCCATTTTTATTGGCTCAACTGGTTTCCCCCAGCAGACTGAATTCAAGATCCTCATCCTCAATCCCTCCACAACCTCTGTGACTTCCAGAAATTCTGCTCCTACCACTTCCTCTGCTCAGCAATCCCTGGAGTACTTTATGTCCTTCACCCAATTTATCCCACCATCAGCAGATGAGCTCTCAGTCATTCTGTCCCTGCCTCCTGGACAGGCATTCTAAGTCCTCTGCCTTGCCCCTCCTTCTTCAGCCACTCCATCCCAGCTCAGGCTTCCAGCTAGCTGTGTGCAATGAAAGATGGTCACTATTTGGTTATTTGACATCAAACAAACACAGGTTTGAGCCTTCATTAGGTGGCGAGAAAAAAACAGAACTTTCTGTATGTGTTTGAATAACCAATCCCAAATAAGAGGAGGAGAAATTTACTTTTAATTGCTTACAAGTTGTACACCAAAATTACATTCGGGCTTGGGTTCTGGCAATTGAAGTGACTCTAGTCCTAATTGATTTCATATAAGCAGTATGGAACATACTGATCACTACATTTTGTATTAAATATTTTACATTATTTATAATTATTCTAAATTGATCATAATGAGGCTTCAAATGATAGAAAAAGATCTAGTTTGCCTCTAACAACAATTCCATCTGGTAAGTCTGAGGTCTCCACACCACAACAGGTAGTTTGAGAACACCCCACCAATTTGTGCCACAGATCTGCATCTTCTCAGCGAAATGGATATTGATGGAACTCAACTGGTCTTCCTTGTTTCCTTAGGTTCCCAATGTATTCGTACTCTTTATAGATAAAAAAAAAGTAATGTTAAAACTCAATTTTAAAAGCTTTAAATATATGAAGTAAACAAAGAAAATTTATATTTAATCTGTTATATATGCAACTATTTATATAAAGTTAGCATGGTTGAATGAGGCAATAATGATTATCCTGCTGGAAGGATGAGACTGAATAGACTAACAGTTTCATTTAAAAAAAAAAAAAAATTTAAATTGAAACACTTAGTGGCACGACACAACATGAATAAATCTGAATAATTGTCAATAGTGGAACTGTTGGTTCCATAATCATATGACTCGCTGTGTAAAAAAAATCCAGTTTTAATTTTTTTCCCTCTTTGTTAATGTGAGTTGTTACTAATTAATAATAATGATAATAATCTCTCAAGAAAAAAACAATAATAAATTGGTCACTTCAATCCATGACTTTAAATTTAAATGCGTTTCATCCACAAATATACAGTCAATTAACTTTACATTATATGCTGTGAAGCGCTTTGAGACGTTTGGAAGACGTGAAAAGCCCTATATCAAATGCAAGGATAATAATACAAAAATAATAAAATAATAGGTCTTTATTCAAATATTCAGATGGACTTCAAAGCTGGAATGTGACTTTCTAATTCCTCTACTTCCTTGTTACACCCTACCTCTTCAAAATATCCTCCAGCTTCAGTCTCCATTGCCTCCATTACATAAACTTAGCCTTCGGCACCCTCCACCCCACCATTGGCAGCCAAACTTTCAGACTCCATCACAATATCACTCTGCCTCAACTCCCCCTCCCCCCCATTAAAACCGCTCTCTTGAACCATGTCTTGGGTCGCTCATATTCCCCACTCATCTTCCTCAGATTCCCACACCTTTTGTGTACAGCTCTTTTCTAGCTAGCTATATCATAGATGTTATAGATATATCTCAAGTTTATTTTTCTATCTAACATTTACCATTAATAGCCCAATAAGTCTGTGCTGGTTCATATACTCCACGTGAATCTCCACCCACTCCTTACTTCCTTCAATACAGTTCAACCTCATCTGTATAATCCAGCTTCTTCTTAAATGTATCATTATCTTCTGCTTTGGGCAGCGAGTTCTGCATTTGTATTACTCTCTGCATGAAGTTTCTCCTAAATTCTCTTTAGATCTCCTAGTCGCTATCTTAGTTAAGGATTTATAAAGTTATTCAAACTGATCAAGCACCTGGAGAATAATGAACATATTTCTTAGATGTGGTGTTGGTTACATTTAATAATTCACTGTAGCACAAAAGATTGAAAGAATATTCCAGTGCAGCAATGAAAGAGACGAAGGAAAAGAAAAAATATGTTTATAAACATCCTGTACCTGGCTCTTATTCGTACTTCACTATCAATATATCCTAGTGGTATTTTTGGCCAAAATGAAGGATCTATATTTTCACGGCACAGTGGAATCAAAGACGACTTTGCCTTTTGTGTTTCATTAATTTCTTGCAGAGTATAAACCTTCCCTGGTTAGGGGAGAGAGAGAGAAGAGGCAGTACATAAAATTACCGAGCTAACAAAATACTCTGTTGACTGCTGCAAGAATACAAGTACAAACCTAAATCTGTATTTTAGTGGAATGTTGAAAATGTTTTGAGCAATTTTCCTGATCTTTTCAAATGCAGAAATCTGATGATTACTTGACCTAGATGAAACTACATTTTTGAATAAATTTTTATTGATGCTTAATTTTACAATTCTTGGTCTGTGGATTGCTCGTACAAATTACGTTTTTGAATAAATTTCCACTGACCCCTGACTGTCCAGCGCCTTGGGACGTCCTCCCGACGTGAAAGGCGCTCGATCAATGTCATTTTGTTGTTGTTGTTGATGCATAATTTTATAATATTTGATCCTTGGAACTCCCCCACCCTCCCATCCCAGATCCTCCCACCTCATGTTTATCCATCCTTTTATCTCACATCCTCTGTAAAACTCATAATTTCCACATTATTCCAAATTTCCCTTAATGTCTAAATGTCTCCCTTTATATCAGCTTTTCTAGACTTACACTATTTATAATTGCCTACTTCGAAATGGCTCCAGACAATAACTTTGATTTCCACACATTTGCACTTTCAAATGAAAGTTAAAGACTTCTTTTCTTTGATACCAGTGGTTATCAACAATTGCTCCTATCTTATTTTAGCTAATTACTTTCTCAGCCCTTCAGCATTTTGGTTTGTAATCTTCCTTTCTTCCCTTCAATCCTGATATTGAATTTAATCATGCTATGGTCACTATTCCCAAGATACAACAACAACAACAACAAGATTCCATTTATTGAGTGCCTTTCACGTCGGGAGGACGTCCCAAGGCGCTGGATGTCGGGAGGACGTCCCAAGATGCTTTCTTACTAACAGACTGCTAAGTAGTTCTGGCTCATTACTTATAAATATGGCAAGTATGGTCCATTCCTTTGTTGATAATAAGACACACGGTTTACAAACTTACTCTGCACTGCTTTTTCTACTTGTACTGCTCTCCTACTCTGTATGCAAGTTTAAATCTCCTACTTATATAACCTTGTACATACCATCTCTCACTGCGAGAAAATGCTGGACTTCCTTGAGTCCAAAATAAGGGAATCTGCTCAGCTGCCACTGCCCTCCTAACTTCCAACCCCTCCCTACCTCCACCCCACACAATTACCCATCCAACAATTACCCATCCCTCCTTCCACACCTTTGAATCTGTCACGCCCTCCTCTGTCTTCAACACGATAACCTCCATGAAGTCCACTAACTGCTCCCTCGACCCCATTCCTACCCCTCTCCTTAAATCCCAGTTCCACCTCCTTGCCCCAGGGTTTCCTCTGCCTCCTCGTCCTCCTCAACCTCTCCGTTGTCTTTGACACCATAGACCACTCAATCCTCCTCCAACGCCTCTCCTCCCACCTCAACCTTCAAGGTTCTGTCCTTGACTGGTTCAGGTCCTACCTTTCACACCGCCCCCACTTCTTCGTGGCAAACAGCTGCTCCTCCAGCCCCCGCACTGTTCCTCAAGGCTCCGTCCTCAGTCCCCTCCTCTTCACCCTCTACATGCTCCCCCTTGGTGACGTCATCCGCAGACTTGGGAATAAATTTCCACATATATGCGGATGACACCTAACTCGACCTCTCTGCCTCCACCCTGAAAACTCCAGGACTACTGACGTCCTGACCGACTGCCTGTCCAACATCAAGTCCTGGACAACTCAACGTCAGCAAGACCGAGGCCCTCCTGATTGGCTCACGCCAGCACCTCTGCACCTGAGGCAATGGCAGCATCAGCCTCCATGGCTGTACACTCAACCTCACTAAGCCAGTCAGGAACCTGTTTGACCCTGAACTGTCCTTTCTCCCCCATATTCGCGCCATGACCGGCACTGCCTACCACCACCTCGGCAACATTGCCAGACTCCCCCACTGCCTCACCCCTCAGGCTGCCAAAACCCTCACCCACACATTCGTCATCTCAAGGCTCGATTACGGGAACTCCTTCCTCATCGGCCTTCCCAACTCTTCCCTCCACAAGCTGCAGATCGTCCAAAACTCTGCAGCTCGTGTGCTCTCACACACCAGGCTCCGTGACCCCATCACTCCCACCCTCACCCAACTCCACTGGCTCCCCATCCCCCAGAGGATCGAGTTCAAGATCCTCATCCTCACCTTATTTGGCTATATATGACCTTGCCCCCTCCTACCTCTCTTACCTGCTGACTTCCCTACCAACCTGCCCGCTCCCTCCATTCAGCGGGCTCTGGCCTGCTCTATGTCTCCTACTCTACCATCGGTGTCCGGGCTTTCAGCCTCTCTGACCCCCCACTCCGGAACTCCATCCCACGGTCCCTTCGCCTCGCTTCCTCCCTTGCCTCCTTCAAGGCCGATCTCAAAACCTTCTCTTCGACCGTGCCTTTGATCTCCCTCCCACCTCTCTGCCTTCCCTCACCCCTACACCACTCCTCCCCCCGACAAACTCGGGCTCGGGCCCCGACGCCTGACTGTTCAGCGCTTTGGGACGTCCTCCCGATGTGAAAGGCGCTCTATAAATGTAATTTTGTTGTTGTTGTTGTTGATTATATCATGTCAGAAAGTCCTTTTTTACATCGTGGAGTCCTGTAGCTCAGTGGTTAGAGCACTCGCTTTGCAAGTGAGAGACCTGAGTTCAATTCCAGGCAGGGCGAAACCTTGGGCAAGTTTCCTTACTCCACACGCCTAATAATAATCCCTCCAAAAAACCAAAAACAATAATTAAATTGGTCATTTTCAATCCACGACAGTTTGTGGGACATTGCTGTGCGCAATTGGCTGCCGCGTTCGCCCACAAATATGCAGTCAATTCACTTTACAGTGTGTTCTGTGAAGTGCTTTGGGATGTCCTCCTGACGTGAAAAGCGCTATATCAAATGCAAGGATTATTATTATTATTATTATCCACCCACCTGTTCAGTAATTTTATACACTCAACTAGATGTTGCTTAAAGGACCACTTAAAAAAAAGTGCAAGGTCAATAGACAAGCTAAATTCTGGGAGCAACAATACACCATCCAACAATTGAGCCAAGCAACGGGTAACTCAACAAGCTTCTTGGCCTTGCAACCATGCAAGGGAATCGCGACACAAGGCTATGAGCAGGATCCTCAAGTTCTGGGAATCAGTACATTTGATAGGTATGCAGTGATATGGGGTGTATTCACATTCTCAATCCCTCTTCTAGCAGTTAGCATTTCAACTTCTACAATGCTTATGTTAAATGGAGGTTTGTGCAGGGAACAAAGGCAAGCTCAGTGCAAGTGCAAAAGAGACACGAGGTTCAGCAGGAAATAACTTGAGGTAATGCAATTTCTTTTGATAGCAAGAGAAGGTAATTTACACATTTTCACAGTTCCAAAGTCTCATTAGTCCCTTTATGTTTCATCAAAGCTGCCAGTTGTGTCATCATAGGCAAAGAGAGAAGCTTGCTCTTGCTCAAAGACTCTCTTCTCCAGATACTGAGGAAGGCTCACCATTTTGTTTAGACAGATAGGGAGAGACCTTGTCTTTCTAACTCTATTAATTTGCAATCTCTGAAGCCATGGGCAAGGACATACAAATTGGTACAGGGAAGCTAGCTCCTTTTCCACCACTGCATCAACAACAAGATTACATTTTATAGCGTCTTTCACGTCAGGAGGACGTCCCAAGGCACTGGACAGTGTACAGCATTTCAGACCCAAACTGGGATCAAGGGGGGAAAAGGGAGGGATGGGGAAGGGGGGGGTGACCGATGGCATGGTCGAAGGGTTTTGAGGCAGGACTTGAAGGAGGCTAAGGAGGGGGCGAGGCAGAGTGATTGGGGGTTGGAATTCCAGAGGTTGGGGGCAGTGGCTGAAGGCTCTCCCGCCAATGGTGGGGCGGGTGAGTCGGGGAACGTGGAGCAGGCCAGAGCCGGCTGAGCGGAGGGAACGGGCAGGTTGGTAGGGGGTTAGGAGGTCGCAGAGGTAGGGTGGGACGAGGCCATGGAGCGCTTTGTAGGTGAGGACCAGGATTTTGAACTGGATCCTTTGAAGGATAGGGAGCCAATGGAGTCGGATAAGAATGGGGGAGATGGGGTCACGGAGTTTGGTGCGGAGAGGACATGGGCTGCAGAGTTCTGGATTATTTGTAGCCTGTGGAGGGAGGAGTTGGGAAGGCCAACAAGCAGGGCATTTGCATAGTCGAGCCTGAAGGTGATGAAGGCATGAAAAAGAGTTTCAGTGGCCTGAGGAAGCCCTGCAAGTTAATGGCATTTTCAGGTTTTATCTCGGAAAGGTACGAGTTGCAATGTAGACCACCAGAATCGCAACATAACCTTTCAGTAGCATAATTTTCCAGATGTCTTGCAAAACTCTCTCCACTGCTAAATGTTTAAGAAGCATCTTTCACAGCAATTCTACCACTCGAGAGAAAATCCATAAAACTCGTGTGGTTCTCTTCACACTTTCTTAAGTGTACCCTCTCTGTCCTTCACAACAAATGCACCCAACTTTTTACAATTGTTTTTAATCAATGCATAAATATTCAAATTTCAAGGCCTTTTCGAAAATTCGCATTTCCTTATGTTGAACAGGGGAGGACTTTTGTTTTATGAACATTATATGCCAAATTTCTTCAGTATTCCACTGAATAAGTCTGAATTGTTCATTTGTGTGTCTTATCTTCACTTCAGTTGTGGGCAGCTGAAGTCAATCGTTCTCCACTGCTGACATTCTCCTTAGCAATATGCGATGAACCATTTGCTGTTTTTGCTGCATTCAGCACAGGAGCCACCAGCAGTTGCTGCCAAAAATAGGTGATCCTTTGCATTTTTGTCACCGTTTCCACGAATAAATCGAATTGGGTCTCCAGGTATTGGCTTCGAACAACTACCTCGCGTAGTTTGTTTGAGGTGTATTACAAGTTCCTAGCACTCATGGCAAGGCATTTCTTCAAATTCATCTTTTTTGTCCATGCTTCAGATTGTGCCTTTTGAAAAGCAGATGTTCCAACTATAACAGGTCTTATCACAATGAAGTTGCAGAAACAGGCTCAAGAACAGAGCTTCGCCTTTAATTTTTCTGATGACATATTTAAAACATCTACTAAATGCTTATTATTATTATTTTATCCATTCTCATTCTTTGAAAATTAGTTATTTTGCTCTGTTACAATGGGATTTTACCAATATAAGTGCACCTACAAACTCTCTCCTGTTTAAGAGCGTGTTAAAGTTACTGGACCATTCTCTGCCTCAGATTAACTCTTCCTTTCTTTCCCCTGCTTTTATTGATTTTAAAGACGGCCATGCAAAACTATTTTATTATGCTGAAGTGCGTACTTTCACTTCCAAAATTTCAAACCTGTTTGACATTGCAATAACACACTATCTTCCTCCAACCGGCTCTGACTCTGAAAATGCATCGGATTCTTGAGAAGTGAATCCTTTACCTGCAGAAAAAGGACATTATTACTGAGAAATTACTTTGAAACCGACAGAGTCTGAGGATCAATCTAGTTATTTTAATTTTAATTCACTAGAATGTTACCACGGATGGGAGGTTTCAGTTATGAGGGAAAATTTGAGCAGGTAAATCTTTTCACTTGAGTTGTGAGGATACAAAATAGCCTGATAAAAAAATTTGAGAATGAAAGGTTTCAATAGGATAAATAGATTTGTTTTCATTGGTCGGCTAGTCAAATAACAAGATGGAACAAATTTAAGATAAACATAAAAAATTAAAGGGAAGTTTAGAAAAAATATTTACACTGAGAGTGTGTGGCTGAAATCCAGAAATTTCTGCCAAAGCCATAGTTGAACCAATGTCCATGTATTATTTTAAAAGGAAATTAGATAGATGTTTCATTGGCAGTGGGGTTATATTAGGTGGTTCATGAGGAGAGAAACAACAATGCATCACACTTGATGGATTGGATGGCCTGTTTCTGTGGTTTAGCATTCTATGATTGTATATTAACACAAGAACATTTCAGATGTTAATGGTATCAATTCACACTTCATACCTTAAGGTATTGAGGTTTACACATGTGGAGTACATATGGATTGTAGTCATCTGGGTTATAATCTTCCAAAAGCACAGGTTCCTGTTAAAGGGAAGATGGTCAAATATTTCCACCAATAGACAGACTGCATTCAAATATTAATTACAAATATATTTCTCTCACTACCATTTTATTGCAGTAGTCCAAGTATTGTAAAATAGGAGCACGTCTCCTTTCAATTCCCTGGTTTGTAATTGCATTGAGTTTCTGCTGCTGAGGGTTGTACACACACTCCGTCCACTTCTTATAGAGGAGCTCCTTCTTTCGCAGATTTAGCATGTCTGTATGGGCTAAGTATTTATTCACATCCTATGATACAAAAATTAAATGGTTAAACAGAATGCCCACTGCTGAACAGGTAAAAAAATGAAGAAATCTCTGGAAGAGGAAAATATAAGATTAAAAGTCAGCATCTAACAGTTCATACCTTTATAAAGGTTTCTTCTGTGTCACGAATTGTCTGGCAAAGAGCATCAGATTCACTGTATTCCATATTTACTTTAGCCTGAAGAAGATATTTAATAAGCAATTTCAAGTTTCAGAAACGTTCAAATGTCAGCATTTTTAAGTTGAGGTGCAAATATAATTTCAGGAACTCGGAAAAACTACTTTAATTTTTAGAGTTAATAATAATAATAATCCTTGCATTTGATATAGCGCTTTTCACGTCGGGAGGACGTCCCAAAGCGCTTCACAGAACACACTGTAAAGTGAATTGACTGTATATTTGTGGGCAAACGTGGCAGCCAATTGCGCACAGCAATGTCCCACAAACAGTCGTAGATTGAAAATGACCAATTTTTATTATTGTTTTTGGTTTTGGAGGGATTATTATTAGGCGTGTGGAGTAAGGAAATTTGCCCAAGGTTTCGCCCTGTCTGGAATTGAACTCGGGTCTCTCGCTTGCAAAGCGAATGCTCTAACCACTGAGCTACAGGACTCCATCAGTTGGTACTTTCCTTCTAAATTGTGCTTCACCAACTTACAATAGCCTACTTTCAAGTTCAACTTTCAAAAAAATATTTAATTACTCGTTAAATTTTACACATTATTCATCAGGACACTTTTTTAAAAAAAAATAAAGAACATGCCCTTTAATCAAATTTTAGAAAATTAATTTGCAAAATAATACTAATAACTTGCATTCTTGAAGCACCTTTCATGTAGTATCTAAGTGCTTCACAAAATATAGTTGAGTAGATATGAAGTGAATTGGGCAAATGTAGAGCTAATTTGCACTGGCAAAATTCCATAAACAACAAGATGAGCGGCCAAATTAATTTACATTTGAACAGATGGCAAAAGTATAATGAAAGTAGACAACATGGTTTGATGAACGAGACTGCTTGGTTTTTATTGTGATTGCTTGAACACCAACCAATTTATAGATTAACCTAGTTTTATTTACACCTCATTTCTACCATTTTGAAAACATTTAAAAATTAGCATTAAATGACAACATTTGCCGGAACTCATCCACCTCACTGAGCTGATATGCTTTTTAATAAAGCAATAGGGTAAAACTACAGAATTACATGAAAAATCTAGTGACATGAAAATAAAATATGCTGTTTTAAGCAGTTAGTTTTCATTTCTTCTACCAAATTCATGTAATATCATGTGACAAACATTGCTGTTTTCGGAAGAACACCTTAAAAATAAATTAATTAAAATTATACCTGAAGATGATCAAAAGATTTCTTTGAAAGCCATGCTAGACACTCCTGCTTTGTTAAATCTGTAAAAGCACTCAAGTCATCTGATACCCTTTTCTCCGACCTTGATTCTCTGAGAGGTTTTGTTGCAGAACTAGCCTATACCAAGAAACAGAATTAGAAAACATCGTAGATTTCAAAAGTTATCAGCACAACTTTGATCAGTCCTGCCTTCAAAACAGTAATACAACATAAAATTACATTTGTAAAGCGCCTTTCACATCGGGAGAAAGTCCCAAGGTGCTGAACAATCAGGGATTTGGGAGGGGGGTGGGGGGGGGTTGGATAAGGGAGGGTGGAGAGCAGAGAGGGTACCCGAAGGCATGGTCGAAGAGGAGTGTCTTGCAGCGTGCCCGGAAGGAGGCAAGGGAGGGAGCAAGGCAAAGGGAATGTGGGATGGAATTCCAGAGGTTGGGGGCAAAGAGACTGAAGGCCCAACCGCTGATGGTGGGGAGGGTCAGGAGGGGGATATGGAACAGGCTGGAGCTGATGAGCAGAGGGAGAGAGCAGGATGATAAGGGGTCAGCATGTCGGAGAAGTAGGAGGGCGCAAGTCCGTAAAGGGCCTTGAAGTTAATGGTAACAAATAAAAAAAATTAAAAAGTGGAATACTGGCATAAATTCTGCAATACTAACTAATGTAAGCCACAAATGATCAGCTTTAAACATAAGACAACAACAAATTGTATATATAGAACACTTTTCACATCAAGAGGATGTCCTAGGCACTGGACAATTGAGGGATTGCACACAAGCAGGGAGAGGAAAGATGACCGAAGGCACAAAGAGGAAGGTTTTGAGATGGACCTTGAAGCAGGGAAGGAGCGAGGCAAACGGGCATTCTGGGGTGGAGTGGGAGCAGCAAACAGCCACAATCTATTTTAGCCATTTACTGTGAGAGATGTTGGCTTCAATGAGGCAAATAAATTGTTTTTTTTCAGTTAAGTATCTCCTGCTTCGATAAAACGCAGTTACAAATATAGGTTGAAGATCCTGTATTAGGGTAGCGTATAGTAAAGCACAATTCAGGACAAATTCAGAATGCATATCACTGTCAATGATTAGAAATCTAATTACAAACTTAGTTTGATCACAGCAAAAAGCTTAGGTGGAAGACCCATTACTGTCTACAATATAATAACAGAGGCTACAGAGCTACAAAGCTGTTGCACAAAAATTGCATGGCAGATGGCTGTACAAGAAAGATTGTTTGTTTGTTCAGTAGTGATTGAGTGCAACCTAAATGGTAAGCGAGTCTTTTGCACTTCAATATGTAAAGGAATGTGTGGACTGCATAATATTCATTTCAAAGAAGACTAAATATCTTTCCATCACAAAGCTCCATCTAGTGGCTTGAATGTTTCACAACATCAGTTTATTATAATAATCCTTGCATTTGATATATCGCCTTATTGCCTATCACGTCTTCGAGACATCTCAAAGCGTTTCACAGGAAATACTGTAAAGAGTGTATTTCGTGGGCAATACCCGGCAGCTAATTGCGCAAAGCAGTGTCCCACAAAAAGTTGTGGATTAAGTGACCACTTTCTGCTAGGTAAACAGGCGTGTGGAGTAAGGAAACTTGCCCAATGTTTCGCCCTGCCAGGAATCAAACCCAGGCCCTTTCGCTTGCGAGGCGAGTTCTCTAACCACTAAGATACAGAACTCTGTATGAAGACTACTCAAAAATATGTTTCAGCAGTATTATTCCATCTGTCACAGTTTGGTAATTTGATTCAAACTAACAAGTATATCAAAACAGATTTATTTACCTCTTGGATAAATTAGTAGAATGCTATACAGTGCCAGGTGATGGAAGGAAGCAGAAGTAAATAAATATAGAAAATAATGAACACACCCTCAACAGAAGGATTACTGGCTTCCAGATGAGATTCTAGCAAACTGAAGTTCAGTAAAGATGATGGAGAGTACATAAATAGTTATTCCACTGCCAGCCCAGTTATTATTATTTGTAGCATTTCTCTTGACCAAGAAGGCGCAAGGCAGAGGAAGGAATTGCAGAGAGTGAGGGCAGAAACGTCCACTCCAGTTATTCCCAGCTCAAAATGTTGTTTTTCAAGTCAAAGTGGTTTCTTCTGAATTGGAATTATGTCGCACCTCATTTATGACATCTCTCACTCTCTCTGAACACACACTTAGAGCTCAGCCAATATGGAACCTCGGTGTCTTGTTTCACCCTCAACTGTCCTTTCTGCCCCACATCCGTGCCATGACCCAGTCTGCCTTCCCCCACCTCTGCAACATCGCTCCGTTTCCACCACGCATCAACCCTCAGGCCGCCGAAACCCTCATCCGCTCATTCATTACATTCAGGCTCGGCTACGCTAACTCCCTGCTTGTTGGCCTTTCCACCTCTTCCCTCCACAAGTTGCAGAGCGTCCAGAACTCTGTAGTTTGGATCCTCTCTAGCACCAGACTCCGTGATCCTATCACCCCTATCGTCACATGGGTCCACTGGCTCCACATCCCCCAGTTCAAAACCCTCGTGCTCACCTTCAAATCCCTTCTTACCTCTTTGACCTGCTAACTCCATACAGATCTGTCTGAACCCTCTGCTCAGCAGGTTCCCGCCTGCTCCATGACTCTCACCCAGCTACCCCAACATTGGCGGTCAAGCCTTCAGCCTCTCTGCCCCCATCATTTAGTACTCCATCCCAGTCCCTTCGCCTTGCTGCCTCAAGACCTTCCACTTTGACCACACCTTCGGTCACCCTCCTACCCCTACTCTCCCTGCGCTACACCCAGTGTGATCCCAACCCCAGCTCGAGTTCAAATCCCTGACTGTCCTGCGCCTTGGGACGTTTTCCCAACCTGAAAGGTACTATACAAATGTAATTTGTTGTTACATTCTTTCGTACGAATTCTCTTGCCCCACCCTACCTCTGAAACCTCTAAAACACTACCAACCCACCTGGTCCCTCCATTCAATAGGCACCAGACAGCTTCATATCCCTGCCCAGCCTGCCCACCATCGGCAGCCAGGCTTTCAGCCGCCAATCTCTGCAATTGCTTCCTGGATTCCCTCTGCCTTTGCCTTGCCCCAGCTCGGTCCATCTCAAGACCTACCTCTTTGACAGCACCTTCGGTCAAGAGAGATGCCACAAATAATAATAATTTTGATATAGCGCCTTTTCATGTCATCAAAACATCTCAAAGTGCTTCACAGGATATACTGTAAAGTGGATTGACTGTATATTTTGTAGCTGAAACGCGGCAGCCAGTTTGCACACAACAGTTTGCACACAACAATGTCGCACAAACAGCCATGGAATGAGTGATCAATTTTTTTTTGAGGGATGTGCTGGCCAGAGCATTGGGAGAAAACTTCTTTCTCTTTTCGAATCGTGCCACGGGATTGTTGATGTCTCTCGGCAGACGGGACCCCGGTTTACCTCTCATCTGAACGATGGGACCTCTGACAATGTAATGCCCCCACAACACTGCATTTTATAGCAAATAGACTATGATAAAGCAGTTCCAATTCAGAGGAAACGATACTGCTCTTGGAAAAATAATAATAATACTGTGAGTGGGAAATTCATATTTCACAGCAGTGCTGGAATAACAACGTTTTGCCTATAAAATATAGTCTCTGCTTTACAGTACGTTCTGTCAAACGCTTTGAGAACTCTTCCTGATGTGAAAGATGGTATACCAAATGTAAGGTTTATTATTAACACACTATACTGCTGTCATTAGCCTGATAAAAACTACCTGAGAGCAGTTTGATACTGATCCTGGGTGATTAATATAAAACCATTTTGTTTTCACTGATTTTTTTTAATAAGGTCATCCATCAATTGCCCCAAAACACATTCGATTCTTGACAAAGTGTCTTTTTTTGAAATTCTGCATTCAACCTTCGCTGTTGACACAGGATAAGTGATTTTGACATCATAAAAGAAATTGTTGTGAAATGACATTTTCCTCAGCCACTGCAGTTGAAATTAGTTGTCAAACGGTGCACGCCTCCGTTTGCATCTCCATAGCAACTTGCCATCATACACACTGAACACAGCCATCTGCCTCTCCACTGATTTGAAGAACATCATGGATCAAATTGAGAGTTTGAAGTCTTTGAATAAGATACTGAGCAGCTCTCTCCCGGTAGGTACAGCACAGCAGGTGATCAACTTTTACTTGCAAAGCAAAAGCGAGGCACCGCTTCGGGGTGGGAATTTGGTTGAGGAGGTGGTGGCGATGTGCTGAGGGATGGCGGCAGCGCAGGGGGAGATGATGGCGAGGTAAGAAGTGGGGGTGTAGTGAAGGAGATGAGGGCAGTGAGAGGAGGGGGGATAATAATTGTAGCAATCCTTGCATTTGATATAGCACCTTATCTGTCGTTGAGACGCCTCAAAGCTCTTCACAGAAGATTATTGTAAAGTGAACTGACTATATTTGTGGGCGAAAAGCACAAAGGTGGGGGATGAGTGGGGTGGGGGGGGTGAGGGGGATGTGGGGGGTGAGGGGGTGTGAGTGGGGTGGGGGGGGTGAGGGGGGTGTGAGTGGTGAGTGGGGTGGGGGGTGTGAGTGGGGTGGGGGGGTGTGAGTGGGGTGGGGGGGTGTGAGTGGGGGTGGGGGTTGAGTGGGGGTGGGGGTGTGACTGGGGTGGGGGTGTGAGTGGGGTGGGGGGTGTGAGTGGGGTGGGGGGTGTGAGTGGGGTGGGGGGGTGTGAGTGGGGTGGGGGGTGTGAGTGGGGGGGGGTGTGAGTGGGGTGGGGGGTGTGAATGGGGTGGGGGGTGTGAATGGGGTGGGGGTGTGTGTGAGTGGGGTGGGAGGTGTGTGAGTGGGGTGGGGGGTGTGTGAGTGGGGTGGGGGGTGTGTGTGGGGTGGGGGGGTGAGTGGGGTGGGGGGGGTGAGTGGGGGTGGGGGGTGGTGGGGTGGGGGGGTGTGTGAGTGGGGGTGGGGGTGGTGTGGGGTGGGGGGGGTGAGTGGGGGTGGGGGTGTGACTGGGGTGGGGGTGAGTGGGGGTGGGGGGTGTGAGTGGGGTGGGGGGGTGTGAGTGGGGTGGGGGGGTGTGAGTGGGGTGGGGGGTGTGAGTGGGGTGGGGGGGTGTGAGTGGGGTGGGGGGGTGTGAGTGGGGTGGGGGGGTGTGAGTGGGGTGGGGGGGTGTGAGTGGGGTGGGGGGGTGGTGGGTGGGGGGTGTGAGTGGGGTGGGGGTGTGAGTGGGGGGGGGGTGTGAGTGGGGGTGGGGGGGGGGGGGTGGTGGGGGTGGGGGGGGGTGGGTGAGTGGGGTGGGGGTGGTGAGTGGGGGGTGAGTGGGGTGGGGGGTATGTGAGTGGGGTGGAGGTGTGTGAGTGGGGTGGGGGGGGGTGTGAGTGGGGGGGGTGTGAGTGGGGGTAAGGGGGGGGGTTGGGTGAGTGGGGTGGGGGGGGGTGTGAGTGAGGTTGGGGGTGTGAGTGGGGTGGGGGGCTGTGAGTGGGGGGTGAGTGGGGGTGGGGGTGTGTGTGTGGGGTGGGGGGGGGGTGAGGGTAGTGAGATGTCAGGTGGTGGTGAGGTGTAAGCAGTGAGAGGTGGTGGGGTTGGTGTTGAGGTGGAAGTCAGCCATGAAGCGGGTAGCGGGGCCGCCTGAGGGTCTGTGTGACTCCGCCCCCACACGCGGGGTCCGCCCCCTGTCCCCCCCTTACCTCAGGATCAGACAGCGCCTGTGCCTCCTCATCCTCTTCTCCCGTCTTCTTCTCCACGAACAGGTGTATCGTGTCGATGCTGCTGTAATGGTCCACGGGGCTGTGGAAAATGATGATATCCGGCTTCGCCCTGACCACCGGCATCGTCCCCGGAGCGCACGGCTCTCTCTCTCTCACTCACACACATCACCACTCACACACACCCCCCCCCTCCCCGCGCGCGCCTTAATATCATTGCCCACAGCAAGTAGTTCGCCCAATTATTTCACTGCCAACCGATGTACCGCTCGCACATCGCCCCGTTTTTCGGTGCACTCGATTTATTCCACTGCGCGGCGCACGGTTCCGCCGTTTGCTTTGCGCAACTGAACGTTGTCTTGTTGGTTTTGCCTTCTCCTTCCGCCGGCGGAGATGGGAGGCGGGCGGGCGGGGGTGAGGCGGCCCCGTTACCATGGTGACGCTTCTGACTCAAGCACTAGTTTGCAACCTAACGTGATGGCGCCGCCCACTGGCCTGACTGGCGGGGAAGGTGACCAATAGGAGCGCTTCATCCTTTGTTCAGCCATTTGGATTAAAGAGAAGGCGGAGCCTAAAACCAAGTTTGTTAGACCCGTGAGGCACCTCACCCCCACAGTCACTGCCCCCACAGTCACTGCCCTCACCCCCACACTCACTGTCCTCACCCCCACAGTCACTGTCCCCACAGTCACCGCCCTCACCCCCCCCGTCACTGCCCTCACCCCCACAGTCATTGTCCCCACCCTCACAGTCACTGCCCCCACAGTCACTGCCCTCACTCCTCACAGTCACTGCCCTCACCCCCACAGTCACTGCCCCCACAGTCACTGTCCCCCACAGTCACTGCCCTCACCCCCCACAGTCACTGCCTTCATTCCCCCACAGTCACTGTCCCCACCCCCCCCACAGTCACTGTCCCCCCACAGTCACTGTCCCCACCCCCACAGTCACTGTCCCCCACCCCCCCACAGTCACTGTCCCCCACAGTCACTGTCCCCACCCCCCACAGTCACTGTCCCCACCCCCCACAGTCACTGTCCCCCACAGTCACTGTCCCCCACAGTCACTGCCCTCACCCCCCACAGTCACTGCCTTCATTCCCCCCACAGTCACTGTCCCTCACAGTCACTGCCCTCACCCCCACAGTCACTGCCCCCACAGTCACTGTCCCCCACAGTCACTGCCCTCACCCCCCACAGTCACTGCCTTCATTCCCCCACAGTCACTGTCCCCCACAGTCACTGTCCCCCCACAGTCACTGTCCCCCCAGTCACTGCCCTCATTCCCCCACAGTCACTGTCCCCCACAGTCACTGTCCCCACCCCCCACAGTCACTGTCCCCCACAGTCACTGTCCCCACCCCCCACAGTCACCGCCCTCACCCCCACAGTCACTGCCCCCACAGTCACTGCCCCCACAGTCACTGCCCTCACCCCCACAGTCACTGCCTTCATTCCCCCACAGTCACTGTCCCCACCCCCCACAGTCACTGTCCCCCACAGTCACTGTCCCCACCCCCCCACAGTCACTGTCCCCACCCCCCACAGTCACTGTCCCCCACAGTCACTGTCCCCCACAGTCACTGCCTCATTCCCCCACAGTCACTGCCCCCACCGCCCACAGTCACTGCCCCCACCCCCCACAGTCACTGCCTTCATTCCCCCACAGTCACTGTCCCCACCCCCCACAGTCACTGTCCCCCACAGTCACTGTCCCCACCCCCCACAGTCACTGTCCCCCCAGTCACTGCCCTCATTCCCCCACAGTCACTGTCCCCCACAGTCACTGTCCCCACCCCCACAGTCACTGTCCCCCCAGTCACTGCCCTCATTCCCCCACAGTCACTGTCCCCCACAGTCACTGCCCCACCCCCCACAGTCACTGTCCCCACCCCCCACAGTCACTGCCTTCATTCCCCCACAGTCACTGTCCCCACCCCCCACAGTCACTGCCTTCATTCCCCCACAGTCACTGTCCCCACCCCCCACAGTCACTGCTTTCATTCCCCCACAGTCACTGCCCCCACCGCCCACAGTCACTGCGCCCACCCCCACAGTCACTGCCCTCATTCCCCCACAGTCACTGCCCTCATTCCCCCACAGTCACTGCCCCCCACAGTCACTGCCCCCACCCCCACAGTCACTGCCCTCATTCCCCCACAGTCACTGCCCTCATTCCCCCACAGTCACTGCCCCCCACAGTCACTGCCCCCACCCCCCACAGTCACTGCCCCCACCCCCCACAGTCACTGCCCTCACCCCCACAGTCACTGTCCCCCACAGTCACTGCCTTCACATCCCTCTTTCAGCCCCGGTCTCAAACCCTCACACCCCCAGTCTCTGGATTCACACCCTCAGTCTCTGCACTCGGACCACTCCGGCCTCTGCCCTCCGGTGAAGGGTCCTTTAGAACACCCCCTCATCAATGTGAGTCCTCCCCAAAGCTACACTGATCCACAGTCCATGATGGCCAGTCTTTGTGCTGACTTTCCTCAGCAGACAGGACCAGCTCGCACGATGCACCACTCGAACTTGGACCAGTTGTTTTGAATGAGGTGGTGAGAAACTCAGGCACATAAAGACAGGACTGAGGCTATTGAACTTCTAGCACAAACTATCCAGTGTTCTTCAAAAATAATACCTACCTAACATTGGTTTATAATGTCAGTATTATTACAATTTATTTGAAATGTACAGTCATTCAAGAAGTCATTTTTAATTTAGTACAATTAAAAACTGAGTAATTATTACTCAAACTTGTAACTGTAATGAATATATGTTGCTACCTTTAGGAACAAGAATAATTTTAATTTCCATTCCCACTTTTATTTAACTTATAGTGTGTGAAGTAGCATCTAACAACAACATATAAACTGCACAAAATGCATATCACTTTTCACAGAATAACTGTTAAAAGTTGACAATTTGTTGATTAAGGTTTTAAGCCTTCAGGGAAAATGTAGGTATGGAAGAGTACTGAGTTTATAAGGAGACATGCACAATGTAGAGAATATTGTATTAAATTTAAGTAAGGTCTCATCCCACTGAAGTATTGCTAAGGTTAGTTTATTTAATAATTCAGACCAATCAGCTAGCTGATTTCTATTGGAAATAATGATTTTTGGTGATCATTAAGATGATGATGATATTAGGCCAGACATGTTCATTTGAAAATTATTTCATTTGGCTTCCAATGTGCACCAAATAGTGGTCCTAGAATGATGCTATGGTTTACGACTTTGACTGAAAATTAAATCCTCAATCTCAGTAAACTATTGTTGCAATTGCAGTATTTTCTGGAGCCACACACTATTTTTGAAATTATATTAATGTTAGGTGCACGGAGTTTCATTCAGTGTTTTTTTTTCTTTGCAGTATAATTTAATAATGACCCTAGACCAAATAGACAATCTACTGACGAATGCTCTGATTGCAACAAATCATGTACAGAACTGTGCAATGGTCATTATAAAAACTGGCAAAGTGGTGGGAACATCCAAAGGATTTAAAGTAAGAATATAGGTGATGAGTTCAATCATTTCAGGTTTGTAATTGTTTTGGTGAATGTCAAGATGAAATGATGGTATTGAGTTACACATGTTCATTTTAAAATTAGTTATGTTATGCCAAATAGTGGTCCTTGAATGATCCTTTGCTTTGTGACTGACTGAAAATAAATCCTCAATCTCAACAGTTGCAGCCTCCTATGGGACCATATGATGTATTGGATGCCCTAGTGATGACATTGTGTGCTGCTTCTGTAATAATAATCCTTACATTTGGTACAGTGTGGATTCCTGTAGCTCAATGGTTAGAGCGCTTGTCTCGCAAGCGAGAATCCTGGGTTTGATTCCCAGCAGGGCAAAACCAAAAGGCATTTGAAAAGTGCCACTTAAAAGCAAAAAGCAAAATAGACTTGTAAGCAAAATAGAAGCCCACGGTATTAAAGGGACAGTGGCAGCGGATACAGAACTGACTGGGAGACAGACAGCAGAGAGTGGTGGTGAACGGTTGTTTTTCTGACTGGAGGGAAGTGTGCAGTGGTGTCCCCCAGGGGTCAATATTGTGACCACTGCTGTTTTTGATCTATATAAATGATCTGGACTTGGGTATAGGGAGTACAATTTCCAAGTTTGCAGATGATACTAAGTTAGGAAAAGTAGTAAACAGTGAGGAGGATAGCAGCAGACTGCAAATGGACATAGACAGACTGGTAAAATGGGCAGAGACTTGGCAGATTAAGTTTAATGTGGAGAAATACAAAGTGATGCATTTTGGAAGAAAGAATGAGGAGAGGCAATATAAGCTGATGGTACAATGGTAAAGGGGATGAAGGAACAGAGAGACCTGGGGATTCATATCAGTAAATCTTTAAAGGTGACAGGACAAGTAGATAAAGCTGTTTAAAAAGCATACGGGATACAAAGCTTTATAAATAGAGGCATAGAATACAAAGGTCAGGAAGTTATGATAAACCTTTATAAAACACTGGTTAGGCCTCAGCGAGAGACTGTGTTCAGTTCTGGGCCCCACACTTTAGGAAGGATGTCAAGGCATTGGAGAGGGTGCAAAAGAGATTTACCAGGATGGTACCAGGAATGAGGAACTTCAGTTATCAGGAGAGGCTAGAGAGCCAGGATTATTCTTCTTGGAGCAGAGAAGGTTAAGAGGAGACTTAATAGAAGTTTTCAAAATTATGAGGGGATTCAATAGGGTGAACAAGGAGAAATTATTTCCACTGGCGGGTGGGTCAGTAACCTGAGAGCACTGATTTAAAATAGTTGTTGAAAGAAACAGAGGGGAGGTGAGGAGAAATGTTTTCACACAGTGAGTTGTTTGGATCTGAATGCATGAAAGGGTGGTGGAAGCCGATTCGATAACAACTTTTACAAGAGAAGTAGATAATTATTTGCGGAGGACAAGTTTGTAGGGGTATGGGGAGAGAGTGTGGGAGTGGGTTATCAAATGCAAGGATTATTATTCCATTTTAAGAACATTACCGTTGTTTCAGAGTTTATGGAAATAATTATATCTTTATTCAGCTTCAGTGAAGAGACTACATTTTTAAATAAATTATTTATAAAGCAGATTTGTCAAATGCAAAGTCTGCAACTCAGAGGCGATGTCATTCCATAATTTCCCACCATTTCAAATAATTTATTCCTGGTCCATGCAATTCAGCAATTGTGAAGCTATGCATATGATAATTGAAGAATACAAGTTTTTACTTTCCTAAAATGATTATTCAGCATTGATCATATACAACAACAACAACAAAATTACATTTATAGAGCGCCTTTCACTTCGGGAGGATGTCCCAAAGCGCTGAACAATCAGGTGTTGGGCCCGAGCATGGGAGAGGGGTGGTATAGGGGTGAGGGAAGGCAGAGAGGTGGGAGGGAGACCAAAGGCACGGTCGAAGAGAAGGGTCTTGAGACCGGCCTTGAAGGAGGCAAGGGAGGAAGTGAGGTACATACATACCTCATGTATGTACACTGTTATATTTGTATGAAACTAAAGTATGTTCAGGTAAATGAAAAACATCTTTGAAACATTACCCTATGTAAGTGAAAGGTACTATATAACAAGAAGAACATATTTTTATTGTGTTGTTCACATAGAGTAATATCTCAGTGACCTGTACAGTGCTGGGATTAGACACTGAGCCAGGGAGGAGGGGAAAAGGAGGTGACTATAGGCACTGTTGAAGAGGTAGGTTTTCAGGTGGGATTACAAATGGATAATGAGTGGGCGAAGTTGAAGCAGGGAGTTTCAGAGATTGGGAGTACAATGACAGCAGGCACATTTACCAACGGTGAGGTGGAGGGGTCAGGATACGCAGTAGGCCTGTGTCAGCTAAGTGAATCGAGCGGGCAGAGTGGGGTACTATCAGAGAGCCGGGTTCTATCAGAGAGATGCAAGAGTGTGAAAGGATTTGTATGAGAGAGTATGCATCTTAAAGTCACTCCGTTTGGAGACAGGAGTCAGTGGAACCTGGAGAGGATTGGGTTGATGGGTTTCCAGAGTTTGGCGCGGGTGAGGATACAGAACTTTTGTATTAGCTGAACGTTGTGGATGGGGTGGCTGAGCAGATCAGTGTGGGCAGGAAGGACACCTGAGAATTGAACAGGACATCGAGGTTGCACACTGCTTCAGTGAGTTTGTAATTTAGGCTGGGGAGGTTGAGAAACAAGTTATTGTTGCATTTACCAGTAAATCCTTTTGTTTTTATTAGCTACGCTTACAGGATATTCAAACACTCCAGAGAGCTTTCAAAAACGCAAATGTAATCCGAGATGATGGCATTTACTTTCAGAATGAAAAGTACAGCTGTGTCAGAGTCGACAATCATTCAGTGTATGCTAGAAACGTAAGCCTTTAAGAATTAAAGAACTTTCTACTCAGTTAATGACCTGTCAATATGGCTGATATTGTGAAAGAATGGGATGAAATGGCCCAAAATGCCTTCTTCATCTAGATTTTTCTTGCGATCTTGTAATTTATTTAGTTCTACTATTTTGATTTATGATTGACTAGTCTTAGTCCATTTTAAACAAAACATGATTTCCAGTTCTGTTTATCTTTCTGCAGGGGAATCCCAATACAGCACGCATACCCCACAGAGCACTGCCTTGCTTAAAGTGCATATCCACAGTAGACTTGGGGACACCTGGCTTCCCATACTAAAAAATGATTGACTTCCTAAAGTCACTTCTTGGGCACAATATGGCAGGAAGCATCGCTGCGACTTTTTGCTTGCTGTGTACAAGTGCACAAAGAATAAAATGAAATTGATCATAGAAAATGCTATATTTTTGGTTGGGATTTATGTATCATGATTTTTGAAGCAGCAAATTATCGCATTGCAATTTTTACAGCAAATGGTTTGCAAACCTATTTGAACTGTTCACTGGCAGAATGTTGGCTTCTTTCAACAGGAAGGAAAAGGAATGGTCATAGTTAAAACAGCAAAATTTCTGATTGTCGGCACTTACATTGAGGGCATGTATCCAAGTGTGTGTGTTGAAGCTTTGGAGAAATTAGGTGAGTATGATGACATTTGGAATATAAAGCAACAAGATTAGACAAGGATTCTAATCCAACTGAACCTTTTTATTTGAGATCAAATTCAGATAAACTTTTAATTGCTACAGCTATGTCAGGTTTCAGACACAGCAGAAATTCCTCACAGAGTATTATGGGATTTAACCTGATCTAAATTTAGAGATTCCTTAATTATTGAATTTGAAATACCCAGATGTGTGGGAGTAAGATCCCTGACACAGACTAGTTGTGCCAAAAGTGCAGACTAGTTGGGCAGAATGGCTGCTTTGGTGCCATATGTGATCTCAAAGGCGATATCCTGAAACCAGGTTTGTTTTAAGGCTTGTAGAACACACTTTCGAGTGCTAGTTAGTGGGACTATGAACTTACGGAGTTTTGCTAACCAGTAGTTGAAAGTAAGTGGTCTTCAAGTCATTAAATTAATTTCAGAATTACAATATGATACTGGATACTGTCTTTGTTTGCAAGTGTACAAACTGTTTACAAATACAACTAACAATACGGTGTCCTGTAGCTCAATGGATAGAGCACTTGCCTCGCAAGTGAGAGACCTGGGTTTCATTCCTGGCAGAGTGAAACCTTGGGCAAGTTTCCTTACTTCGCATGCCTGATAATAATCCCTCAAGAAAAAAACACAATAATAAATTGGTCACTTCAATCCACGACTGTTTGTGGGACACAGCTGTGCACAATTGGCTACTGCGTTTCACCCAAAAATATATACAGTCAATTCATTTTACAGTATATTCTGTGAAGCACTTTGAGAGCCTAGAAGATGTGTAAAGCGCTGTATCAAATGCAAGGATTATTATTATTACAGCCCTGCATGAAATGGAACAAGCATATTTCTGACAATGGTCCTTTTACAACAAAAGAAAGAGAATCTGCTAACACTTTTTTTTATTTTAGCTGAATACTTCAAGTCAAAGGGTAAATAAAAGGCCTGAAGACAAATGCACTATATGCATTGCAGACATCACAAGATTATAAGAGAGGTTCATGTGAAGAAAGCCCTTCAACTCATTCATCTCATCCTTCCATAATATCAGACCTACCATCTTCTATCAAAATATCAAGCTGCTTCTCAACTATTATTCCTTGAAACCCTTTCCAGCTGTTTATTACCTTCAGGTGTAAAAAAAAATCCCAATGTCAGTTCTATAGTTTACCTTCTCAACCCAAATCTTAACCTAATCTACAGTTTTCTTTTAGGAAATAATATTATGGGATACAGTACAAAGGTAGTTCGGGACATATGTACATGCGACCGCTAGGAAGGTTGAAGGTAAACTAGATGGCCTTGGTCTTTTCTCGCTAGAGTTTCTTATGTTCTTATAAATGTGTGGTTTCTTGTCCTGCTATCCTGTGTATCTGAAAGCACTGTTCTAGATTTCCATTCTCTGATTCATGTTTTATATATCTTTATAAGGTGCTTTCTGAGACTTCTCTTTGAAATTAAAGACTCTATCTTATCTAATAATTCCTCGTAGCTCTTCTAACACTGGCAGTCAACCTCAGTCTCATGATTTACTTCCAACAATATAAAAAATTAGATTAGTTTATAAATCTCTAAGAATTCAAAAGCTAGTGCAAGACTGAGATAGAGAGATTTCGTATTGCAAAAGGGATTAAGGGATATGGGGATAAGGCACAGTTAGGTTATTAGCTGGAGTTAGATTAGAAGATCAGCCATGATTGAATGGCAGGGCAGGCTCAAAGGGCCTACTCCTGCTCCTAAATGTGATGTTATGTTAAATGTGCTACACCTTTGAACTGTCAAATTTCGGTTGATTTGGACTGGTCCTTAGGAGTGTTTATGTTTCCTTTGTAACTGAATAAATAACATTTTTCTTAACATGATTGTAGTATGGTTTGTTGTTTCCTCGCTGCTCAACTTCTCCACATACAAGTTACGAGCTCCACAGCCCAGATCCTCTCTAGTGCAGGGATGATGAATGGTTGGGGGTAATTAAGTTGTCTAGACTTGGTGGAGAGGAAGGGGTGGGAGACATAGAATCTCAGGAGTTCCTGGGGTAGAGTGGGGCAAGGCCATGGAGGCATTTAAAGGTTAGGATTGCTCCCTGGGTTTTACAGCATTGACTAATAATAATAATATTAAACATTGTTGATACCTTTTATGCTGTAAGAAACATACACAATAGTATGATTGCTCACCAAGGTGGATAGTGTTGATTTTAGATTTACTGTGCTTTCAGTACCTCTTTGTGCTTTCGGTCATCTTCAACCCCAGCTCGGGTACCCAGTGTTAAAGTGCTTTGAGGCATTCGTCTGACCTAAAAGGTCCTAAATAAAGTGCAAATCATACTGTATCTATGGTGAAGTAAAATATGGAAAATAATAAAATAATCCATGATATAACAAGGATTATATTCACATCAGAGGAATGTTGTGCTTGCGTGCTCAAAAAAAGCTTTAAATGAGACCACAACTTCCAAAAGTGAAGGGGTAGTGTTTAGTTGCAGGTAAAAGATGATTATTAAATGTGTTTTTCCACATGAACATAGCTGACTTACTGCATGTAATTTCTATTGTGATTCACTTACTGTATTTTGCGATGGAGAGTTTAGTGAGTGACTCTGTGGATCCCTAAAGGTCAGTGATCAGTCTGTACAGTGTACTGTTGAATCCTCATTGGGATTCTTCAGTGCTGACCACCATGACAAAAGGGGCACGTAGAGGCCCAACAGACAGTAGTACAGCAACAACACATTGCATTTATATAGCACGTGAATAAAGTTTGAATGTTTTGCAGTAGCACAAACTCGGAGCAACGGATCCCCATTGAAAGCTGTTTCGCACTGTTGGATGGATGAACTATGATAATCTAATGCTCTTCAACCTTGAAAACAGATATCTCAGAGGGAAGCTTATAGCTAATATAAGATGCTAAGCAGAATAGTAAAATAAGACCAAAACAATAGGTTCAAGATTATAACAAATAATCTTTTTCACACAGAGGGTGAATGGTTAAGGAAAGTGATGCCATAACATTCTTTAAAAAAAAACACACTCAATTATATGGTGACATAATACTGGTCATTTAAGAAACAGCCAGCATTGGTTTTCTTGAGGAATGAAATAAGTCACGAAGCCTTTTACATCTGAACTCCCAGTGTGAGTCCGTAAAATTCTGCCCCATTCAATAGGGAGCAGAGGAATTTTGGGCTTGTTTGCTCAAAAATAGATTTTAATGAGACCACAGAAGGAATAGTGGTCAGTTGCAGAAAAAGCTGATTATTAAATTCATTTTTTATTGCAGAACAAGATGAAGGCAGTATATTTTGATCAGCCGGGAGGACCAGAAAATCTTTACCTTAAAGAATTGCCTACACCTCAGCCAAAGGATGGAGAGGTGCTCATTAACGTTTTTGCCACTGCTCTGAACAGGGCTGATTTACTGCAGGTAATTTCTATTATCAAATAAATGTATTATTATTATTATTAGGACCTTGCTGTCCTAGAAGAGAGGCAGCTCCTTGAGTCTTTAAATGAACCATTCATAGTCAGAACTCCAGGAAGACATGTTTAGTAATTGTTCATTATTGCATTACCTAAACTGAAATCTGATTCTCTTTTTAGAAAGGGGGTGAATTTTTTCAAGAAACCTGCGGAAAAGTTTTATGGACATTTCTTATTTAGATGTTGCTGCGGATAAAAAAAATATGGTCTACAACAACAACAAGATTCCATTTATAGAGCGCCTTTCATGTCGGGAGGACGTCTATTGGAATCTTTCAATAAAAAAATGCTATTTTGGGATTGGGAAGTTGATATTCACTGTGAGTGGTTGTTGATATTCTTTTAGTTTCAGTTTGAAACCTTTGGTGGCTTTGATGTTGCAGAGAAAAGGAATGTACCCTCCCCCCAAAGGAGAGAGTGAGGTTCTTGAACTAGAAGCTACAGGAACTGTGGTGGGCCATGGACATGGTTGTAAGGGAATCGTCTCCCTTGGAAGCAGCGTGATGGTGTTGTTGGCAGGCGGTGGCTATGGAGAGTATGTTACAGCTCCTGAGGAACAACTGATGACTGTCCCAAGTCATATGATCTTCTGCCAGGCTGCAGCCATTCCTGAGGCTTGGTTGACTGCTTATCAGCTGCTGCATTTTGGAGGTAAGAAATAAGTTTTCAACAAGACTACAACGTGTGCCCTCAGGGGAGCTGTGCTGTGCGAGTGAAAGTGCTTTCAGTGTAGTTTTTAACCACTACGATCAACTTTATTCAAGTACCTATTTTGAGTAATGGGTAGTCAAGAGCTCTTTGCAAAGAATGTATGTTTTGCATCAGTCATGTGCAGTCAAGTCTCAGCTTACTGGATGCATTGTCATTTATTTTCCAGTCATTCAGAGTGTGTTATGATACAGTATAATGAGCAAGAATAATTTTTGATAATAATCCTTGCATAGCACCTTGTACATCAGAAGGATGTTCCAAAAGATATACAGCAAAGTTATTTGACTGTGTTTTGCAAGCGAAACACAGCAACTAATTTGTGCTCAGCACAGCAAACTGTGCCAATGTTTATTCCGGGGGTGGGGGGGGTTTAAGCGAAGGGACAAAAAAAGTCTAAAGTGACTTGAATTGGATCATACATTAGAATCCTTGTGTGCATATTTTTAAAAGGTTATGTGTTTGACAGCATTGGGTGTATAAAATTATTATTCAGCATTGAATCCAGGTCTGCGATTATAATTTGTAATCATTTATTTTTTTGCTAAGCTAAGGTGCAGAAAGGAGACGTGGTATTGATCCACGCTGGAGCCAGTGGTGTTGGCACAGCGGTAATTCAGCTGACTCTTTTGGCAGGAGCAGTTCCCATAGTAACTGCAGGGACACCAGAGAAACTGCGAATATGTGCAGAACTTGGGGCAGCTGCTGGATTTAACTACAAGGAAGAGGATTTCTTAGAAAGAGCAACAGAGTTTACTCGTGGTGAGTTACAGAGGTCAGCTCATAGATTTTTTTTCTTTGCACCTTTCATTAGGACTGAGACTTATACTGTCAGTAACACTACTCCAGTACTTGACCCAAGCAGCCATTCCTCACAAGTTTGGACAGTGTATACGTTAGTCGGTTATTTAACCTTGAAGACCATTATATTTCAGCCCAACTCTGCCCTCACATACAATTTCCTCAACTTTCCAAGAGTTAACACATTGAAGTCAAATGTAGCAGTCCTGCCCAATAATAAAATTTCTACCCTCATTATGTATTTGAGACCAGGATTGTTGAGGCCAGTTGTACTGCCCCCACTAAACCCTGGCTGATATTGAATAATAGAGGACCACAGAGCAGGGAAGAAATGTAGGAGTCAGCATGACTCAGTGCTGCATCTTGTAGTCCATTCATTCAGAGCCATTGGGAGATTCCATTAACCTTTATGCATCCACTTGGTTTGGTCAAGTACTTGTCCAGAAAAAAAGCTTAGATATTCAGATGTTGAGTTCTGCCTGAATCATGTTACTCATCAACTTGTTGAAAGCTGCATCTCAAAGGCTTCTCCTAGTTTGCTTCCAGCACACCACACTATGGAGTAAGGAGACCACAGCCCCCATCTTTAATTGCAAATTTTAGTCACACTACTACGCACAGTTGCTGAGGACAGGCATTTATCCCCTCCACTCTTCAGCAGTCCAGTGGCACACAAAACAGCTCTCACAGCTAGCAGTCCATTGGCACACAGAACATCCCCCAGATATCATTGGCCCCTGGACCAACAAGGCTGGTGTTAACTGGACTTAATCTGTTCGCCTAGTTTGAATTGATCTTTTTGAAAGAATTGCAATAAACATAATGGTAAAATTGTGGGGGATAAAATGAATATTAAACTATGGCTTAGTTGATTCAGACTGTTCCTTGACTCTGTTGCCCTTTATGTTTTTTTTTGTCCTTTAAGATAAAGGAGTTGATATTATACTAGATTGTGTTGGTGGATCCTATTGGGAGAAGAATGTTAAGTGTCTGGCTATGGATGGCCGTTGGGTGCTGTATGGACTGATGGTGCCCAGTGACGTGCGTGGAGATATTCTGAAAGAACTGCTGTTCAAAAGACAAAAGAGGAAGTATTCGTACTAGCTTGCTACGGTTACGTTCTTTGAAGGTAGGTCTTTCATGCTATTTACATCTTTCTTGGTAACCCCTGAGCTTTGGTTAATGTAACACACCTTTGAAATGTTAGATTAGCCAGAATTATATGGAACGTTACAGCATGGAAACTAACCATTCAGTCCGATTAGTCTGTGACAGTGTTCATACCACATACAAGCCTTCTCCCCTAGCCTCTATTCCTTCCTCCCACAACAATGTGTGAAATTTCCTCTTAAGTATGTTCATTGAAGAAATACCTCTTTGGCTGAAACAGCTGCCTCTTGTCAGGTCAATCACCAAATTAAAGGGGACACCTCCCTCATTGATTTCCAATATGTGGAGGATAGTTGACAAGGCAGAAAATCTTCCTATAAATGCCAGGTCCATAGTGGACTGGTCCCCAATAGAATCAGATAATATTCAATGAACACCTAAAGTAGTAAACTCAACTCATGACTCTGATACAGGCACACATCTTTGCTCTGTGGAGATGTGCTAAAGGAAGTTGTTCATCAATCCATATTCCTAGTGCTGGGCTTCATTTTAACTGCTATTGATGATTAATGTACATTAACAACTTTAAACAATAAAACATTATGAAATACCTACACCTTTCATTTATGAGTGCAAGTCAGTGATGCATCGGTGGTTCATTTATTAATTTGTGCACAAATCTGGCAATTTATTAATTTATTAACCACTGATGAAATTTGAAATACAGGAACTCAGTAAAGCAATAACAATCATTAAAGAAAAGCAGTGGATGTTATTGTGGTAAAGTAAACCTTATAGTTGCTGCACAAGTAAGGTCTTAAGAATATTATATTGTATTTGGAAATTGTGAAACAGCTCAATTCGCAAAAGAAAAGTTATCCTGTAGGACCTGAATTTTTCCTGCATTTTTCCCCCAGCATAAAGAAGAACTGGTTAAAGCATTCACAGCAGATGTCCTGCCACATTTTGAACCCGAAGGCCTGCTTCAGCCAATCATTGACTGCATTTTCCCTATGGACAAGATAGCTGATGCCCACAGACGCATGGAATGTAACAGAAACATAGGCAAGATCATTATTGAGGTGAAGAAAGAAAGGTCTTCTCAACCTTGAAGAACATTTTCTGAAAGGGTATAACAAAACCAACTGTGATTAATCATGACTGTTGCTAAATCATTGGAAAGGATGAAATCTATACATTCGGCCTTCATTTACTCGAGGTTTAAACAGTTCTAGTATTCATTGTTATCTAATGTCTTAATTCCATTAGATAATGGAGCACTGCATTTCTCCCATCACATCTCCTTTCAAATTCAGTGACTTTGATTCCAAACCTGGCCCACTGATGGGATACTAATGTCACTTATTCCAACGAAGACACTAATTGCATTCACATCTTATTAACAAACCATGCCTCAGTAAAAAAAAATGTTGTACATTTGTGAGTACTTAAAAGAAAATACTTAATATTTTATTGCACTGCTGTTGCATAACCTTGGTTAATAGTTGACATTCATTTTGTCTTCCAGTGATCACATTGGATACTTTAATTCACATGAAACTGGGATTGTGCTTCTTGTTCATAACTAATATCCAGGGTCCAGAATGTGTACATCAACCAGGCTTCTAAGGCATGATGAAACTTATCACTATGCACAAGAGTATCAAAACACATATGCATGGAAAATTCTGTTTGTCTAGAATGGCAGGGGCACTTCCTGCTCACCCAATCTTGGAAAGTGTTAGGCACAGGTTGGCAAGAACTAAAGTTTGGAGAACCTGGAAACAATCAGTTTCATGCTCTTACATCTTAACCTCCCACTAATTGATTTCCATTACGTCTTCACTTCTTTATTGTAATCAGATTAATTAAAACTCCAAATTTCTTTAATTGTCAATTACATTTCAAGTTGTGCTCCATACAGAGCTGTAAAATAAAGCTGATATTTCCAACCGTGTTATATCTGTGAGACTGGTTATGAAAGGTTGAATAACTGTTAACCATAATTGAGTCATTCAGGGGGAACAAGATATAGTACTAGATGGTTTTAGTTCTCTTAAAGACAGTTTTATTTTTTCCCTTAAAATATCCTGAATGTTGTAAACCACATGTCAGGCTCTTTATAGAACACACCGCAGAAATCAGAACATCTCCAAGCTTTGCTTGTTTCCACATGGTGCTAACTGTTGTTTTTGTAGAAGATGTTGATTAAATTAAATCTTAATTGAGAGCCTCAAAACCTGTACGTTAAAGCTGCTAAAACGAGCTGACTCCTGCTAGCTTTCTGATCTGTTCAAAGGTGATCCAGAATGTCAGTGACCACGGAGCCTGAAATAGAAATACGTACATCAAGTTAACACAAAAACTAATTTTCTACATTGAAGGTAAAATAAAAATATCTAAAGATTTTCTAATGTTTACCATTCTCATCCAGGTTGGTAGAAATCCCTTATACAATGACCAGAACCCCTCTCCCTTCACTGACTGCATTAGACAATCAAAGGAGGACTTGTACAGCAAGCCCCTAAAAAATAATAAAGTAAAGTCAATGCTGTGAAGGTATCTTAAAATCAATGTACATTCTGGCAAATCCCCGTTCGCCCACAAAAAACAGTCACTCCACTTTACAGGATATACTGTGAAGCACTTTGAAACAATCTCCTGAGTTGAAAGGCGCTACACCAAATTAAGGATTATACAATTACTTAAATCCCACTTCAAAAAACTATTTAAAAAATGTCCATGCATAGAACCACTGGAATCCCATATTGTGTGGGATAAAGGTACCTTAATAAAGTAACAAATTGAATTTTAAAAAAATCACCATTTTATTGGCTTGGCTATTGGGCTGCACTCAACACCCTCACCTTCCTTGACGATCTCTTGGCTGGTTCATGATCCTGGTTTTAATTACATCAGCAGGGGTTCCCATCGTAGCAGCGACGACACCTGAGCAGATGCTGAAGTGAGAAACAACAACAACAACAAGATTTCATTTAGAGAGCGCCTTTCACGTCAGGAGGACGTCCCAAGGCGCGGGACAGTTGGGTCAGGACCCGAGCAGGGGGGAAATGGTCAGGGTGAGGGGAGGGAAGGTAGGGAGGGACCGAGGAGGGGGTAGAGAGTCGAGAGGGGAGCTGAAGGCACGGTCAAAGAGAAAGGTCTTGAGACCGGCCTTGAAGGAGGAAAGGGAAGGCAAGGTGAAGGCACTGGGGGATGGAGTTCCAGAGCCTAGGGGCTGAGAGGCTGAAGGCCCGGCCACCGATGGTAGGGCGGTTGGGGCGGGGGATGTGGAGCAGACCGAAGCCAGAGGAACAGAGGGTACGGGCAGGTAAGTAGGGGGATAGTAGGTCGGAGAGGTAGGAGGGAGCAAGGCCGTGAATAGTCTCATCACAGATGTCGAATGGTTTAATTGATCACATGAATGAAACAAAAACAAAATTACTTTGTCTGAACTGGCAGTTCTGCAGTGAGTTGATGTGATATGGCATGGAGAAGGGGAGAGGAGTTTTATTTTCGAGCATTGTGCAGCAATGAACATCAATTATAAAGAAAACAAATTTCAAATGAATTGTCGGGGAAACTTAAGGACAGGATTCAGCATATTCCAAGTAAATTAAAGCTTTGTTTTCAGTTACAAGTGAAGTCTGCATACTTACCCGGACCAAACTCCATGCCCACATCTCACCAGTTCTGGCCAGGCTCCACTGGCTCCCCATCACCGAACGGATCGACTTCAAGATCCTCACACTCGTGTTCAAATCCCTTCACTCTCTGACACCTCCCTACCTCTCCGACCTCACTCCCAATCCACCACACGGTGCCTCCACTCGACTGGCACCAGCCGCCTGCTCTCCCTCGCACCCTCTGGCCCACCATCGGAGGTTGTGCTTTCAACCACTACACCCCGAAACTCTGGAACACTCTCCCGCAATCCCTCTGCCTTCCCCCTATCAACCCTTTTTCAAGTCTCGCTTGAAAATCTACCTCTTCAACCGTGGTCATGGCCACCTCCCCTCTCCCGCTCGGAGTCAGGCTCTGCCACCCTATAAGCACTCTGAGACGTTACCCTGCGTGGAGGGCGCTATATGGGGTCCTGTAGCTCAGTGGTTAGAGTACTCGCTTTGCAAGTGAGAGACCTGAGTTCAATTCCCGGCAGGTCAGGGCGAAACCTTGGGCAAGTTTCCTTACTCCTCACGCCTAATAATAATCCCTCCAAAACAAAAAAACAATAAATTGGTCATTTTCAATCTACGACTGTTTGTGGGACATTGCTGTGCGCAATTGGCTGCCGCATTCGCCCACAAATATACAGTCAATTCACTTTACAGTGTCTTCTGTGAAGCGCTTTGGGACGTCCTCCCGACGTGAAAAGCGCTATACCAAATGCAAGGATTATTATTATTATTATTATATAAGTGCAAGTTGTTATTGTTATTGTTTGTATCAACATTGCTGCACAAAATATTCAAGAAAAATGAATCGGTACCTTGCTAAACTATGGCACAAACTGTTATCCTGTAGAGATGTGTTCCTCAATAAAGAATGTTTCACCGTATCATAGGTAGTTAGATCTGGAAACAGGAGAGATTGTTAAGAACGTTAAGACTTAAAATATATCGTGACATGGAAAGGGGAAAAAAAGGAATCTTTTCTGGGAGGAAAGAGAATTGAAGCATATTCTCAATGTCCCACTTGATTAAGTACTATGTTGGGTACTCCAGATGGATAAAACTTATTCAGATAAATTGACGTCTATTCCTACTTTGAATTGTATATCAAATCAATTCCAAACTCATAATAATCCTTGCATTTGATATAGCACCGTTCATGTCAGGACCCCTCAAAGTGCTTTATAGAATTTTACTTTGAAGTGTGTCAGCCCTCTCAACTTTGAGTCAGAAGGTTGTGGGTTCAAGCCTCATGTCCGGGACTTGGAATGACATAGTCTAAGTTGATGCGCCAATAAAGTGCCGGGGGGATGTTACATTATTGGAGGTGCTGTCCTTTGGATGATATGTTAAACCGAGATCCCATCTGCCTGTTCAGGTGAACTTTAAAGATCCCATGACACTATCCAAAAAGAGAAGGGAGTGTCTCCCGGTGTTCTAGCTAACAATCCTCCAAATAAAACTTGGTCACTCACTCCATGCCTGTTTATGGGGCATTGCTGTGCACAACTGGGTGTTATGTTTCGCCCACAAAATATGGTCAATCCACACTATGTCCTGTGAAGTGCTTTGAGACCTCTTGATCACATGATAAGGCGCTATATCAAATGCAAGGATTATTATTATTACTATAAAATGTATTTTGTTGGTGAATGTGGCAGCCAATTTCCGCTCAGCAATGTCCTACAAATGACTATGATGTGAATGATCATTTGTATCTCAGGCATTTTTGGCTAGGACAATGGGATAAAGTCCCCTTCAGCAGGATCACCTTTGTGAGCTATATTTTCTCAATGCAATTACTGCAAACACACAGTGTTGTTACATCACACTTTTTTAAAAAAATTAAAGCTGTACCTCCCAGGCTCACCAAGGCAGCTCTCTGTACATTCGGCAGCCATCCAGCCCACAATCCACGGATCCCACCTTCAGACAGAATCTTCATCAACGCATGGTACATCCCATGGACTCTGCAACAACATTAGGATGCCAAATATTCTAAACTCTCGGGTTTAGTCTGCGCTGTTAGCTGATCTCTCGTGGGACAGTAGTGGAAGGGTGATTCAATTAGTTTTCGGATCCCTGGCTTAAGGAGGGGAAAATCAGGCATGTTTTTCCAAGACGTGATAAAAGCTTTAACAAACGCAAGGATTATTATGTTGTTATTATTATTATTCCTGATCTCTGTCCACAGTATTTGTGGACATCAAATGAGGATCGCATCTGGAACTATAATGGTGCCTTTAAATAGCTAAATAGCCGGTCAAACTTGTAATTTAGTTTCACACGATGAATGATAACTTAGGCAAGATACCTGGGCTGCAAAACATCCAGAAAAAAAGGAATAAACTGAATGAGTCATCCAGTTAAAAGAAAGTTTTAATATGTGGTTATTTTTATTGTAATTGTTGATTTTTGTGGAAAGAAAGGTTGCTCCCATTCCTGTGGCTCCTCACAACTACATATTCAGCCAAGGCCAGAGTCAGCCAATGTAAGCGATATGAAGGGAATACACTGCCAGCATCCCAAGCATGAACAGAGTACAGAAGAGGCTGGTGGGGTCAAGTGTCAAATGGACCTCAAACTCTGATCCTTGATTTATTCCTACATTATGAATTGAATGTGTTTTCCCTTACCTTGTGTTCCTAGTGCAGTAAGCTTGATTACTACAGGATGGTTAGTTAGCTTGTTACCAAAATATTTATGCTCAATGAAATCAAGGCTTAAATACAATAATAATCCTTGCATTTGATATAACGCTTTTCACATCTTCCAGATGTCTCAAAGCGCTTCACAGAATATACTGTAAAGTTAATTTCTATATATTTGTGGGCGAACGCGGCAGCCAATTGCACACAGCAGTTAGGTATATGCATTGCAATATATATTCGATAAGCATCTGACCTATGTGTCTCACCGTGGTGGTTTCCCTTCAAGTCTCCTCTTCCCTTCCATCTGCATCTGAACTTTCACCAGATCTGTTGGGCTGGCAATAAATTGAGCAGTGGCACCAGACATCATTCCTACTAATGTGGCTTTCCTGAAACAAAATAAACAACATAAAAGTTAATGTTTCATTACTTTAATCTTTAAATCCATTTGGCATTTATTCATTCATAGTGGAGTCCTGTAGCTCAGTGGTTAGAGCACTCGCTTTGCAAGCGAGAGACCTGAGTTCAATTCCAGGCAGGGCGAAAACTTGGGCAAGTTTCCTTACTCCACACGCCTAATAATAATCCCTCCAAAAACAAAAACAAATTGGTCATTTTCAATCTACGACTGTTTGTGGGACATTGCTGTGCACAATTGGCTGCCGCGTTCGCCCACAAATATACAGTCAATTCACTTTACAGTGTGTTCTGTGAAGCGCTTTGGGACGTCCTCCCGACGTGAAAAGCGCTATATCAAATTCAAGGATTATTATTATTATTATTCCCCTTTCAGCATTGAGGCCAATCCAGGCCACAGTTCTCCACCACCCCATCAATGGATATCAAGTTAGCTAATGCCAGGAATTATTCAAGTGGTACTTAATCTTTCGGGTCTCAGGGACATTCACAACCCCAGATAGAAAGTGCGGAAGGACACACCTAAACAAGGAAAATGGGCCAAGAAAGATATGAGGGAAAGTGGGCATAAGGGATTTTAGCCTTATAAAGAATTGGAAAAGCTGGCTTCCAAATTAAGGCAATTTTCCAAATTAACCAGTTAATTTGGAAGAATCTTGGTCAGGACTCCAGGAGAAATTCCTTTCACTTTTCAAACAGAATCACAAGAACAGACTGGATGAAGCTGACCCTTCAGCCATCTAACCTCATCCCTCCATAACACTCACCCTACCTTTCCCCCCCATCACTGCATCAAGCTGCTTTTTAAATGAGTCTAATGTCTTGGTCTCCATCACCTTTCCTGGCGACCTGTTCCGGTCATTGATTGACTTTTGTGTAAAGAAAAACTTCCTAGTATCTGTCCTGAAATTGCCCTATACAAATCTAAACTACAGCCTCTGGTTGTACTGTCATAATGCATCCTAAAGTAATGATCTGGGTTTACTTTTTCTATCCCATTTTAAAATCCCACCTTTGTGAGGTCTGCTCTGAGTCGTCTTCTTTCAAGACTGATGAGCCCTAGCTTGTCTAGTTTTTGCTTATAGCTCATATTCCTCTTAACACTGTGGATCATCCTTGTTGTTCTCCTCTGTATCGCTTCTGGGGCCTGGGGAGCCCCATTTTGGCACAGTGACCAGAACTGTATGTAATAATCAAGGTCTGACCAGAGCACTGTACAGCCTGAGAATGACATCTGGGCTACTGAACTCACCTGATTTTATAATATAGTTACAGTATATAGCATCCTGGTTGCCTTGTTTATTGCTGCCTCACATTATTCTGACAGTGAGTGAAGAGTCAACTGACAGCCTCTAGATCTCTTTCAGCTTCCCCCTTGGCAAATTGGTCTTTCAGCTTCCTGCTTGGAATCATGGGACCTTTCAACATACATGTGAACAGACAGGTGGGATCTTTAATATCTTATTCGAAGGCTAGTTTCTCCAGCAATACATCGCTCCTCAAGTACTGCAATGGAGTGTGACTGTGAGCTGATCTTGACATAAGGCTTGAACCCACAACCTTCTGACGCACAAGCAAGAGTACTGTCATCTGATCCAAGCTGATGTCCTGTGGATAACCTGTGACCTACAGGTCTAACGGAATTATGCAAGTTTATTTTCAAAAATACAACAATTCATGAACCAACTAAAGTACATGTATTATATGCTTCGCAGTAAGTAGCTACTTGCCACAGTGGGAAACTGCCATCTTCATTCCTGCGGAATACCAGATCGCGCATTTGTTCATACAACGCCATCCGTGAACCTGTATACACTGGAACACACCATAGGAAAGACAAGTCACCAGTGAAACTGATATTCACATTCCACGTGTGTAACAATGTGCAATGTTTTGTATGTTATGTTAAAACTAACACAATAAAGTTGCTCCAGACAAAGTGGGTGTGTGTACCACAGAATCCTGAAAGGAAAGATAGTTTGTAAGCATGTGTATTGAGGATACAGAGAATCACAGGGAAATGGAAATAATGAGAGTTGTCATAGACATAATGGCACCGTAAGCTACATGAGGAAATGGCCTATTCCTGTTCCCATGTTGTTGCATTACCACTTTCCACTAGCAGGTGGCAGGTTGACCCATTTCTAGCTTCTTTGAAAAGAATAAAACATTTTTGAAAATGTTAATAGTATCTCAGAAAAGTAACCATAGCCATCTGAAGTTTATGGTAGATATAAACTAAAGTATATTAAAGTGACCCATCCTCTTGAGTTGTTTTCTCTTTCGAATATACAGCTGAGTTAAAGACATACATGGCTTCTTTAAAGGCAAAATTAGGAATCTTTAAAAATTCACAATTGCAAGAAGGAAAGCTTCCTAAGACAATTTTATTCAGTAATGTATATCTAATGCCCAAATGCATTTTGCCTTCGACGCCTACAACATTAATGAGTGGCTTTGGCTTGAAACACTTTGGGGATTAGTTTGTCATCACTTTGAACACACCACAGCCTTTGATAGGATCTGGACCATACACTTCTAACCAACTAAACAGCTTCCATCAAAACAACAGCAGAGGAAGCCAAGGTAAAATGACCAACATTTATTTAAATTTGCATTTATTAATTTAATTTCATAGTTTATGTTACTATCACAGTGATAAACCTATACCTAATGTTTGAAGAGGCCTTAATAATGTCACATTTATAATATTAATTTCATGCATGTGACCCTGAATATAATATTAATGTGATATTATTGCATAAGCTGAATACTAACAGAGACATTATGCCTGAACGTCTAGGGATTAATATGTCCATAATCAGAGAGCCGTAGAAATAGAATCAAATAAATTTACAGCACAGAAAGCCATTTGGGCAATCTTTTCAGTGTCATTTACCTACGGTTTCCCAATACCCTTATAGTTATGCCTTCTTTAGATATATATTTTGTTGCCTTTTGAAAGTCAATATGGATTCTGGCTCAACTACTGACTCCCAGCAGGGTATTCCATCTCCTAAACACTCTATGCATGAAAAAAAAGATCCTCGTCTCTCTATTTGATCGTTTACTAACAAATTAAAATTGTTGCCCAGTTCAATCTGAACCCAGTTGAATACTCACCTACATGTCTGAAGATAGCAGGAGTGACGCCTTGCCACAGTTTAAATAAGCCCTCTTCCTTCACTATTCCTACAGCTGTTCGGATCATCCCCCTGTAAGGAACTGCTCTTCTACGGCCTCCATGCTGATCCTGGACTGCTTCTCCTTGAATCTGAAGTCTGGTTTTAGTCAAATCTAGTGGAAAGGTCACTAAATAGAAAGAAAAAAGATTATGGTCATTTTAGAGTCACAAGTAGCAAGGCAATTAAACTAAGATCCAGCTATTCATAGATTTTTCATTGCCAACCTGTCAAATCCTGTGAAATATAATCTTGGTGTGTCTCAAGTGGTTCTCTAGCTAAAATCTTGGGTCAGCAAAGAATAGTACAACTGTGCAACAACCAGTAAGGGGAAGATGCTTTGTAAATGAATGAAAGAAAGTAATGCATTCTACCCAGAGAATCTGAGCCAGGAGTTAACTAACTCTGAGAAAGCTGCTTGGAACCCAAGATCAGGAAGTGTAGGAGTGCAGTTCCCATCGCCACATAATCGAGAATGGAAACCCCACAGTGAAGCCCCATCTCACTACCCAGGACACAACATTACCTCAAAACATGATTTCATAGAAAAATATTGTTGTTAGATCAATGAGATCAATAATGCTCTTCCTTCAATGCAGGACTGAGCTGGAGAATCAACCTACACTGTGAATTCAAAGTCCCAATATCAGGCTTGAACTCACAAGGTTTGAATTTACAAATTCTGACCCAGGCACAAGAGTGCCACCAACTGAGGAATGTTGATACCAGTAGTGAAGGAATTCTGTGTTTAAATTTTAAATTCTCACTGCAGTGAAGTGTCTACCTGGAATATGAGCACATTCAGATAAGACCCAGCACATCAGCTGGTGCTAAGATGACATTGAATACAAACAGAATTGAATCAAGTGTTTGCACCGATTACATAAAGGTAGTTTTTACATCAGGATTTTCTACTTCAAACAAACCTTGACCTCACCAAAAAACTGTTCACCACAAGTCACATGAGAAAATGTCAGCGTTAACTCAGCAATTTTAGTTATCATGCCCTCTTTCAGAACATTAGACTATATTAAAGGCATTCTCACACTTATTTCATGTTTGCAAACAATCAGCACAAGGTTCATCAGGTCTGACGTGCAAGTTGATGTATTTTGTACTGTCACCAGTGATGACCTGAGCCTCTGTCAGTCCTGAGTAGTAAGACCATAAATGTACATCAAAGACTCAGGGAAAATATTATACTTGGGATTTTCCATTGGAAATATATACAGGATTTTCCACTACATAAATACATGTAGTTGTTTTTGAAGGAGATACTGTGTATTCTATTTCAACTCTATTTTATCACTCTTCTTGTTCAAACGCCCCTACAACCAGTTAGGCACCACATCACGCGTTTTACAAAAGAAGAATTTCATATTCACATCCAGTTTAGCAATTCACTGGTTATGTCAAAAGAGGGTAAATGACAAGAGTTAAAACTTCTCACAAACTAACTCCACAGCTACTGTGTAAACAAAACTTGATTCCTGCAAGAGTATGGAACCAAAACCAAGAGTAAATGTGAAGTTGGTGAGTTCAGGTACAACCCGTTCTATCTGTTCAGATGGGCATTAAAGATCCCATGACACTATTTGAAAAGTGAAGGCAGTTTCTCCCCAGTGTCCTGGGAATCACTCATTCACTTTCAGGCTTTTTGTGGGGCTTCGCTGAGCACAAATTGTCAACTGCGTTGGGTGGGGTAAAAAAAAGCAGTCACTACGCTTTACAGTAAAAATCCTGCGAGGCGTTTCGAGACCTCCTCCCGATGCGAAAGACACTGTTCCGAAAGCGAGGATTACAATCGTTCTACAAAACTTTGCACTTGTTTTTTTAAAACCAAACCTAAATCCAACCACTTTTTTTTTTGCAGAAGGTATGCAAATCACAAGCAACTTTTGGGATCCAAAGTGCATGTGTGTGTGGGTGTGTGTGTGAGAGAGAGAGAGGGAGAGAGGGAGAGAGGGGGAGGGGAGAGAGATGTCAATTGAAAAGAGAGAGAAATCCTGAGAAGTGAAGCCCAAAAGAAAGAATTAGAATAATAATAATAAATAATAATAATAATAATAATAATAAAAGGTGAGAAAGCAGCACCTGTTTCAGCCACAGCAGCAGCGCAGGCTGACAGCATGAACTTAGTTGCTGGTCTCCACCTGCCCCCTTCCTGGCTCATTCCTCAGTCACTGAGCAACTACAACCCACATCACCTCCCTCTGCCTCCACCAACACACTCTGTATCCCAGGGACAACGTCTCACACTCTTGTGCAAAAGCCAGTTCGCTGATTTCTGCAGAGTTTCCCCCTCCCTCTCTCCCTCCCTCCTGTCTCCTTGAACAAGAATTTTTTTTAAAAAAAAAAATTGCAGCAAAAAATGGTTCGAAACCAACGACCACTGGGTCTGCAGAACAAGCTTCCCAGTTTGCAAAAGCTTCTCCCTCCCTTCCTTCCTTCCTTCCTTTCCCCCAGCGAGGTGGCCGGGAGTTGTTGCCTGGTCTGTCCTCTGTTAGCACTACACCTCCCAGTGTACAGTGGCAATGGTGCAAACCCCTAACTTCTCACTGGAGGAAAGCTCTGTGCACTCACTCAACTCGTTGAAAGGTTACAGCACTTGCAAACCACCCACATTGGGAAGACCAGAACACTCCCCCATCCACCTTCCCCCCCTCTCTCTCTCGTTCCTTTTTTTCTTTTACATTCTGCATTCAGCTTTTAACAATAATGATTACCAATAATTATTATTAATTAATAATAATAATCCTTGCATTTGATATATATATATTGCATTTCACAGAACTCACTAAAGTGAATTGACTGTATATTTGTGGGCGAACGCGGCAGCAAATTGCGCACAGCAATGTCCCACAAACAGTCGTAGATTGAAAATGACCAATTTATTATTGTTTTTGGTTTTGGAGGGATTATTATTAGGAGTGTGGAGTAAGGAAACTTGCCCAAGGTTTCGCCCTCTGCCTGGAATTGAACTCAGGTCTTTCGCTTGCAAAGCGAGTGCTCTAACCACTGAGCTACAGGATTCATTATTAATAATGAGTATTAATAATGATTATATGTTGCTATATTGTTGCTATTGTTTTACAATGTGCATTGCGAATGTTTTGCAAAGCTCGAACCTTTCTTTCTGCAAAGGATTTATTGTTACCTGTGTCGGGGAGAAATCCACCCAGGTGGAGATTTCAATGTTAGTAAGTGTCCAAAAATAAACAGTCACTACACTTTTAGTGAATCCTGTGAAGCGCTTTGAGGCGCGGACATAAAAGCCGCTATTGCAAAAGCTATTATTATTATTATATTATTGTGACAGTCGAGGTAGTTCCAAGGACTAAATAAGAAATACGGGGGAGATGCTCCACTTGAGTCTTCGTTTACTCTGTTAGCATTTCATAGCATCCAGAACTTGGCAAATTGTTAAACGCAGCCTTTGTGGATGTTTGTGGGAAATTGCTATGTGTAAATTGGCTGCTCCATTCACCTACAAATATAGTCGCTCAGTGGCGCTGGAGCAATTTTTACACTGAAACCCCTCCCCACGCTGTGCCCCCTCCCACACCTCAGCCGCCTGTGCGATGATAAATAATCGGGAGGCGGGGAGCACCCGGGAGGTATGATGGCGGTGTCTGGGGGTATGATATATGGGGGGAAGAGCATGTTGGGGAGCATCCAGGGTGATATATGGTGTTCTGGAGATCTAGTGACGGGAGCTGTATCTGGGAGTTGGTGAAAATTTGAGGAGAGACAGGAGTGCCCAGTGCCACTGTGTGACGGTGCCTCGAGGCCGGGCTCTCCCATTCTCCGCACTGCTCTCAAGCTTTCCAGTGGCTGCCACTTACCTACTGGATATGCTTGTGCACCATGTCCTGTGGGAGCAGCTGTTCTCGCTCTGGCCCGACTCACGCCACATTCCCAGGCACTGATCCCACTCCCCCACCCCATTCACTACACCTGCGTGCCTGCCTGGCTGTTTATGAGTGCTGGGAAGTTGGGAGAAGCCGGGAGACATGACACTGTGGGGAACAACACCAGCAGCTGCAGGACCTCTGTACTTCAACCAGGTGGTGTTGCCATGCCTTTGGAGGCACTGCACTTTGCAGAAAACTACTATTTTCCTTTGGATGGATGGGGGTGGGGGTAAGCAACAACAACAACTTGTATTTATATGTAGGACAGTGACTTGGAGCACTGTGCAGTGGCGGGGTTGGATGCCAAGTAAGGGATGGGGGGGAAGTGACCAAAAGTGTGGTCAAAAACGTTGGGCTTCAATGGGGATATTGTCATTCGTATGATGAACTGGGATTCTTCCCACTCAGCTCCTGTTTGTCTTACAAGCCGAACCCTAACAATTCGGATGTTCAAAGCTAGAGAAGAACTGAGAAGATTGACAGACAGTCTCAAGTTAGCAACTTGTGTGATTTTACCTGTTTAAACTCCAGCAGTACCTTAGCTTGGGGTACTGCTGGAGTTTAAACAGGTAAAACCTGTAATGGAGTCCCCAAGCCTTAACTTGTCTAACACTCTGAAATTAGGTAAGCAGACTGCATTCCTCTGGAGAGAGAATGCGCATTTCATTCCTTTTGCATATGTCAGCCATCTCGCTGACCAAAAATCTTGTTACAGAACTGTGCGCAGTGCTTTGAGAAGCTTTGACCTGGTAAGGAGCTTTATCAATGCAAAAATTATTACTATCTGCTGGGGAGAAATTCTACCTGGATGTAGATTTACTCCATTTTCTTAATGTAGAGAGTGTAGAATTTGGCAAATTGTTGAATTCAGCCTTAAATTTGAAGTTGTCCTCATCCTGCCATAGACTTTTTCGGCAAAGCACCTGCACACATTGGGCTGATGCCTCATTAGCATCACTCACCACGGTGCCTGGAATACTCTTCCTCTGTCCCTATGCCTTGCCCCTTCCTTCCCCATTTTCAGGTCGTGCCTGAAGTCCTATCTATTCAACTGTGCCTATGGTCACCTCCGACTTCCCCTGATCAGAGTCGTGCTCCACCACTGTCAGGCGCACTGGGAAAATGGGGATGGAAGGGGTAAGGTGTAGGGATAGAGGAAGAGTTGTTTAATAATAAATAAGCAATTTTTTGTAGCCAAAACAATCTTTTGAGGGCCGTTTGTAAATACTTCATGCGATCATTTTTTCCTTCCCTGTTTTTTAGCAGAAATTTATTGTGCTGTATTTTACAAAACTTTGTCTTGTTCCTGGAAACGGCACAATCTTCTTAGTCAGTTGCTCTACGTTAAAACATTCTGCACGCTGATGTCGCATTGTGCTAAAGGGGGAAGGGATGGGCAAAGTATAAGGACATAATGGCACCTCCTTAACTGTATGTGCCGATGAGATCATAAAATTAGCATCTCATGGCTGCTAGATTTTTCTGAGTTCTATCAGCCATAAGCATAGCCCTTTACTCATTGCTACGTCTAAGAAATTGGTTGAGCTGCTTAATTACATCCTTATCTCACGAACAATTGTTGGTCTCAGAGCTTCCATTACTATTATTCCACAATGAAAATCTTCTCTTGCTAATAAGTCTCAAGAGATATCAATAACTGGATAGGACACATTTTATTTAATATTGACAGCGACTTTATTGCACTGTTCCTGTCAATGCAGATAATAGTTATCTTGATCACAACCATAATAATGACTGTATTTCATAATTTCAGTAGCATAAAGTTAGCAAGATTGATTTTAACATAGTATTCCTTACTTTAAAAATTACAATGCAAATTTTATAAGGTAAGCCTTTGCAGAACACATAGCAAGTTATAACCTACAGCTTACACGATTAAGTCTGTGAGAGATTTACGTGGTCAATATGGCTTGATCATGAATAAGGAAGGAGAAAAAGATTCCGTTGTCTGATTTCCACCACTCCAATCATCACTGAAGTTCTGAAGTTAAAAGCATTTTGCTTAACATACAACATCATGTAAGGAAGTTAAGATTTACAGTGTCAGATTTACTACTGCTGTTCCAGCATCCTTGAACAGTCTAGTCGAATTGTAGTAATTTGTAAAACGTTATACATACACAGTAAGGAAGGAAAGCACTACGTGCAGCAGTTGGGCTGCAGTTCAATCCCATGGAGTACTTGCAGCAATAATGATCACCGACTTCTATATCTAACTCTGCAAGGACCCATTGGCTGCTGGGTTCCGACTAAATGAAGAGGACTCTGTGAACAAACAAAACACTTCATCAGCAAATCATATTTCTATTGACAAACCTACTTGCACAAAATGTTACATAGCATCATGGTGACAATTTTCAGGTACTGTAAAAATATGATCGTTAATTAAATTCAGACCATACAATGTCCACTGCTTTTATTGGAGTCTCTATTTTTTTTTACCTGTTTTGGGACAGAATCCAATAGAGTAAACTCATATTTGTAAAGTATCAGAGCGATAAACAATTGGATCTCCATCAGAGCAAACCACCTGGGAGTGGGAGGAAACAGGAAGAATTATTCAAAGAGAAAACTGCATCCAGACCAATCATTTGGTAGATCGTGACTGACTACCCCATCCATTTTTTGAAGTGATAACATCCCAAATTGACAGTGGGAATTTATGTCATGCAGTTGATGTAAACTTCCAAAAGACCACTCTTTATCAATTAAAGGGTCAGTGGTTACCAAGGCTGGGATATCCAAATAAATGGATTAATATTTTCCTAGAGAGAAAGAAGCAGAGCGCAGTAGTAACTGGAACCTGGTCAAAATGGGGGAGATATTGAGTGGGTTGCTTCAGATTTATGTCTTAGGATTTCTCTCATTTCAAGAATGCCTTAAATGACTAGATTTGCAAACTTAAGTCAAGGTCAATAATTTTCATATATTAAGATTTAGGGAACTTGAAACTAGAGATTTAGGAAGCAGCCAAGATCTTGCAAAAAGAACTCAAGATGATATTTACTTGGGTTGATCAATGGTTAATATTTAATACAAAAATAGTAAATGTAAAATTGGGACAGATAATAAATAGAGGAAACTGAGCAAGTTCTAACCTTCCAGGACACTGATATCTGCCTCCTCCAAAACCAATAAAGCCATTCAAAAATACATGCTTTTCCAAATCTGCCTCCTTCCACCGTTCCTGTAGAAAGAAAGTTTTCTCAGGTCAGCACTTCACAAACAAGATCATAATGTAATGCATACATTCACGTTTTACCAATGAGACATTGACTTTTCAGGAGACATTATAGCATTCACCAGGTAATGTTTAAAATCCAAATCAGAGTAAACGATTGACATCCATTGACTGAAATACATGCTGACTTTTTCTGTTGACTGTAGCTCCAGGTTTTCATGTCTAACCCCCATTTATACTGTGTGTTTTGGGTGAATCATATTATATACCTCTACAGTGGTGAACACGAAAACTGGAAGCATTTAATAGCAGAGTTTTGTAAGTTATTTTGACATTTAATCAACCTTGATTTTTTTATTTTAGACATTTACTTTACCTGGAACATCTTTCCGACATGAAGGGCACTATACAACTATAATCTGTTGTTGTTGTACCATGTCTTTTTGATTTTTAGCAAGTTTTTTGACGACCAAAATGTCACTTCCTGCATGTAGTGCCTGCTAATATTCAATATTAATAATAATCTTTGCATCTGATATATCGCCTTATCACATAATCGCAGTGTCTCAAAGCGCTTCACAGAATGTACTGTAAAGTGATGGGATTGTTTGCATTTTGTGGGCGAAAGTAATGTCTGTGGTGACCTTATGACCCAGGGGTCAGCTATTGATAAAAAAAATTAAAAATTAAAAAGTGATGTCTAATTTCATGAAATTTAATTTTGTGTCCTTTTATTGCTCAAAATAATTATTTTATCATTGTATAGAGCAGTGAAAATGGGGAATAGTCCCTCGTAATTAAGCACACACAATGATCAGCAATAAAATATTATTGTCCAAATTGACTCACGGGAAGAAATTTTTCCGGTTCAGGAAAATACTTGGGATTCCTGTGTGCCCAGAAAAGTGACAACATCAGGATGTCTCCTGGAGGAACGATGTAGTTCTAAAGTAAGAAATCACAGTTATGTAATGCAACATGTAATATACATGGACAGCATTTTATCCCCCTTTAAAATGTCCTAAAAGAAGTACTTTTGAGTGGAAGAAAACTGTCGAAGGATTTTGGATTGTGCAGAATTTTTGCAAAGCCATTTTTTCTGAAATTCTTTAAAACAAATTGCAGAAAAAAAGTTCCAAATTTAAGAGTGAATATAAGCACAATCTGAAATAATGACAATACAGGTAAAATCACCACAGAATTTCATCCCCCCTCAAGGACCATCCCCTCATATCTGAGTGAAGTTATCAAATTGGTGGCAAATAATAATGAGAAGGTAGTTTTATTCAGTCAGTTCACTTCCACTAGGATCTACATTTTGACTGACCAAATATATTTGTGAGTGATTGTTGGAGGTTTAACACCAGCAGAATTTCCTGTGGAACTCTGAGAATTGTGCTTCTTTTTTACCTCAATAATATACTATTTAATATCTACGGCAAATTCTGAGCTGATGTGACATATTCTATTTTTCTGTTTTTTCTCTTCTGTTGATTTTGTTTCTCTTGCTTTTCAACTTAAGAACTTATCTCCATTTTTCCATTGACTCGGATACCCTACGTGCTTCCTTTTAATTGTTCTTGTCCCCATGTTAATATCCCGATGCTTTGCTACGCTTAATGTCTGCACTTTATGCTTGTGGGTCTGGCAAACCTCCCCAGTGATCGCAGTACACTGCAGGTGTCAATAAATCTCAAGATTGAACAATCAATCCTGTGGGTGCCCATAAAGCAACCTTTCCCCATGTGATCCCATTGGACCTCCCCATCACATCTCATAGATCAAACCACAGGAAACTCACTTTAATTTTCAGAGGCCGCACCACTTTTCTAGCTATGGCTCCAGGAGATCGCAAGCGAATTGCCTCTAAAATGCACCACTTCAAGTATGGAAGCTTCCGAAGATCAGTCTCACTTACTTTGATCGTTTTGTCCGCTGGCAAATGGAATAAGCAAACAAGAGAGCACGAATACATTGCCTGCTCATAACAAAAATCTCTGCAGTATGTCAGTGAAGCTAATTTCTCTCTCACTTCAATATAAAGGTACAGATCTATAGAAAATATAAATATTTCTGTTCGGTAATTTCGATAACTTCCATAACTTTATAAATGTTATAAATAAATGTGCCTGCAGTAACTTAAGTCATGTATCCTACAAGTTTTTCAATTACCTTGGCTATCAAAGACGGAACAAAGTTCCTTCATAACAGTCTTGTAAATCGAAGGGTCAGAAATTATAAATGCAAGAGACCAGAATGTAATCTAGAAAACAAAACAGCAAGTGATAATGCAGTTTATCTATGATGGAGAATATTCAGTGATTTTTGCAATGCATAAGTTCCTGAGAAAGTGGTGATAGAAGAATAAAGCAAGCTGCCAGAAGAGCCTTCACAGATAAGAAATATTTAAGTAATGGACAAACCTGAGCTATATAGAGAGTTACAAGTTCTTTGAGGGGATTTTTTTCTAGATTGAAAGAATAAATTCAAATTTAAGGAGGCTACTTCAAATATGGAAATGTCATAATTCCACTTGAGATCAGAAGAGATGATGAAGTCAAAAAATTGATAAGATGAACAAGGAACAAGCCAGAATTGAGAAATATATAGAAACTGCGACTATGTTTCACACCTTGAAACAAGGTAAGCATCGTCCCAATAAAGGCCCAGGGGGAGATCTTGTTTAAGAAAAGTGCCAACTAATATTATTACCTCAGGTATGAATGTTCTGTATGTACTTACAGGAAGTGCATTGGCTTGAGAAGCCCATAGCATCAATAAAACGTAATTGGGACCAAATTTTCCATCCACAATATCTAAAAGATGCTGTAACAAAGTCTGAAAAATATGAAACATAAATTGATATTGGATAGACATTTTAACCTTAAGGATTTCTACGTTTTAATATTCAGTATTCAGTAAACCATCTTGAAGTTACAATAAACAAACCGGGCTAGTTGCTTCCCGCAAAAAATAGTTCGGTTCATATTCCAAAAACTCCATGATTACCTTTGAGTCACTGTCCGCAGGCATTGTCTTTCCAGCTTTAGTTGCAGCACCTTCCAACAGTAATAGCAGCCAATGCTTCGATTTAGACCAATTTCTGCAAAGAGAAATCATAGTCTATCTCAGAGTCTACCTTAGGCAAATTATCTTGGTTTATCAAAGGCTAAGAAGTCTATCTTGGGCAGTTCGCTAGATTTTTTTTGATAGATTTCACTAAATATAGTGAAAACATTGCTACTTTTGGTGAACAGCATAGGATACACCCCAAAGTTTGTAGCTTGTCAGATTGCATCTTATTTAAATGCAAGGTTATCAGGACCATTTTAATTTCAGTGTTTTTTTTAAAACCAGCTGTTGAATATGAACAGGATAAATATAGAAGGTTTTCCAGAACTGCAAGAAGATATAGCATGGCATGAAATTACCTTAAACAGTACAATTTACATAGCACTTTTCGAATCAGGGCTTTGGAGGGAACTACAATTGGGATTAGTATATCTTGGGTAAAACAGTATGAAAAATCAACTAGGGGCTCTCATCATTGTTATTCAACAACAGCAGCAGCAACAACTTGTATTTATATAGTGTCCTTCACATAAGATAATGTTTCGGGCCGCTGTGCAGTGGCAGGGTTGGACTACTCAGTGATCACAGCTGGAAAACATACGCGTGTTTAGATATCAAGTGCGAACTTGAGCAATGTTCTCTTCCCTCAACAGTTGAACTAGCCTGGAAAACCTCATCATTTACATTAATTGGAGCCAACATCTTCAAGAAAAATGGATAGAAACACAGAGAAAAGGAAAGACAATACCACAGGGGTAAAGTACTCATTGTATTTTACAAAATCTATTAAAGGAATCAAATATAAGTATGTATGCAATATCTTTAATCTTGAATATACACAGAAAGCAAACTGGATTCCTTACTTTAGTAGGAACTCTGGCAGCTGGCTACCATATTCAAAGCCTTTGTCAAAAATCTTGAAGTGATCCTCAAACTCTCGAACTGCGTTTCCATCAGTGATACAGATACCTCTACCAAACAGCTGGTTCACAACTGCAGAATACATACTGTGCCTGTTAATGAAAAAAAGAAAATAATTTCCATTCAAAGGGCTTTTAATGCATATCATGTAGAAACCTTCTACCGCTAATATGAATTAAAGCACACCCAGTCAGTCATTGAAATAAGCCTTAAGTTTGATGCAACTCATTTAAATTCTACATGGACATTATTCTTATTATTGTCTAAATGATAGAGAAATATGTTTTTCTGAAGCTTATCTATCTATACTAATAAAGATAAAATGTCTGTCTGTCTGCCAAGAATGCAATAATCAATTAACATAGTGACATGATTTATACCTCATCGGAAAGGTCTTGCGTGGGGGAACGTCATGGGCATTGTTTTTTGGAGGGGGAGGGGAAATCTCCTATTGTTGATAAGCTATATTAAAAAATATATTAAAAAATGCTTTAATTAAGTCCCCAAAAGGTATGCATGGTATAAAGTAGAGAAAGGTGTCACACACCTTTCTGGTGAGATACATCTTCTATACTAATAGACAAAATGTCTGCCTAACCGATTGACGTAGAGACATGATTCATACCTATCGGAAAGGTCTTTGCATGGGGGAGTTTCATGGGCATATTTTTTTTTCAGGGATCTTCTATTGTGACCTAAACAAGCTCATCACACATGTATGGACTCCAACAAGGTCCTTCCAACCAGGAGCCCTCCCAACTAGGAGCCCTCCCAACCAGGAGCCCTCCCAACCAGGAGCCCTCCCAACCAGGAGCCCTCCCTAAAGGATATGTGTACAAATATGTGAACAAGAGATGCTAACAAGTTCAATACCACATTTTCATAATCTTAAGGGATAAAGATGCCTAAGAAGATCAAGCATTTCAAGGACAAATAAAAATGCCAGCCGAAAGAGAGAAGGCCGATTAAACTGTAAAAGGGTACAGCTAGTCAAGTATAAATGTGCTGCTTTTCTGTGAATGAAAAATCTACTGAAACAGGAAAAGAAACATTTAGGAAGAATCGGCTAGAAATTCCAGATAATTCTCTATCAACATAGAGTTCCAAATACTTCACTGGGGAACCTACAGGAGCAGCAAAAAAAAGTTTGAAACTGTTTTGGCAGTGACTGTCTATGGTAAGTACCTACTAACACAATTTTGCCAGATGTTTGTAACTTAGGAGATTTTCTACAATGGGGAAACTACAATATTTCACAGCCTTAGCGGTTAGATAGTAATCTGCATTCTTTGTGATATCTCACACTAATGTTTGTTGAATTGTGATGTATGTATATTGGATAGAAGCAAGACGTTGCCTCGCACACGTCACTGGAGAGGCTGAAAGGGAGAAGAGATACATGGTCCGCCAATTGGAACAACATTAGCCATTTGGTCCCAGAGGAAGTCATTACAGCTTCCACTGAAGATTCTGCAGTAGAAGAAGCTTCAAGGATATGACTGAGCAGGAATGTATATCTCAACCATACCTGCCAAAGGACACATCGAAAGAGCTGGCAGGATCTCAGAAACCCAACCTCAATGCCTTGAAATTGCATCAGGACAGTAGCTCTCAATTATATGCTACAGACTCCATCTAAAGTCTGGGGGGAGACTTGGAGGGAGTCATTCAACTTGCAGCCCACCAGAGCATGGAACAGGTGACCCTGCAGATGTACCTGAATCAATATAGTTACATCAAATTTGGGTTATCTCAATGCTAACAAACCAAAAGATAAAACTGTTTCTTTTGAGTTTGTTGGTTTCCTGTGATAGAGAGGCAATCTGTGCTCGTCCATATACCTCTTGTCATATAAAACCAGGAAGGGCTTCTTTACCATGAATGAAGTGGCGAGGGTTAGTAAAGGTTGCATTTTGCACTTCCAACAGCAAAGATGATTTGTTGGGAATAGGGACTATGCCCTCAGTTCATGGCACCCCCACAGATCCCAGCCAAGGAACTCTACAAACCTGTGCAAAAGAGTACTTGCATCATCATTCAGGACACTGTTTTTACTGTTTGGACTACTTGGGTGGTGTGATACAATAGCATTGCACTGAAGAGTTGCAGATTATAGCTGTCTACTACGTGTCACATAATATAGTCGAAGGGAGAGACATTCCATTGTAAAGAAGTTCAACCACTAAAAGAAGGCATGATCACTCCACTTTACAGTATAATTTATGAAGCGTTTTGAGAAGTCCTCCCGACATGAATGGCACTATATCAAATGAAAGGATTATAGGATTATTTTATGTGCGTCTGAAAAATTTAGAGGTGGGGTAGGGTGGGGGGGGGGGGGGCGCGGAAATGCTGTGATTCTTATAAAGACAACAATGGCCATTTTACAGGCTCAACTGCCCAACAGGAACTCATTGACAATGTCTTTCACAGTTGAGGACAAGTCTATGACAGCAATGCCAATTGGAAAGCTGAAAGACTGGGTGGGGGGGGTTGGGGGGGGAGGTATTCCCATGAAATTATACTGACAAATTCACTCAAAATATGAGTGCCTGACTCAAATACAAGTAACTCTGGTGTTTCAAGCATAATCTTCTGCAATCCTGGCACCTGGTTTGGAGGCTGGGTTTTGACATAAAGTAGGCCCACGTGACTGCACAGTATAAAATGTACCATACAAAAGGGACATTTGGGCTCTCTGAACAGCATGTCAAATTACTGCAAATAAATCATTGCAGAATACAGGAGAGGCCAGAAGTGAGAAGGTCAAGGTTTCTCAAAGCTATTTGCTCTCCATTCATCAGATTTTCCAATCTCTTGAGTCCAATTTGCAATATTCGCCAGATTCTCTCTCCAGGCTTTTATTTCCCACACCTTGTCGGCTTTCAAATGTCACAATTGGTGCTTTGAATGGGTTGTGAATAAATGAGAACCTTTAGTTTTCTTGGCACAAAATGAAAAAAAAATCCTCCACATTCTGTATCTGCTCGCAGATAATAATAATAATCCTTACATTTGATATGGCTCCTTTCAAGTGTTACACAGGGTAAAGTGGAGTAATTGTGCAATCGTAATTGTTGTGTAATTCAGTCACTTTCAAATGGTTTCAGTTACCACTTGTCTTGCTGATAGGAGCAGAAAATAATACTTTTGATTACATCTACTGAATGATTTAATGATTAAACTGAATTATTATTTCCATTAGTTGAGTGACATGACGGAATGCATAATAAGGATCCATAGCTCTGTCACTCAGGTATCATGATGTCTCATTATGTATCCTCAATTTATATGCATAGGATCAGATTAGACAGTGTGCAATTTTGAAAAACATGTAGTGAATGAATCTGCAAGTTATGAAAAGGAAAGTGATTTTTTTTATTTACAAAAATTGTGAATATTGTTTGAAAGCAGATTGTATCTGAGAAGCACTCTTGCGAGTCAGCACAACACAAGTTCAGATTCCCTAAATTGAATCCAGTTAGAAATTGCTATCAGACACCATTTACCTTATATGCAAACAATAGAAATTTCACATCATAGTGATGCTCACCTACCTGACGAGGTCACACAAGTCATCAGTGCCTTCAGTTCCAAGGTATGTCAGTCGCTCAGTAAACTCCTCAGAGAGATTACCAATGAACAGGTGTAAATTGGACAGAGCCAATCTCCTTTTCATCATGTCATGGATTTCTGTGTGGTGTTTATAAAAACTGTGTTTGGTAATAGAAGCTGTTGACAAAGAATAATATATTTAATAATAACTCTGCAATGTTTAAAATCTGCTATGATTCTCTGATCAGACCTGGAGTCCTGTAGCTCAGTGGTTAGAGCACTCGCCTTACAAGTGAGACACCTGGGTTCAATTCCAGGCAGAGGGCGAAACCTTGGGCAAGTTTTCTTACTGCACACACCTAATAATAATCCCTCTAAAACAAAACAATAATAAATTGGTCATTTTCAATCCACGACTGTTTGTGGGACACTGCTGTGTGCAATTGGCTGCCGTGCTTCACCCACAAATATATGGTCAATTCACTTTACAGCATATTCTATAAAGCGCTTTGAGACGTCTAGAAGACGTGAAAAGCGCTATATCAAATGCAAGGATTATTATTACATTATTATAATAACTGCTTTTGCTCCACTCGTTAAAAAAGTCATTATGTTCTGCTGCAGTTAAATCCCAACGAGGAGGTAAAATATCAAGACTGAATTTTATTCATGAGAACCCAGGATAAAGTCAGATATCACAAGAGATAGGAGGCTTGGAATTTCTCATGGTTTTAACCTCAAGACACATTTTCTTAAAATTTAAGATTGTGCAGATCATTTTGAAAAATGCTTAATTTCTGTTTTAATATGGAAGTCATCTTAATTAAACTAAATTTAAAACATTTTCAAAATTCTTCACAGTGTGAAATTTGAAGACAATGGTCTTAACACTGACACATTGTGGGCCTTTGTCTGGGAACACAGTCTTTGCTCATGGCACCAGATTATAGCAGTGACATTGTTCACTGTCTCCACTAGACCCAGTGTTAATTCTCAACAACAACAACAATATTACATTTGTATAGCGCCTTTCACATCGGGAGGACATCTCAAGGTGCTGGACAGACAGAGTTATGGACCTGACCTGGGGGTCGGGGTGTGGGAGGATGGAGGGCAGGAGGGGAAGCAAGGAGATAGAAAGCACGGTTGAAGAGAAAGGTCGAGGTGGGTCTTGAAGGTGGCGAGGGAGAGGGCGAGGCAGAGGGACTGCAGGATGGAGTTCCAGAGGGTGGGTGCAGAGTGGCGGAAGGCCCGCCTGCCGATAGCGGGGCGAGCAAGGCGGGGGACTTGAAGCAGGCTGGAGCCTGCTGAGCAGAGGGAGTGAACAGGATGGTAGGGGGTTAGGAGGTCGGAGAGTAGGGGGGAGCAAGACTGCGGAGGTCTTTGAAGGTGAGGACCAGGATCTTGAACTGTATCCTCTGTGTGATGGGAAGCCAGTGGAGTTCGGCAATGATGGTGACGATAGGGTCGCGGAGCCTAGTGTGGGAGAGGACATGGTCGGCAGAGTTCTGAATGATCTGCATCCTGTAAAGGGAGGAGTTGGGGAGGCCGACAAGCAGTGAGTTTGCATAGTCGAGCCTCGATGTAATAAAGGCGTTTATGAGGGTTTCGGCAGCCTGTGGTATGAGACAATGGCGATGTTGCGGAGGTGGGGGAAGGCAGAGTGGGTCATGGCACAGGTGTGGGATAGAAAGGATAGTTGAGGGTCAAACAAGACCCCAAGGTTCTGGACTGGCTTAGCAAGGTGGAGTGTGCAACCATGGATCGTAATGCTGTCAGCGCCTGAGGTGAGGAGGCGCTGACGGGAGCCAATCAGGAGGGCCTTGATCTTGTTGAAGTTCACCTGAAGAAAGTTCGCTCTCATCCAGGACTTGATGTCTGACTGACATTCTGTCAGGACAGTAGTGGTCCTGGAGTCAAGGGTGGAGACAGAAAGGCAGAGTTGGGTGTCATCCGCATACATGTGGAAGTTGACCATTTACGTCTGCAGTTGATGTCACCAAGAGGGAGCATACAGATATTGAAGAGGAAGGGACCAAGGACAGAGCCCCGAGGAACGCCCCACAAGACGGTCCTGGGGCTAGAGGAGAAGCCAATTGAGGAGATGAAGTGCAGGCGGTGCACCTCAGCCAGGCCTTTCATGAGAAAAACAGATTTTTTGGGGGGGCAGGGGGGAGGAAATCAAAAATTGTAAATGTCATGAAAGAGGTGATACTAAATCATTTGTAATTATGTTTTATACACAACAGTACTTATCCTAGATTGTAAATAGCATAAATATTGAACAATAATAATCCTTGTATTTGATATAGTACCTTATCATGTCTTTGCGACGTCTCAAACCGCTTCACAGAATATGCTGTAAAGTGAATTGACTACAACAACAACAACTTGGATTTATATAGCGCTGTCCACGCCGGACGGCGTCTCAGAGCGCTTTACAGTCACGGATCCCGGGCCCGAGCCACGGGGAGGGGGAGGAAGGTGACCAAAGGCGCGGTCGAAAAGAAAGGTCTTCAGCAGAGACCTGAAAATGGGAAGGGAGGGAGCGAGACGGAGGGAGTGAGGAAGGGAGTTCCAGAGCCTCGGGGCATAGTGGCTGAAGGCACAGCCGCTGAGGGTGGAGCGGAGGACTCGGAAGATGAGGAGGAGGCCAGACCCAGGGGAACGGAGGCAACGGGTACTGTTTTGTGACTGTATTTTATGTTGGGCAAAATATCTATAGTTAGCTATTGTAAGGCCTGTTCAGCGAGGCATAATTGATTTTAGTTAGCAAGATGTTACTTCAAACTAGCTGCACAACAGAGTAAGTTGCTGGAATATGTTAAATGTAATTAATATAGCTCTGACCTGACAGGTCTACAACAAGCTGTTTGTGATTTTACTCTTTTATCTCTGCAGTTCAGTTGGACCGTAGTAGATTGCTATCAACACTCATCCTACAGCTCAGGGTTAACGGTAAAACAAAGATCAAATTGTACTTTGTCAGACTCTTGTCGGTCCTCTTACTCCTGACACTTTTCAGTGGAATTTCTAAACCTACTCAACACTGCCAAAAAGTTACAATGCTTCCCATCCTTGTTATAACACTTTCTGACTGATAATCATAATCCTTGCATTTGATATTGCATTTATGACGTGGAGCACAGGTCAAAGTGCTTCACGTAATATCTGTAAAGTATAGTGATTGTTTATTTGTGGATTGTATTTTTTGTGACGGTGATCTATGCAATTAGCCATAAAGTGAATGACCATTTTTGTTAAAATTTGGAGGATTGTTGGTTCAGACACCGGGAGAAACTAAAGTACAATTGAAATCGATGTGTTGGGAACCTTTTAATCAAAGGTTAACTTCTATTATTTCTTACCTGTATGCTCTACAGGATCCTGTACTGCTTGTTGAAAGTCAACATCTTTGGATCCAAAGAATATCTTGAAATCATCCACTTCTGTAACAAAGGTAAGTCTCTTTCCAACAGTTAGCACCGTAAAAATTGGTCCATACTACAAATATAATAGTTTTAGATTTCATGAGAAAGTGTGATATGTTCTCACTTTGAATGTCAAAAATAAAAAAAAGGAACAAATGTACTAATACTGTATCTGAGTAAACATGGAATCTCCATTAAATGGAGAAACATATAGAGGTTTAAGTGAAGAATGGTTTTCTTGGCCATTTAGTCACATGCTTTTTGAAAACCAAGACGACTATCTCCTGATTCACCATCAAGTTGTTTCTTACTGAATCATCCTACCTGGAAACCTGCTCCAGCTATCCATTACACAGTGGCGTCTACAATGTATGTCCCTCAGCACTGGAAACCAAGCTCTTTTCCAATGGAAACCCAAGGATCTCAATGAAGCAAAACATCTCCCAAGGTATCAGGCTCGAGTTTGCTGAGCGGAGTGGGTGAGCAGAAGAGTGAAGTGGGAAAAGATCACAGAGATAGGGAGGTGCTGGAGCATGAAGGGATTTATAGATAAGCTAAGAAAAAAGGTTGTGCTTAATCCACCAGCATTTTGCAAACACTTTGCAAACATTTTGCGTGGCGTTTCGTAAGCGCACAAAGCCATTGCAGTTAAGAGCAGTACATTTCATCTTATATTTCTTAAGCAAAGGACAGCAGCTGCCAGTATCACCCGAGGACAGAACCAGTTTGGTTCTGGTGCCTGCTGTACAATTAAACACAGATAGGCTTGTCTTGCAGGGCAGAGCAGGGGAGGGCAGAGCAGAGCAGGGGAGGGGAGGGCAGGGCAGGGCAGAGCAGAGCAGGGGAGGGCAGGGCAGAGCAGGGGAGGGGAGGGCAGGGCAGAGCAGGGGAGGGCAGGGCAGAGCAGGGGAGGGGAGAGCAGGGCAGGGCGGGGGAGGGCAGAGCAGGGGAGGGCAGGGCAGGGCAGAGCAGGGCGGGGGAGGGCAGGGCAGGGCGGGGGAGGGCAGGGCAGAGCAGGGCGGGGGAGGGCAGAGCAGAGGGCAGGGGATGGCAGGGCAGGGGAGAGCCAGGGAGGGCGGGGCAGCGCAGGGAGGGCAGGGCAGTGCAGTGGAGAGCAGGGCAGGGAGGGGAGGGCAGGGCAGAGCAGGGGAGGGGAGAGCAGGGCAGGGAGGGCAGCGCAGGGCAGGGCAGGGAGGGGAGAGCAGGGGTGGCAGGGCAGGGGAGGCAGAGCAGAGGGCAGGGGAGAGCAGGGCCGGGAGGGCAGGGGATGGCAGGGCAGAGCAGGGCAGGGAGGGCAGGGGATGGCAGGGCAGAGCAGGGCAGGGAGGGCAGAGCAGGGAGGGGAGGGGAGGGCAGGGCAGGGAGGGCAGAGCAGAGCAGGGAGGGGAGAGCAGGGAGGGGAGGGGAGGGCAGGGCAGGGAGGGCAGAGCAGAGCAGGGATGGTAGGGCAGGGATGGCAGGGAGGGCAGCGCAGGGGAGGGGGGGGGGGGGGGAGAGACTATGATTTTTAAACCCAAACGAGTGTCACTAAGTCTGGCCTTTCGGAGGCAGTAATCACAGTAATTGCAGTGTGTGCTGTGCTCCTGGAGATGGTGTTGGGGTTCGCGGCTTTACCTCCACTCGGGTTTGTTCGATGAATTCAAGCGGAGCTTTTCCGAATCGCAAAGTAGCTCCGAGCCATGGGATCCAACCTCCGATACAGGGGGGAGCCCGAGCCCCCACCCCCCCACACAGCACAGCCCCCACCCCCCCACACAGTACAGCCCCCACCCCCCCACACAGTACAGCCTCCACCCCACACACAGTACAGCCCCCACCCCCCCACACACCCCCCCACACAGCACAGCCCCCACCCCCCCACACACCCCCCCACACACCCCCCACACAGCACAGCCCCCACCCCCCCACACACACCCCCACACACCCCCCACACAGCACAGCCCCCACCCCCCCACACACACCCCCACACACCCCCCCACACAGCACACCCCCCAACACAGCCCCCACCCCCCCACACACCCCCCCACACAGCACAGCCCCCACCCCCCCACACAGCCCCCCACACAGCACAGCCCCCACCCCCCCACACACCCCCCACACAGCACAGCCCCCACCCCCCCACACAGCACAGCCCCCAACACAGCCCCCACCCCCCCACACACACCCCCACACAGCCCCCACAGCACAGCCCCCACCCCCACCCCCCACACACCCCCCCACACAGCCCCCACAGCACAGCCCCCAACACAGCCCCCAGCACCACAGGCACCGCCAGCCACAGCCACTCAGCGCAGCTCACAGCCATAGCCGCTCTCACACCGCACTGCACTGCACAGGGCAGAGCTGCACTGCACAGGGCAGAGCTGCACTGCACTGCACAGGGCTACACTGCACAGGGCAGAGCTGCACAGGGCAGAGCTACACTACACAGGGCAGGGCTATACTGCACTGCACCCAGCCCTACACAACACTGCACAGCCCTACACAACACTGCACAGCCCTACACAACACTGCACAGCCCTACACGACACTGCACAGCCCTACACGACACTGCACAGCCCTACACGACACTGCACAACACAAGGCAGGGCAGCCACTACACAATACTGCACAGCTGTGTAGCTGTATAGCTGAGCTACACTTCAGCAGTTAGAGTTGATGTGAGAGTGAGTATATTGATTGCACCTCCAGGAAGGCAGAATTCCCACCCAAGGATCCGAGATTCAAGTCGCTTAAACTTCCAAGATTTAGGTAATATCAGAAAAAGAAAAAAACAGATATTGACGCTACAAAAACACAATTGCAAAATGATAGAGTTGAAAATCCTCTCCCTGCTATTATCAGCATTCCCCAAACAAGAGATGTTTGCCTGCTGCATCTGAACTTTGATATTGTTTGTCATCACATTGACTTACTAAATGTGAGGATAAAAGCATAATGTTGTCTATTGTAATCCTACCTATTGCAACCCTGTTGATTGAATCAATGTGAAACTATATGTCTTTTTGCCTTAGTAATTAAATGAGTTGTTAAGCATAGACTTCAGTTCCTCTGATCTTGGATTTCCCACTTTATATTTTGATTGATATAATAAGCCGATCTTTACTGGCTGCTGATCTTTGGTCCAAGGCTTCAACAAAGTGATTAGCTGCACTATTCTACACCAACTCCATGCTGGGCATCTTATTCAATCCTCAGCTGTTCTATCTCCCCCATATCCATTCCATGACCCACCCTGCCTTCCCCCACCTCTGCAACATTGTCTTGACTCGCACCACTGCTTCATTCCTTAGGCTTCCAAAACCCTCATACACGCATTCGTCACCTACGGATATTCCCTCCTTGTCGGCCTCCCCAACTCTTTTCTCCACAAGTTGCAGATCATCCAGAACTCCCCATCCCCCAGAAGAGTTCAAAATCCTCATCCTCGCCTTCAAGACCCTCCACGGCCTTGCTCCTTCCTATCTCTGTGACCTACAAACACCATATCAACCTATCTGCTCTCTCCGCTCAGTAGGCTCCAGACTGCTCCATGTCCCTTGCCTGGCCTGCCCCACCATCAGTGGTCGGCTCTTCAGCCTCCCTGCCCCCACAGGAATTCCATCCCACAGTCTCTTTGCCTCCTTCAAGACACGTCTCAAGACCCTCCTCTTTGACTGGCCTTTGGCCACCCTCCTACCCCTACCCTCCGTGACCACTGTAAGCTGATGATTTTGCACGAGTTGCACTTGGTGATTTACTTGGTGTATCCTAGCAGAAAGGGTATGGCTGCAGCACCCCCCACCCACCACCCTTTTCATCCCAGGTGGGCTGGTTTCTGTGGGAGAGAGACTTTGTTGTATCGGCCTATGTGTATGCTGAAGGAGTGTTTGGTGGTGGCAGACACAAGTTGCTCTTGGAGGCTGCATGATCAGGGGCATCCTCTTTGATAGGGGGAATGTGACACCTGGTGAGGGGTTGGTGCAGGCGTAGGGTAATCAGGCAGCCGCTAGGGAGAGGGAGAAGTGTGTCTTGGGAAGCAGAGATAGATGGTCGCCATTTTATACAGGGACGGAGAGAGAAAAACTCCTTCTAAACTGTCTGTGTAAGAGATCCAGAGACAAAGAGAGGAGAGAGAAAGATACTGAGGCAAGAGAAGGAGTTCAGTTCAACGTACACAAAGTGGTCACCTTTCTCTCCCGGAGAAAGAATTGGATCACCTTTAAATCCAAACTATGCATCCCAGGTTGTATGTATGGTATACCAACTTATCACTATCATGTTTGCTGTATTAAAGCATTAATTTCATTCTGAGGAATGCTAGTCAGCCTTTTGTATTACATTGTGAGAATCTCATAAACTGACACCACCACCCCTTCTGATCCCAATTCCCTGCTCGGGTCCAAATCCCTGACTGTCCAACGACTTGGCAAGTCCTCCTGACGTGGTAGACGCTATACAAATATAATTTGTTGTTGTATTCGAAAAGGGAAGAGAGTTTCTCTTGGTGTCCTGGACAACAACAATTCCCCAGGTAAAATTCATCATTTACCTCATGTCTGTTTGTGGAACAATGTTATGCGTGACTTGGTTGCCCACAAAATGCACAGTCATTACAATTTATTGTGAAGTGGTTTGAGATGTTCAATGATGTGATAAGCTGCTAAAACACAGGGGTTATTATAAACACAAATCATCAAACCAGATGACTCTACAGGTGGTTACCAGATATGCAAGGTGGGATACCTGGAGAAGGACTGCAAACTTGACCTCTCAGCTAGAAACATGGCACAATAGAAACTTAAAACACCTAAGAAGGCAATTCAGCCCATTGTGTCTGTGTCGCCACATAGATTGACATGTTAGGAGCCAAGTAGCTTCCCAGAAAAAGAAATAACGAAGAATTGAGCTTTAGAAGAAATCTAGGATGTAGATGTCATAGCTGCACAGTTCAAATACTTGATAAATATAATTAGTAGTTTCCCTAGCCTTCAACTCACTGGTTTACAACACCTACTCAGCAAACCTATTCATTAAATTCATTTGGTGCTTATTTAATTATTTAGTGAAGTTGATCAACTATTCATTGAAAGTTAGTATTGTACTGTATATAGTTGAAATCAAGTCAACCTACTCATTATTTGTTTATATCCAGTCAGGAAGTGTTTAAATTATTTAAATCTGTTCATATCACATTCAATTGTGGAGTCCTGTAGTTCAGTGGTTAGAGCACTCACTTTGCAAGCGAGAGACCTGAGTTCAATTCCAGGCAGGGCAAAACCTTGGGCAAGTTTCCTTACTCCACACACCTAATAATAATCCAAAAAATAAACCAAAACCAATAATAAAATTGGTCATTTTCAATCTACGATTGTTTGTGGGACATTGCTGTGCGCAATTGGCTGCCGCGTTTGCCCACAAATATACAGTCAATTCACTTTACAGTGTGTTCTGTGAAGCACTTTGGGACATCCTCCCGTCGTGAAAAGCGCTATATCAAATGCAAGGATTATTATTATTAATTAATTCATTATTTTATTCAGCAATTAAATCCAGTCAGTATTATGGTTTATTTGTAGTTCATAAATATTCACATGGACAGTTCCAAGGTGCTACTTCTGTTATCTTGCCCAGGGTGCCTTGAGGGTGTCAATTTGATGGGGCTGTCACAGTCAATCTCTACACAAGCACTTCCTGCATTCAGGGCTAAATAGTGATCAGGAGCAGAGCTGGTTCAGTATTGTCTCTCTAATTTTGGATGCTGAGGCCAGCGTAGTGCTTCCAGGTTCTATCATTGTCAAATCACAAAATATTTGTTTGCTTATGTAAAAATATCCAAAGTATGATTAAAAAATTGCATATAACTGACAGATTAAGTGAGTTGTTTAGCATTTACCAGACTGAAGAGAAGTCAAGTGTAGCATTTTACAGACTTCAGATTGGAATACACCATATGTAGTCTGCCCTAAATGCTTAACATGGCAACAAGAAGCTGATGTAAAATTAAGTATGCAATTATGTAGTGGGCATGAGTGAACCTAATTTGCTAGTATGAATGTGCATTTGAATCATGATGTTTATTCTCCCTGCCCCTGTTTGCCTTCCCCCACCTCCTCAACATTGCCGGGTTCCACCACTGTCTCACACCGCAGGCCGCAGAGATCCTCATACACGTATTCATAACATCCAGACTTGACTATGCAAACTCACTGCTTGTCGGCCTCCCCAACTCCTCCTTCCATAGGCTGCAGATCATTCAGAACTCTGCAGCCGTGCCCTCTCCCGCACCAAGCTCTATGACTCTATCACCCCCATCCTTGCCCGACTCCACTGGCTTCCCATCACATAGAGGATAGTTTAAGATCCTGGTCCTCACCTTTAAAGCCCTCCACAGTATTGCTCCCATCTACCTCTGTGACCTCCTAACCCCCTACCAACCTGCCCGATCCCTCCGCTCAGAGGGCTCTGGCCTGCTTCACGTCTCCTGCCTCACCCGCCTCACCAATGGCGGGCGGCCTTCTGCCACTCGTCCCCCACCCTCTGGAACTCCATCCCGCAGTCCGTCTGCCTCACACCCTCCCTTGCCTCCTTCAAGACCCTTCTCTTCGACCTCCACTCTCCCCAATCCCGACCTCCAGGTCGGGTCAAAGCTCCGACTGTCCAGCGCCTTAGGACGTCGTCGCGATATGAAAACCACTATACAAATGTAATTTTGTTTGTTTTATTGTTTTCAAGGTTTGCCTTTTTAATCAAAATTTGCTGGACATGTATCAGTAGTAGTTAAAATGTAGTCATTGTTAAAACAATGCTTTGACTAGAGGGTGCCCCAATAAATAACAGAACCATCTAGTACAGCGCTGACCTTTCATACCTGAGAATTGCAGTTTTGATTCCCAGTCTGTTTGGGGTTAAAAGAGTATCTGGCTCAGCATTGGTGCCTTTCCACAGTCCAATAAAATCATTCACTAGGATCACCAGTGGGGAGGTACCAGAGGGAGAGAGCCTATGGAACCACAGGACTGCAATCAGCAGCTTGGAGTCCAACCCCCACTCTGCGCATAGCCTTGACTGTCCTTTGCCTTCAGACAGATAGTCTAGGCTGACACTCCAATAAAGTGTTGGGAGATTGCTGCATTGTTGGAGGTACTGTCCTCCAGATGAGGTGTTAAACCGAAGGGAAAAAAAGTTATTAATGGGATTATTGCCTCCTCCCTTTCCTCCTTCAAGGCCGGTCTCAAGACCTTTCTCTTTGACCGTGCCTTCAGCTCCCCTCTCGACTCTCTACCCCCTCCTCGCTCCGTCCCTTCCCTCCCCTCACCCTGACCATTTCCCCCTTGCTCGGGTCCTGACCCAATTGTATAGCGCCTTGGGACATCCTCCCGACGTGAAAGGCGCTCTATGAATGGAATCTTGTTGTTGTTGTTGTTAATGCCATGTGCAAATTGCCTGACATTTTTGACTCCAAAACACACAGTGAATGCTGTACTTCTGATGTGAAAGGCACTATATTAAATGCAAGGATGATGATTAATAGCAGTTCAGACAGGAAAAGTATTTTACTCAGTTATGTTACAATTTCAACTAGCACTGAACATAGATAGAACCATAGAAATTTATGGCACAGATGAAGGACATGCTGTTCATCGTGGAAATGAGCTCTTGGCTAACCTAGGTTCATTTACCATTTTTAAAGACATGAACTCTCATCATGGCAAATGTTATTATTTTCAATATGTTGACATCAAACACAACAGGTTTTGACAAAATGTATGGCATCATAGCTTACACCTTAAAAAAACTTGTCAACTTTTTTTATAAAAGGGTATCGCTCCAAATAAACACCGACAAAACCTTGAATTCATTGTTGTAAGT